ACAGCCTAAATTTTCAACTTTTCAACATGTATAGTCCTTCGGACTATAGCCCGAAAAATACGGTAAACTAATACTAGGACAAAGAACAAGAAGGCGTTAAAGGGGGTGCTCTTCTAAAAAGCGTCAAGACACTCCAGGAGCCGTCATCCTTTTCACAAATTACCCACGCACCAAAGAGGGAGGGTATAGTTCGCGTGCTGTATGCGCAAGTCTTACCTGTCTGAAAAAAATTCCAGTGAATTGTTAAAATGAATTTTTCTGCTTTTAAACTCATTTTCAAACGCAAAATATAATGTATTTTAGATTTTATCTCTTTTCTCGTCTGATATTTCCCTTTCCTTCAACATTTTTTGCCCTTCTCCTTCCAACAAGGTCTGGTTGTTTTTTTTTAGTCTTGTTGCTAGTTGAAAGATGTCATGTTCTCTGCTCCGTTCTATTTTATTTTCGTGCGTAAAATTAATACTATAATGAGACGGTTGACGAGTGCGCGTGGAAGGGGAAATTTATTTGAGATTTTTTATTTACAAAAATGACAGTTGCGGACGCCAGTACGTGCAAAGTTTGCAGATTGGATGCCTAGAGTCAGTAAATCTTCTAAATACAATGTACTTTTTTTTTAATTGGAATAACGTAAACCAGTCAGCGAAATGTGGAACAAAGTAAAAATAAAAGCTCTCACTCAAAGGGGATACTGCTTACACAACGAAGGAGGGTTGACAGAGAAGCTAACGAATTAATAAAATTTAGTCCGTTATTATTTTTTTGTTTTACTTTGTTAAATGTGTTCGGCAGACGTTAATGCAAGTGTCTGGTGTAGCGGTAGTTTTATCAATTACAAATTATAGAAATTCGGGATTTTTTCTTTTCTCTTCGTTATCGTTAGTGATGGTTTTAGACGTTGCATTTTCTACAGATTTCTCAAGGAAATATTCACCGCAAATGGTATACTTTGTTTCACCTTGTGTTGTACCGCAGGAAAGGCTATAAGAGCGAGCTCCTTGTTCTAGGGCACATCTCGGCGGCACAAGCCATCGTGACCAAAAACAGCCACTAACGCTATGAGCTCGCGCTTCTAGCCTTCGCTGCGGTACAACATAAGGTGAAACGGAGTATAGTTTTGTCGGTGCAACGATTCAATTAAATTTGGCGGTATTTTCAGGGTCTATAAAGCTTAGATGGGAACTGAGAAGAAAGTAGCCAGACATAAACATATTTGCGTCTTAATCATTTTGAGTTTCTTCCTAAAGCAAAACGAGACAAAACAAAAAATATCCCCGCCAAGGAAGGAATATCGTTCTTCGTGTCCCCAAGAAATTCCTTCGGAGCCATAAAACATCCAGCTTGTTAGCTCTCTTGGACAGCCGAATCATCATCGCGATGAGTCAAGCGTCGTCTGCTACAACAAGTTTGGTTCCTTGGGCCTCGCCGGCAACGTCGTCTGCTTTCCTCAGACAGTAGTAAAAATAAATGGTCCAGTCATGCCACATTCGCAAAAGAAAATTCCTGCCCGTTTTTTTTTTTTCTTCTTCTTTGTTTTGTTTTAACAACATTAGGCGGCATTCTAAGTGGAATTGCGTGCCGTCTTCGGCACGGTTTGTTTGCTTTGCCGCCCTAAAGCCGGTCCGCTGCGCGAAAAGGCGAAACGGAGGTCAGATGCCCGTGAAAAAGAAATACCGTCTCTTCCCGCGTCTCCTGGGTTTGGCAGTATCGTGAGAGTGAAATTTGCGTATCCTGCCCTTTTCTTATTGTTTTCTCGTTTGTGGACGGTTTCTAAGATGATCTCTTTCTACGCATGCGCGGACTCTCACCCCCCCCTGGCGGCTAACGACCGTACATGTTTAGGAAAGTGCAATACTTGGGCACTGGGAGATTTCGCAGTTTAGCGGCTGGAGAGAGGCGAAGAGAGAAAGGGAGACAGGGAAATTCCGGCTTGCTCCGCAATTCCCGAATCTTCCAATGACAGCTTTAATAGACTCCCCGCAAGCAGCATTGGCAATCGGTTCTTGGGTACGAGTGCGTGATTGGGTCCGAATATTCGCCGAACGCAGACGCAATGCTCGTTTTCGACACGAGCTGCACGGAATTGCAGTTTCGTGACTTTTCTAGGTGGCTTGTAACAAGGAGCGAAGTTGGGCCTTTTGCAGTTCTTTCACGCCCGCGTACACAGAGGAGGAAGTCGCTAATTGAACTTGCGATAACATTGACTTCCTTCCAGCGCATCCGGGCAACACGGGCGTTTTCGATTCTTCGTCACTCCTTACGAAATACGGAGAAGGGGAAAATGAGTGAGCGAGGCGAGAAAAAAAAAAAGTAGAAAAGAAAACGAAGAGAAATAACAAAAAAGTGAAAGGAGCGAAAATGGCGACCTATCAAACTGGGTCGGCTTCGTTAATTGGATTCCTGTTCGGTCCCGATAGCGGTTTCAGGAGAAGAAGGGGAAGGAGGGAAGTGACTTCCGAATGGCGGCGGACCGTGGGTATACGTGTTCTGTGAACCGAGCCCTGAAACGTAGATGCCTTATCTATACGGTTCTACGCTAGACCGGGGGTCTCCAAAACATTTTGGCTGAGAGGCTGGATTGGGAACCTGTGGCGGTCTCGAGATAAATCGGAACATATTAAATACGCCTTGGCAAGTGTTTAAGTACAAACAAAATTTAAATTACAGAAAGTGTCAGAAATAAATGTAAAGTGGGAATACATATACTTTCTTTTTAAATGGAATACTGTCGAGACCGGTTATAACGAAGTTGGTTATAATGAAATAGCGGTTACAGCGAAGCGATCACGATTTCTCATTCCCCTTTGCACTTCGTTATAACCGAAGTCTGTTATAACGAAATAGTGGATATGGCAAAGTGATTTTCGATTCCCGTTGGCTCCGTTATAACCCATCTTGACAGTATGTAGCTAATAATGACATTACAAATAATTCGAAATAATAAATGAAAGTGGATGGGAACTATGGCATATTTAGACAGGGCAGAAGACACGAGACTGCCACATCTGATGATGACAGTGTACATGGGTCGTGACGCAGGACACTAAGCACGATATAGGGAGCTTGCGACACCTAAAGGGGGCGCTCCGATCCAACTGATGTGCACGCCACATGACTTTGTTGGGGGCCGCACCGCGGCGCCACTGTCTTGTCGCACGCCTCTCGTTTCACTGCGCACCCAATCAGATTGCGGCGTAAATCATTAAGTTGCAGACGACTTACAATGCGACAAGACCGTTTTCTCTCTCGCCACGGTGAGGCTCCCAACAGAGTCATGTGGCGTGCACATCAGTTGGATCGGAGCGCCCCCTTTAGGTGTCGCATGCTCCCATACGTGAGAACGCAAATAAATTTTATCCGAGCTGCACACACATGAAGCAGGGAACTGCGAATCGTAATACTGGTGATGACGACGCACTCGTAATAAATGATATGTTGAGAGACACGTTTTGGTGCACCAGTTTTCCCTCGTTATTTATTATATCTTCACTTGCGCTTTTGGTGCGCGTCGCGGCGTTGTTTCTGTTTCTTACGCTCGCTTATTTTGGCGTTTGTAGCAGCGGACCGCGGGCCGCTCTGTTACTGTAAAGACCGCGCCATTCGCGGGCCGGCAGGAACGCTTCGGCGGGTCGGATCTGGCCCGCGGGCTAAGGTTTGGAGACCCGATGCGCAAGTCTCCAGACACTTCATCAGACACTTCATCGTCTGATATATAAACATGTTAAAATTGTTAATGCGCATAATGTATTTTTTTTTTCTGGCGCGGGGGGGGGGGGGGGGGGGGCTAAATTTTTTTTGTAGAGTTGAGTTATTTCTCTTTCTCTAGGGACAGCACGTCACCGTTATCGAAATCACGGAAACAATTCAGATCGTAAACCCACTAATCTCTCCAGTCTAACGAAGATATGTATAACATTAACGATCAGATTGGGCTACTCTGTATGCGCCTTTCGGTCTTCGTGCTTACCACAGCGACTTTCAATTTTCAATCGGAGCCTGCTGTCTTTTCCATTGTCACCGTTGCTGCCACCTTTCTTTACCTATTGGCTTAAATTACATTGTCTCAAAAAAAAAAGAAAGAAAGAAGAAGAAGATTGATGGCGGTGTCAATGAGTTGTAAAATAAGAAGCGGTTATTATCGTGAAATCCCGAACCGACGCTCACTCCCGAAAGATCGCCCACCTCATACTTCTCAATTCTATTCAATGTCAATGTGATGAAGCGAAGAACTTATTCTAATATTCTGGGACCGGCTTCTTAGAAGTCAACAAGTAGATAGAATGCATGAACTATGAACTAGAATTATGAAATACGTGCACAGTGATTAATGCTTCGAAATATTTCATCTCTCCACCGTGGTTGGCGCTCAATCGAGATTTTACGCTATGCCGGGGAACTTTGCTGGGTGTGTAATGGCTGATAAAATTACTCGAAGACAGAGCGCTTGTGTCACTCTCTGGCTTCAAACTGGCGACTGTGCTCAATGACTTCATTACTCGCGAGCGTCTTATCGGCTGCGTTTTTATTGACTATCTAATGGCGAGCTGTTCTAGACCGGAAAGAAAAAAAAAAAAAAAGAAGTAAAACACAGTTTGAAATCAAGCCGGAAGTTAGCTCATATCGAAATACATCGCTTACACCTAGTATCTTTAATTGAGAGAACTTTTAGCTCCTATAGTTCGTTTGTATATTGTTCTTTCTTGCCCGGATGACTGTGTGACGTTTCGAAATACGGGATGCAACCAAATCAATTCGATGACTCAGTTCGGGTTCAAAGACTCGACCTTGGCGCTGGACGTCGCAAGCAGAAACTACGCAACTGTTGCTGCAGTTCAAGCCCTCGTTCACCGGAAGTATCGTCTGCTATCGGAGCTATCGTCTGCGAACAGTGAGTGTTTACTCCAATCACAGTAAAACAGCCATTCTCAACATAACGTGGAGTGCAAACAAAAAAAAAAAAGCATCGAGGGCGAGGAGAAGGGAGAAGGCTGAATGACGGAAGAGAGAGAGAGAGGGTGAGGGTGAGATCGAAGAGAATAGAAAGAGCCAAACCGCGGTTTCCAGTTTTCAGTGAAGTCTGTGCCGGTGTCAGTAGCGTCCAGGTTCGGCCCTCGTTCCGCGAATCCCTCTTCACCGCACTACACGGGTGTAATGCATGGCAGCTTATCGCATCGTCAGGTAAGTTCGTCGCTTTCCATTCGGATTTCGTCGTTTTCGATTTGAGTATTGAGATATGTCAGAGCGCAGTGCACTGCAGTAGTCATTGGTATATGATCTTTGTCTTTAATGAAATGGGAATGGGCCATGTGCAAAATTCTTGCCAGCTATCATCATCATGCCATTAGGAGCCGCCATATTGGTTTCTTTTTTTTTTTTTTACATCTTTTAGTTGTGGTTAGTAGTTTCATATCTTTTAGCATTTGCATTTAACTCGGTTTTCGTGATATTAGGACAAGTTATTCGCGCACTCAGCGGGTTGCTGTTTAGTTTCGGTCAAAAAAAGAAAACAAAAATGGCCGCGAAATTCTGGAAAAGGAATTGTTAGCAACGAGGTTACAAGACTTGTCACTCAAGCGGTGAATTGGGCCATCCAGGTCAGTGAACGGTCTTTATCGAAGACGTTATGTAAATGGTTCGTACTGGACATGCAGCAGGTGATCATATTTTAGTTCCACTGCTCTCACTTTTCCGGGACCATTGCCTCTCGGGTGAAACATTCTGTACGAGAGCCCTCCAATATGTAGGAAATTTGATAATTCATCCAGAGTACACTAGATGGCGCTTCTTTTTGCGTCTGGTCTATACTTTTTTTTTTTTTTTTAACTCGAAGGTTCTTTAAAGGTGCGATGCAACAATTTTTGTACTTTGCGCAAATACCGCTTAGAACGGATCCCTGACGTTAATGACCTATGAAACACGCGTTCGTTTCTTGCCCCACGCAATAGAAGTCCCAGAAAAAAATTAAAGAAAAACGAGCAGCGTTCACCCCCTCAACTCGCAGCCAGAACAAGCGGCCACGTGATCTGGAGCCCATCATATGCCGCCAGTGTTGATCATAGCCACGCGCTGGGGTTGGCAAAGCACAAGGCACGCGCTGAGTTCCACGGCTCGGCTATTGTGGTCGTTGCAGCGATTGGGCACGGGCCACTACCCGAATGCTTCTCGAGCTAGTAATTATCACGAGCCCAAATCGAGTGCCCACGCAATGCTCGGGTCCAATCTATGAGCAGCATTCAAATATCGTCACTTGGGTGTACTGTGATCCCCACGTTACGTCATGAAATTTTGCAAAGGAGAGATTGAATGAAAATGATCGCTTTTGTCCTTGAAATGACACCACAACAAAGGACTTCTTGGCCAGCGGAGTTGCGTGCGAGTATCCTTGACTCCTACTAGTGCCAATAAGCTCGTGTATAGTGAAAAACATTCCAACTGAATATCGTTGCACAGCTCCTTTAATCAGGTAGGCTCGAGAACATCAGTATTTTAGTGAACGCTGGAGAGGAGACTGCCTTTTCTTCATCATTCGCTCTGCTAAAGTGGAAAGAGGTGGGAGGACCTTCCAATTCCTTCTTGACCTGTCACCGACTATAGTTGTCGCGCTTATTGCCAAAATAAACGTAATTGGTCACAGTTACCCGCACATATACATGTAATTCCTTTACTCGATTACTAGATTTCAAAAGTGTAATAACCTTAAAATCAAATCAAATAACTCTGGAAACCGCCATGCATGCTTGTGTCAGTTGCCCTTTTCGATCGCGTAACTTTTTATTATTGCCCGAAGCCATTGCAAGCGCACACTGATGTTATGATTGGACGCCGAACCGCCGTGACTTTTCAACAGATCATGGTGATTGGCTCTTCGGGTACTGTGCGGGAAAGCAGGCCCGCGATTGTTCTTTGTTAGAGTGAGTAGATAGCGCTCATTCATCCAAATCCGACTGTCCCGATCAACGCAAGAATCCAGAACCGAATAAACTCGGCGCAGGCGAAAACGCATCTCCTCCCACTCGTTGGCGTCTCTGTCCAACGCGTACGACAACCACGCGTTTCTGGTCGACGCCGTATTATTAATTACCCTCTCGCCATTTACACTGTTGCGGAAGAACCGAGCGCTAAATATATCGGCCCGCCATGCCGGTTCTCCACGCGCAATTCTCCTTGCATATACGGCCAACAAAAAAAGGAGTCGTTCATCAAAACACGGCGTTGGGACCGAGGCCAGCCGTAAAAGAGACGCGCTACGTGAAACACTGCCGGCTTCGGATCGTTCCGAGACCTCCCGACTCATAAAGTAGCTGTTTTCGCTACCAAGGTACGGAAAAGGACTCCGCGCAGACCTGCGGAATGCCTCAATCTCGGGATATATATTCCCTCTCGGTCCCCAGCTGAAATACTTATAGTGACCATTGATAACGTTATACGCGGCATTCTTAATCCCGTAAGGGGAAAAGAAATTAGTGCGTTTATTATTTTTTTGGCAAAACACTCGGGATCGTTGAAATGGAAGAAGCTCGATAAACGATGGTGCTGAAACTATGTCTCGAAAAACAGTCTGCGCTGCGACCATGGCGTATGCGCTCGTGACACATCGTGCTCAGTGTCACAGAGCAGGCTTTTTTGTCGTAGGTCAAATCTCGCCGATTGGCTCTCCGAGTGTCTCGCGGGAAAGTTGAGGCTCCCGATTTCGTAGAGTGTGGATATCCTTTGGGAACAAAAAAACAACTCCAACCACATCGTACACCTTTAGAGACTTCTGCGCGTGTATGCAGCCCCCGCGCGGTACACTCCGAACATCATTCATTGATTGATCTTTCATTTTATTAGTTCGGGGAATGAGAAGAAAAGTGAACGGCATCACGAAATTGTCGTCCGGTCTGGCAAATGGAATGGTCGCCCGGAAGTTCGCTGCGTTACCTCGAACATCATGAACGATCAACTTTCTCGAAAAACAGTTTTAAAGAGGATGGATGCATTCTTTCTCCTGAGACTGCTAGGACATTGGGGTCGTGATCTCCGACTGCCCTTTCGTTGGCTCGATGATTGGTGCACGGCGGTAGAGTATACACTTAGGGACTTCCGAGGATATGGAAAGTATTTGTGAAAGGTGGTTTCCCCAACGAAGTGACCATGATCCATATGTGATATATAACAGCAATACAAATAAAATGTTTTTGTTGTTGTTGTTGTTTTTTTGCGGGTTTTGGCAAGGATCTTTTTGTCCATGCATGCAGTTAGCGGAGTTGCATACTTCCTGCCCCCCCCCCCCCCCCCCCCCCCTCTTCTGTATTGAAAATCCTTAATAAACCACTGGCCCTAAAGAAGCAGCCGCTTAGGGCAAGACCAGGATGGGACGTTTAACTTCTGATCAGTGAAACGGAGAATTTATTACAATTCAAAATCATTCGCCACTTCATATATGTATTGGCGGAATCGAATGATAGGCGGAAGTCTCTTTCCCACGACGAGTCCGACTCCCGTTTGGAATCGGCCCCCCTCAAAAACCGGTTTGCCGCGGCGCCAGAGAATTTCGCGCCGGTTTCGAAATGAGACAAATACGGGAGCCGACCGCGGCAGGCTTCGCACTTGGGAACCTGCTCGATCTGGAAAGCGTCGAGTGTCGTCGTTCGAGCGCCCAAATTCTGCAGCGTCGCGAATTCCATGTTCAACCCTGCGTCGATGACTCGATTCAAACGCTCGAAGTTTCGTCTTCTACTTGCAGACGACTGCTACTTGCAAGTTCGTCTGCTACCTGCAAGTTCGTCTGCTACTTGCAAGTTCGTCTGCTACCTGCAAGTTCGTCTGCTACTTGCAAGTTCGTCTGCTACTTGCAGATGACTGCTACTTGCAAGTTTGTCTGCAACCTGCAAGTTTGTCTGCTACTTGCAGATGACTGCTACTTGCGAGTTCGTCTGCAACTTGCAAGTTCGTCTGCAACTTGCAAGTTCGTCTGCAACTTGCAAGTTCGTCTGCTACTTGCAGAGGGGTTGCGGCGACGTCCGAACGCCGAGTTCTGATTGGAAGTGATCCGAAGGCAGCAATCATTGAGATCTATCCACTTCCAATCCGAGCCACTCAGAGCTCGATGTTCTAACGCCACCGCAACACCTACGCAAGAAGCGGGCACAGCACGTATACCGCCGACTCAACTGTCAGAGTCACTGACAGTTGAGGAAACGCGGGCCTCTTCTTTCGCGTTCCCGCCGCAATATCACTGAGCGTTAGATTCTCGGCAATGCACTGCAAGCAACGCAAAGATTCCAACGAGCCAATGAACGCTTGGCGCACGTGAAAATGGGCGACGATAAACAAGTGCAATGCCACACTCATTGTCCCTGCGTGGAGGTCGCAATTTTCAGATCTTGTAATTGCATTGCGAGCTTTATCAATTGGATCCTTGTATCGTTCGGCTTGATTGGCCGTCTCCGTGTTCTGCACAAAAGGGAACTTGGATAGTTTGTTTTAGAATGGATTGCGTGAAACGCGGAGCATGACTTCTTATCGATCGCTTGGCAGCTAATCAGATTGAGTCATTCCCCGTAAGAACGCCGAAAATAGAATCACGAAGGAAGATGCGTGAAGCTGCCTAGCAGTTCTTGGGCTCTTATTGACAGTAGATAATGTCTCAAAGGATTTAGTTTTAGAGTCAATATGGGAAGCGTTATTCGTAAGATGCTCGAGGAAAATTTCATGACCGGTCCTTTCGTAAATTTTGAACGAGAAACTTATCTTCGTAAAGCAAGAAAGCATGGAAAACATATTTTTGATTTGAATGGCTCAATAAAAACACACTGTGCGTCTACTTTTCCTCAGAACATCCGGGAAGTCAGTCACTGTCGCCTACGGATCGCACTAAAAAAATATTTAAATAATTAAAAAAAAATCACTTTTACAAAAGGAAAAAAAAATTGCGCAACATTTTACACGCTCACGTTATGTTGATTAACAATGCAATTAAAAGTTTTTTGGCCAAAAGCCTCGTCTTTTTTTTACATCCTTATTTGCGCAATTCCCTGTTCGGACCCAGCGCGACTGACTCTACAACGAGTGTTCTGCGGGAAATCACAAACCCGCGTGCAACTTTCATTTCTCTATTCTGAAACGTACTTTCCATATCTGCGCTGACGTACCCACGAAGGTGATTCCGACATCGCTTGCGCAGTCACGGTGTATCGGCCCTGTCAATTCTCGGAACACTCGAACCGCGAAGGTCGGCCCCTTCTCCAGGACCCCCGAATCGGGGGCCCCAGTCGAGGGCCCTCCTTCAGCGTCCCCGTCGCGTCCAGTTCAAAGGCAGCGGCGGCGCTAATCCCTCAGCTTATTCGGGATTTAGACGTCCGTGGCACGGACGTCTCCGGCTGAAGAGCGTGGCCGGGGTTAAGCCCAGGGGTCGTCACACACACCTCCGTCCGTCATTGCAGGAGTTGGACGTTGCTGCTCGTAGCGGCCTTCCTCTTGCTGGGGTCGCCGGCCTGGAGCAGGAGACACGTGAGTCCTTAGTCATATCGCTTAGAATACATCAAACGCAAGACACCACATTCGCTGCAGTCAGGAGAAGTCTGCGGACAAGCCTGAAGAAACAAGTTTGCTTCTATGCTTGGAAAACGTCTGTAGACAGTTCTGCTACGCTCAGTGGGACCGTCATACGAGGAAGGACCTCAGACACTGTCTCTAGACTTCCTTTTTGTGTGGTGTATTAGCAGTGGGAACGTGGCTTAAAGCCCCTCGTTGCTTTCTTTCTTTTCCAAGAAGCGACAACCAGCGCACATGCAGCACGCGGGAACAAGATGGCGTCTTTCAGTTTATTTTGCTGCTGTGCGCAGTTATTCGCTTCCTAAAGCCTGCACCGCCGTGCAGTCGGCGCTTCTAAGAACTTTAGATCTATACTTTGTCCCATCCTACGGTGGACTAAAGGCCAAAGCCACGGGCCGCCATGCCCAATCACGTTCCACGCTATACTATGACACGCTTAACATTGACTAGGGGCGGACGAATAATGCTCGAATCCAAAAGCGCCGCATCATTTCTATATCTTCGACGCTGCAAAGAGCCTGTATGTCGTGGCTTTCTTTGCGATGTAAAATTGTTGAGTCACTCAGTGCTCTTCGGTTCGAACCACTGTCCAACCGTCCCCTCATCAGTGATCCGAGACGCGGGCACCGATACGTGCATCGAAGCGAAATACCGCACAATTCTTAAGTGGCTCGTGATTGGGTCTGGCGGTCCATAGCTTTTGCCTTTAGTCCATCGCAGGGTGAGACGAAGTATAGCCTGGTTTCGGAAGACAGCGAGTGATACGCGGTTTCGCGATGCGTGCAGAAGATTAGCGATTAGTCTTTCATCGTCACGAGGTCTGGCAGAAGGACGCATGATATTAGTGAGTTTTAGTACTGCGTATACGAGCTAACGCGAGCCCTGTACGTTTGCGTTAGCGTTGCGCGTGCGCGGAGCCCAAACTGCAGCTTTGGATTGGCGCATGGAGACTTCACGCATGCGCATCGTGGAGAACACAACGCTAATGCAAACGCACAGCGCTTGCGTTTGCTCGTATACGCAATACTAAATTGCTCGTATACGCAATACTTACGGCGTGGGCAAACATAACAAAAACACCAGTGATTAGCGCTCGAACTGCACCAGGGCATTGCAAGAGCTCCTGAAAATGTACATTGTAAGAAACCAACAAAAACAAACGTGTGCGTTTTTCTCTCTCTTTACAATAAGCAGGTAGCCGATAACTGCGTACAACAGATGGAGGCCAGCATATCTCAAAGCTCTAAATTTGACTTGACCTGCGAAATGCAATGTTTTCATTGTGAAACGTGATGCTCGTTGTCCCTGTGCACATATGTCACATTTCGCGTCTAATCGGCGAGCTTCGTGGTTTGCTGGGGTTTTTTCCTGGGCAATTAGTTGACCACGTGTTCGGCAAGGATGTGAGCGCACGTCCATTATTGAATGGATGAACAGTGGCAGCTACGAGCGAAGGATGCGCGTCTGCTGCAGGCGATCCGGCACGGACGACAGCGTCGCCAGCATCACTTCCAGCAGAACGTGACGCTGGGCTCGGACTCTAGCGGCTACCAGGAGTCCGGGCCCTGGGGTCCTTGGACCGACGCCAGCCTCTGCTCGAGGACCTGCGGCGGCGGGGTGTCCTTCCAGAGCAGGACCTGCGACGACGTCCGGTGAGCTCGTCTCCCGAACGGGACGGACAGGTCCTTGAGTTGTCCCGCTTCCAGCGTGACGCGAGAACACTCGAGCGTTGCGTGAGCCCCGAGCGTGCACGCCCACTCAGGCACGGCGAAAGGCATCGAGCCCGTGCTGGAGTCTCCGAGAGAGGCGTTCTGCCGCCGCGCTCATCGTGCCTTTAATTGTTGTTCATTTTAGGGTGCCGAGAAGAACCAACATCAATTAGAACCATAGCCTCCTATATACTGACAAAACCTGGCAGATCGCCACAAGAAGCGGCCGCCGAAAGGGAAAGGGTGAAGCGGGAGACAACGGATGAGAGGAGAGTCACATGGCTGGCGCCCCGCTGCGGCGAGCACTTCTCCCAAGCGAACAAGCGTGTTTCGTGTCCTCGCCGCTGTAAAAGCTGTGCGCTGACGTCGAGGTTCCCCGAGAAATGGCTGTTCGATGCTCTGTGCTACCAGATCCTCGCGCTCCAAATGTGCGACCGGGCACTCAATGACTGCGTCGTCGAACTGCCAGGCTTTGTGAGTATAGAGGAGGCTATGTTAGAACGTATACTCCATCTCACAAATATCTGCAGTGAATTGACAAAGGCATGGGCACGTGCGCGTGGCTTTGGAAAGTGACTCCTATGCACGAGTTCTCGTACAAACAAAAGCATTCTGCCGAGCTATGCTCACGAGCCTGTGCCTTTCTTTTTACTGCAGACATTTGTGTGATGAAGTGCATGCATCACTGACGGTTGCTGAGCCTGCTTAGCAGTCGCGCAGCTTCGTGTTCTTACTTCTTAGCACAAAGTGACTATACGTATGCTTCTGACGTCACGTCAAGTGGCTCTGGCTTTCGAACGGTATGCATGCCCGTATGCTTCGCTCTTCGCGAATACGGATTTTTGCGCACGCGAACAAACGCGCTTATTAAACAAACGGGGACTTGGCGTCTTGGTTTCGACACATGATGCTTTCGGTTTTCATCAAGTCAGTATAGCGTTGAACCGATGATGGTGTGACTGACTTTTTTTTATGCCTCGTGGGAAGTATCATAAAGGTGAAGGAAAAGTTAGGCCGGCTGAACAGCTTGCGAACGTTTTCAAAGATAAACTTCTTGCACTTGAAAAAAAAAAAAAAAAAAAAAAAGCGAGGAAGGTTTTTTGTGTTGCTGGAACGAGCGTTTTTTGTTGTCGTAGACATTGCAGCGTCTAAAGTCAGCGCGCTCCATTCCCCTCCGAAGTGACGGGAGCCTTCTAACTGGCTCACTCTTAAAAAACAACAAAATGTCAGACACAACGGTGGATGACACGATACGCGTTACGAGACGGAAACTGGAAAAGACTCATCCACCGTTCGTTGCGTGCTGCGTTCGTTGTATACCGCGGCAACCCGATCGTCGCACACTCCGGCGTCTCCCACGCTCCGGGTCACGCCTCAGCGACTTCATCTCGAATCCGAGAGCCCTCGCCGCTGAGGTCGTCGTCGGATGCCCCGTGTTCTACACGGCAACGAGGTAGCCGGGGAGATGTTCGCCGTCTCCCGGTAGCGCTGTTCCCGCGCCTGCATGCAGATATACCCGCGGCTTCCTCTCACTTGCTCACTTGGCCTGTCAGCCGGGAGAGTGGCGGTCCTCCGAAGCGTGTCGTGCCAGAAGTCCTCATCCTTCATCCCTTAGAACCGGATGCCTTTTGCGTTGACGGTTCGAGTGACTCACCGTCTAGTGAATGACCAGATAGAGACAGAAAAAAAAAAAAAATGCAGACACACATTTTACTTCGAGCGTATACTATGTATCTTGCACATTGTCTCAAGTCACACTGCTCACATACATGATACAAAAGACAGCGCTGCAGGCACGATGACACCTCCGGACACGCTTCAAGGATCCTCAAAGTATGTTTGTTTCACCACACAAAGCCTACCAGTTCGACGACGGAGCCATAGAATGCCCGGTCGCATGCAGATTTGGAGCGCGAGGATCTGCTAGCACAGAGCATCAAAGAGCCATTTCTCGGGTGAACCTGGACGTCAGCGCACAGCTTTTGCAGCGGCGAGGACCCGAAACACACTTGTTCGCTAGGGAGAAGTGTGTTTCGGCGTCTCGCCGCAGCGGGGCGCCAGTCACGTGGCTCTCCTCTCATCCGTTGCCTGGCCGCTCCACCTTTTCCATTTCGGTGGCCGGTTCTCGTGGCGATCTGCCAGGCTTTGTCAGTACATATAGGAGGCTATAGTTTCACACATATGTACGCTTCGACCATGTCCGTAGACTCTGTTTTGTACGATGCATTTGCAGTGGGACTCTCGGCTTGAGGGTGATTAAAAGGGAGACCCACGACTGGTGTTCCGGGCGCCCTTGAGGGGCCGTGACGCAGCATCTGAGGGCGATGCGGGAAGCGAAGCCCCCCAAAAAATGTCCTTCCAGGCTCCGATAGTGTCTTGTTTGCGTTTTACGGCGTAAGGAACGTTCGGTCAGATACGGTACGCGTTCCCCCGTGCATTCGCGCTTCGCTTACATCAGAGAGACTTTGAGACTTCTGAGAACGTTGACATTTTCTTGTATTGCGTTCTTTCTTTTCCTTTTCAAAAATGAATGTTCGTTTTAGGCAAACAGAGCCAAGCTGGTGCAAAAAAAAACAAAAAAAAAAAAAACAAAGACGCGAGCAATTTTAATGACAAAAAAACAAGAAAGGAAGATAGGACGCGAGAGAGACGGAAGGAGGCTATGGACGGAGGGATAAATCAAGAAGTGTGTGTGTGTATCGGGGTTGCGGTTCGGGAGAGGAGGGGCGTCGTTGGAGCATGACAAATCGGGGAAGGGCCGCAATGTGGGGGCAAACTTGGAGGCATTTTTTTCTTCGAGAGAAGAGAGCGAGGAGGTGAGAAAGCCGGGGAGGGGTGTCGACCCTCGTGTGAACTGGGAAAGGCACGTTGTTTTAACGTCGAGAACTTTGAGGCGATTCATTCCGGAATAGGTTAGTCGACGTCGTAGCCAAACGACGGCTCTCTAAAAAAAAGAAGATAAAAAAAGATGGCAGTCAACTTTTCTGCAGGACAAGGAGACAACCAATCTCGGCACACAAGAGATGGAACCAAGCGAATCGCGCACATAACTTTCTTTCTCTTTTTTTTTTTTTGTGTGTGTGTCTAACGTGTTTTGAGTATTCGCTGGGATCCTTCTGTTGTTCACCGTGAGTGGCTGCTTCCGTGTTCTGCAGAAAAGTGAACTCATTGACGTGTTTCCACGGGATTCGCCACGATTATACCTCGCAATTCAAATTTAAATCTTTATTTTTCTAGACGTACACTGGATGGAAGGGTGTCTCAGACCAAAAGCTGCTAAAAGCAGCTGAAGGAGTCTGGGAGAACGTTACACGGGCAGCTGCTTCGAAAACAAACGAAGAGCATATGATCAGACATTACGTATTTCACAATGAGACAGCATTAAAAAAAATCTATACAAGACACACATATCAAGAACATTTAACAGCCTAGATAAAATGCGAGCGCAAATCCGCTCTTCAAGTCAAAAGTACATCTCTCATAATATATACAGTTTTTTTTATATATTCTTGCATATTTGTTATAAAAATGCTATGAAAGCTACACTTATGCGGTTTGTACGAGTGAGTTATACGCCTAGGGGGACATTATGTGAGTGGCTAATCTTTGCGATAAGTCGGCTAATTGATTAAAATTCGTTAATTAACTTTTTAATTGGAGAAAATAGACATACGGTTCCAATTAGAAACTTGGTGAACGTCGTCCAAAACCCCTAAATCAATCAATTTCAGAAATACTTTCAGCGCGTGAGACGAGTAGGAGTGCACCAAAGTTACCACTCGTGGAGCAGGTGTACAAGGCTAGCGATTGCGGTAAGGCCCCCGAGCAATTTTTCCGTCTCTTATCTAGCCCCAGCCTTGTACCTGCTCCACGAGTGGCAACTTCAGCGCACTACTACGCTTCTCACGCGCTGAAAGTCTTTCTGAAAATGACTGATTTACGGATTTTGGACGACGCTCAGCAAGTCTCTAATTAGAACCATATGTCTATTTCCACTAATTGATAAGTTACTGAGTGGATTTCTGATTAATTAGCCGAATTATCGCAAAGATTAGCCACCCACATAATGTCCCCCTGGGCGTATAACTCACTCGCACACACCGCATAAGTATAGCTTTCACGGTTTTTCTTAAAGCAAATCTGCAAGAATAAAAAAAAAGAGAACACCCTGTAGATATATGTATGTGTGTGCGTGTGTGTGTGTGTGCTCGTGTGTGTGTGTGTGTGTGTGTGTGTGTGTGTGTGTGTGTGTGTGTGTGTGTGTGTGTGTGTGTGTGTGTTTTGGAACTGTCAGGAGGGTGTGGTTGAGGGATTGTAAAATGTAATTTGTGCGGTGTGGAGAGACCAGCCATGGTGGACTCACTTCTACGAAGGAGAGGAAACGTAAGAAATGACGAAATCCGATTTAAGGAAAGCCGGCATTCCGAGGCCTCTGTTGAGGAACACAGGAATGCCTGGGGGCAAGTCACGTGGTCTGTTCTTCTCCGCTGCCTCTCGAAGGTCCCTCGGGGGTTCAAGTGAGCGTGGCTCTCGTCAGCTCTGCAGCTCTCGCGTTCGGAGACAGGCGCTGGCCGGATAAGCGGGGGTCGTTCGGGTTCACACACACTCTCTCTACACACGCTCATGCATCCGTCCCGTGAACCAGGCCAAATCCTTCGATATCATTTTTATTTACTGCAATACACTCGAGGCCCTGATGGACATTACAGACGGGGTGGGCACATAAGCATACACATAAAAAAAAAAAAAAAAAAAAAATAACAGAAACCAAAAGAAAGAAATACAGTCACGACACATAAAAAAAAATAATTAGTAATAACCGTTTTAAGCAAAAGTGATATGTTGCTACCTAATAAAAAAAAAAAAAAAAATAAACGCCATGCCATCTTTTCTTTTTTTGGCGCTTGGTGAATTTTTTTGTGAATTAAAGTGAGGATATTTTAAGTCCTATTTTTTCCGTGTGTATCTGTGTAGAGGAGGCGTTGCCATACTGTGAGGGTTGTTTCTGTCGATTTTCGCTGAATCCGCCGGCAATTCGCCGCGACTCTGCCCCCCCCCCCCCTCCCCCTCCCTTTCTTTCCTCTTTGCTGCAGTTCATGTTCAGTGTTGCCGGACTGTTGGGGGATTCCGTCATTATTGGCTGAATCTCTCGACAGTCTGGCAACTCTGCCTCCCAGCGAGTCCGGTGTTACGGAAACGCCGAATAGGTTTGACCAGGGGAAATTTGGTGACTCCCGGGCCGGGCGGAAAAGTCAAAGTGATGTTTTTCTTTTTTCTTTTTTTTTCTTTCTTTATCTTCGAAAGATTATTTTGACGATATCCCACACCGCCTGGTGATAGTTACAAAAATGCAGAGGGGAAGAAAACTGACTTCGAAGGGCGAAGGTAGGAACGAGACTTTTGGTTTCTAGGCTAGATGGCACAAGCTACCGCCCTTTATAAAGGGTGCAGCCGTTAGCATCCATCCATCCATCCACCCATCCCTCGACTTCAGATTCGGTGCTTCCACACTGTTGGGAGATTCCTTCAATTTTGGCTTCATCCCTGCTAGCCTGGCAACTCTGCCCCCCGCCCCCTCTTCCTCTCCGCTGCACTTCAGATTCAGAGTTGCCAGATGTGGGATTCCCATAAGAAAGGCCGACTGTCCCTGAAGATGTTTTTGGCTTTATTTATCGGGTTCAATCAAATTTGAAAAAAAAAAAAAATAATAAAACATAAAAAAAGCAAGTGCGCAAACGAGCCGGGGTACATGAGGAGGATGATCGATATTATGTACAAGATAGCCATACCATAATATTGGATAAATGACGGGTCTAGCCGTCGGTCCGTTCGCAGGGTCCCTCGAACGGTTTCCTTCCCTCCTTTCAGCGCTGACGGACATCACAGCTGTACGGGTCCTGGCAAGAGGTACACGTCCTGCAACGTCCAGGTGAGCTCGACGCGTCGTCGCTTCTCGGCCTTTCGGGCAAGAAGAAAACAGCGGGAGCTCGACAATGCACATTGCTCAACGCGGCTGTAGCTCACCGGGCCTTCCAAGTGGATTGATAACAATCCGAGCCTTTGATTCGAGCGCCAACTTGGGCCAGCCACCCAACTGCCGCAGTGCGCATACGTCATACTGCTGCCGAGAATAGTATCCGCGTCTCGAGCATGTTGGAAGGCTTAGATCACGGAGATCAAGTTCGTCCGGTTCTTGCACAGGGGTTACGACAATGTCAAAAACGCTGAGCTCCTATTGGCTAATTAAAAAAAAAAAATAGGGGGTACGTCTACTCACTATCATTTCAGTCAAAGCCAATCGGAGCTCGGTGACTTTCTGATGTCACCGCAGCCCCTGCGCAAGCAGGGCCGACTTGCTCACCGTATTGCCAAATTACCCGAGCATCGAGAAGAACGCTGGGAACATATATGGAACACGCGATGCTCGCACTCACCTTACTTACCGCTCATTCACACTGGAAGCGGATCCACGTTCGCAAAGCGGTAGCGAACGCGGTTGTATAAAGATCCAGTGCAATTGCACGCGCACTCGATGGCATCAAGTGCACGTGCAATTGTACTGGATCTTTATACAACCGCGTTCGCAACCGCTTTGCGAACGCGGATCCGCTTCCAGTGTGAATGAGCGGTTAAAGAGTCAAGGTAAATCACAGAAATAAGACACGGATAAACGCGCACGCGAAGTCGCGTTTGTTTTGAGTTTTTGTTTTTGCACACGCCAGCACGCGCAGAGTGAAAATACACTCGAACACGCTGTATGGTGTTTGGCTAATATACCTATTAGCGGCGAGATGTTTTGGTGGCGCCCTCCTATGGTTCCCCCTTGTGACGTCATTACCTTGCGAACAACAAGTTAAATGGTGTTTGTAAATAGCATGGTGGAAGCCTGAAATCGTTGCGCTCTCAATGCAACACTGCCAACACCGTCGAAATTAAAGTTCTTTCATTCCTCTTATTTCCGTCGATGGTATACCCTTTCCGACGTCATAGTCAGCTTTTGGACCAATCGTGGAAGGCCGACCACAGCGACGCTTTCGGTCGCGCACGTCGCCAATAGACCTATTGCTAAATTACCCCAAGCAGCAGGGAGAATACAGGGATTGGTGTTCCACGTGTCACACGTACACGCCTTCCCCGTATAAAAGATTCGAAGTGAATAACTAAAATAAAGCGTTGACGAACGCGCGTGCAAGATGCAATTTATTTTAGGCATTTGCTTTTGAAAAGCTACTACTGCTGAGGCCAGGACGTGCGGCGCGTGGAGAACCAATCCCTGCATCCTACTTGATGCTTGGGTAACCCCAAGGCGCTCTAAATGAATTGCATTTGTAGAGAGTCTACTGCGACGTCATGGTATCATGTGGCGTCACGCGTGACATTATGACGGCACGATATCACGTCACGTGACCTTCATAAAAGCACTTGGTTACGTGAACTTACTTCTCGTGACTTCATGGGTCACGTCACGATATGACGTCATATGACACCATGACTTCACAGTGTCACATGACCGCGTCGTGTGATCTCATGGTTGTCGACCGTTTCGCTAATGACATCGGGTGAACACCGTCACGTCACGCTGATAGAGCTAAGAGCATATGCTAAGCATTTAATAGTACTTTATTTTATATAGGACGGACAAAGAAGCAAAAATACGGCTACCACTTCGCGCTGTGCTCACCAGGTGTGCCCTTGCTCCAGACAGCCTCTCATCTATTCATCTGACCGATACTATTTTTGTACTACTTCATTAAAGCTGCCAAAATTGCCTATGTAAAGTAAAAAAAAAATCTTGCCGTGGCATTTACAGAATGTGTAACACGAGGGAGTGGTCCCAAATTTAAATGATAAAACTGGCTTCGAAAGAAGAAAATGCGCAGCAAAAAGACAAGCGGCATAGCTAAGTCTAAAACTGAAGTAATAATAATAAGAATAAAAAAAGCCGCGTTAGGGACGCGCGTCAGCCATGATTGACAGGACCGGTGGTCCCCTGGCGGCCGTCGTCTGCAGATGGGCGTCCCGCGGGGCGTCTGCTTCCAAGCGCGTCGCGGTCTTCGGCATCGCTTCCAGCAAAAGGGAGCTCTGAATGCTTCTCACCAATTTATAACTTTTCACGAATATAACAAGAAAAACGACAAGGAGAAGTGAAAAAAAAGAAGGGGTCACGTCCCTGTGTTCAAAGGGTTTTCTCTGGCGCGGCCTTCCGCGTCCTCACTGGAGGCAGACGAGGCCGCAGAGTGTCGTCTGCTGTGCGAATGAACTCTTTCATAAACGGAGACTGCCAGCCTCCTTTTTTCGTGTCACCTCAGTAACCTCCTCCCTCTCCCCCCCCCCCCCCCCCAAAAAAAAAAAAAAAGAGAAAAAAGAAAAAGAATAAAAAAAAATTATTTTAGTATAACTTTAAGCGTTGGAGATTTAGGATAATGTCCAAGTCTGTTTTCGTCCTTATGTTAGTTTTGTACTTTCTTACTGTTACATGTGCTCCAACACGCTCGTCAAAACCTTAAAAAATAAAGGTATCTTAATGTACGTAAAAAGACGAAAGACACCGAATTTGCAGCGGAAGAGCGCGTATAGTTTTCTCCTTATAATTAAGTTAAATTAATAATTAATGACAACTAATTAGCGGAACCTTCTCAATTTAGCGAAAAATAAATCCGTTCGTAAATGAAATAACCCTCGAGCTTTTAGCCGAGGGACTTAAATGTAAACATCTTTGACACATGTCTCGTTCACCCCCCCCCCCCCCCCCCCCCCTCCCACGCAAGAAAAAAAAAATCATCCATAATGTGAGTTATTTCTAAGAACGAGGACAAGTGCATGTATACGCCTCGCAAGTGGGCTCATTTTCGTCTTTTGCGCATGAGAAAGGAAGTAGCGGTGACGTCAGAACGCCGAGCCCTGATTGGTTGATCGCGATTCCCTTTCTGAGCGCCGTCTGCTCCTTTGCAACGTCGTCTGCTCGCAACGTCGTCTGTGTCTGTCTCACCTTTCCTGCGACATTCGGAAGTGCAGGTCTTTACGAGCGAGCTCGACTTGGCCTTTCAGAGAGGGCAGACGAAATAACTTGAGCGGTACGTTGTTTTCGTCTGACAACTAGCAGGCGCGCATCAAGGAGGGACATCGAAGGACTCACTGGCGAGGTGTCCCGAGGCGACGAGGTTTGTTTGCAAACCTCGTCGCCTCGGTGGTTAGTGTCCGCAAGTTCCCTCCTAAATACTTTTTCCCTCCTTTCGTGTGCGGCGAGACCCCTCATTCTTTAACGGCGTCGGCGGGTTGGCGCAGTTAACGTCGTCTGCTTTACGTCATGTATAGTCAAATCGATGACTGCTTTTTCCTTTCTTGCGTGTCGGAGATTCACCGCTTTTTCACCGGCGAGAGTCCCCATTGCCTCGGGAAACAAGGAGATAACAAGAGGAAGACGTTGACCTCTTAATCTAAAACTGAGGTCAGCGATCAAAGTATAATACGGGAAGGGTTCACAAGGGTCACAAGGGCCTGTTCCATTCAACACACCAGCCGGTCGTGGGCAGACGGTCGCCGAGTCGCGGAGTGCCTGCTAGGCTTAACTGCCGTGCTCGCTTGGTCGCGTTCGGTGGAATCGTGGCCGTTGGAGCTTTTTCCGAGCGTTGTGGATCAAACGTTCTTGTTCGTCGTGGCCTGTTTTAAGTTACACATTTTTGAAAACCGGAGACGACGGACGAAGAAGGGGACAACACACAAAACGTCTCAAACGCAGCTACTAAATTTTATTTAAACAGTCATTTATATAGCATCTCTCCCACACGTCTTCCGGAACTGCCCACGTCACAGCAACTTTTAGCCAGGGTACATCTCGTCTTGACCCTTTTTTTTTTTTCTCTCTTTTATCACCTCACTTAGTTTGTACAAAGCATTGCAATACAAGCACCATCATCACACCCGCTAAAGTCGGACACAAGGAACCACACCTTCACACCCCAGGTAACCTAACTGGCAAAAAAAAAAAAAAAAAAAAAAAAAAAATTGATAACAACACAAAACTTTTTGGGTGGCTTCGTCTAGTCTGATAACAATTCAAATCTCCGAACTCCCTTCATTGTCGCAACCCCCGAAGGTCAGATCCAACGCACACACCTTCACACAAGCTGCAAGGCCTAACTCGCATCTCGTATCACGCACAAGCACGCCGTATTAAAACATACAAAAAAAAAAATTTACAACAGCAAAAATTTTTGGGTCGCTTCGTCTAATGCGATTGACGGCTGACTGATACAGTTTCCTACAGTCGTGATTCTAATTGTCTCTTTCAAAACTCTTTTTGCGCAATCTTTTTCTTTGCTTAAAACAACAGTAGACCCCCACACCGGCAGACAATTATTGCACTCCTGTACGTGTTTAGCAATCTCAGAGTTTGAAGACCCGACTTTAGCGGGTGTGATGATGGTGCTTGTATTGCAATGCTTTGTACAAACTAAGTGAGGTGATAAAAGAGAGAAAAAAAAAAAAAGGGTCAAGACGAGATGTACCCTGGCTAAAAGTTGCTGTGACGTGGGCAGTTCCGGAAGACGTGTGGGAGAGATGCTATATAAATGACTGTTTAAATAAAATTTAGTAGCTGCGTTTGAGACGTTTTGTGTGTTGTCCCCTTCTTCGTCCGTCGTCTCCGGTTTTCAAAAATGTGTAACATCAACCAGCTCGCCTGCCTACTTACTTTATCTTGTTTTAAGTACTTTTTATTTCTTTCTTGCTGCTTGAAGTCGGGACCCGTGAGAAGCGCACGTAGAAAAATAAACGTCCGTGGGTCGTCGTGACCGCGACGCAGTTGGTCGTGCTGATTTGATCGTAAGAAGTGCGTAAAGGGGTGTCCAAACAGGACACTACAAAACGTACGACTCCAAAAAATCGTGAAAATTGAAGCGGGCGCGTCCGCTTCAATTTTCACGATTTGTCGGAGTCGTGCGTTTTGTAGTGTCCTGTTTGGACACCCCTTAAGACAGCTTCGGAGCTGTCGTAGGATTTCGTCGTAACCTGCGCAAAACTTACGACGTTTCGTGAATACGAATTTGTTCTTAAGATTTGCCTTACGCACATTTTTGGCGTAAGGTTGTTTCGTGAATCTGGCCTCTGCACTTCCGAAAGTCGCAGGAAAGGCAAGACAGACGCAGACGACGTTGCGAGCAGACGATGTTGCAAGGGAGCAGACGACGCTCAGATAGGGGGTCGCAATCAGCCAATCAGGGCTTGGCGTTCTGACGTCACCGCTACCCCCTGCGCAAGAAGCAGACGAACTTGCCCTCCGCATTCAGGCAGTTTGTCTCATCCACAGTAACGGGGATCGTATTAAAGCCGCAGACAAACCATACAAAACATGCCTCAAACAAACTTTAGTCGTGTTCGCAGATAACTATGTCGCCATGTCTGCAGCGAACATGTGTGCACACATGGCGACATAATTATGTGCGGACACGACTAAAGCCTGTTTGAAGAATGTTTGCTTTATACTATGCGTGCTTCAAACGTACCTGCAGAGAGTTTTTGTACGACCAATGCCTGGACGCGTCTCCGACGGGTGTGTTTACCGCGTCCAAAAAAGTGGTCCCTCCATTTCTGCCTGATGACGTCATACAAGTGTCATGCTGTCGCCTGTCGCGATCCTGGCGGCGTCCCAACAGCTTGTGTGTATGTGGCAGACGCCTGTTCTGCTCCAGGTCGCTCTCCAGTTCGACAGTCCACGGAAGCTTCAGCAGCCAGAGGTTGGGACGCCATAACGACAGCGACACTCGCGTTCGTCTGCGCTACCCGCAGCTTCTCGTTTCTACGACTAACCACCAGGATCGCGACATGCAACAGCGTGACATGTCGGCTTCTGCGACGTCATTTGTTACCACCTCGGGACTCCTTTTGGTGTTTGGGCAGCATAGGACGCTGAGCACACCAGTCGAAGACGCGCATCATAATACAAGGAAAAAAGGGACCTCAGACACTGTCTGAAGGACTGTCCTTTGTACGATGCATTATCAGCGTCACCGTGGCTGAAAGAGACACAGCCATATCTTTCTGCGGTTTGAAACTCGAACCAAATTTTCAGATCGCAGTCACCCAACGCGAACCCATAACTGAAAGAGTGAGCTTTTGTGTCTTTAGAGCGGGCTATGTCCGGCTCTAAGCAACGCGAGCGAGGTGCCATAGCCTCCTGTATACGGAGAAAGCCTGGCACATCGACGACGGAGCCATAGAGCGCGCGGCCGCAGGAAAAAGGAGAGGAGGAGCGCGCCGAACGGCGACCAATATGGTAGCGCAGAGCAGAAAGGGCAGACCTAGACAGCGAGCGCTTGGGTCATGAGCGGCCGCTCCCCGAACCACGCTTGTTTTTGTGTTTTCGTCACCGTCGTTTTCGTACTCCGGGAGAAACGGGCGCGGCGATTCGAAAGGGCGCAGGGAGAAACGGGAAAGGATGGACGTTGAGTTTCTCCTCTCCGCCATAGAGACAAGAAAAGAAAAAAAAAAAAAAAAAAAGGTTGTTTCTGCGTTTGGCCGCTCGCTCTTTTGTGGCGCTAGCGGGCAAGGTTCTCTCCGCTCCCGTTTCTCAACCCCTCCTTTCCCATTTACGGCGGCCGTCTTTTCACGCGACGCGCCAGGCTTTCTCCGTATAGAGGAGGCTATGGAGGTGCGCAACAGGCTTCAGGAAGCCCGCGTGTATCTGAAGGAGACATTGTGCCGTTGCCGGAAATCGGTATTGTCGTTGTTGCTCGTAGAGTTCCGAGGAAGGCCGCAAATTGACTTGGTTCGAACTTCTCGGCAAGGCGTCGGCGTGCTCACCGACGCACAAAGCCTCAGCGCCTCGCGCCGTTTTCCTTTTTTTCTTTCTCAATCTTTATTTGGTTTTGCATGAAATGAGTAAGTCATACTGCTAATATATATATCATGCGCATACTACAGTCATACGGACACTGTCCGAGTTTCTTTCTTGTATGACATTCCTCACGCAGAAACTGTCTGCGGACATGTTGGAGAATCAGAACATGCCCGAGAGGCAGATAATTCGGTCATTATGTCCGCAGCGAGCACAATGTCTTTTACGCGTTGCATAAGCTCCAGGAGTAGATGACACCAATTCGTCTTCCAAATGTACTTTTTTTTTTTTTTTGCTTCTTTCAAGATTGGAATATTTTTTCCTCGGCTTCGTTCCGGCGAAAGCAACGAGATAACGGCGCCCTTGAATAGTTTCTACCCGTGAAGTCACGATTCTCAGCAGGATTACTAAAGACGTCATGGTGGGCGTTTGACCATTCGTGGGAGGCCGACCGCAGCGACGCTTTTCGCCGCGCACGCGGAAGGCCAGCAGAAGTTCAACGGGTTAGACACGCTTGTAACGGTAGTGTATCATTCATTGAATTGTTTACACGATCAACTTTTAGGTAATGTGGGCGCTTATCGCCTGCTCCGAAACACCACAGAGGTTTTGACATGGTTAGGGCAAAAGAAGCCACTTTCACGAAATAAGAAAGAAATCCAACATGCAAAGACCCACAAAAGCAGCGTACAAGGCGCCTAAAAGCTGCTTCACGCAGCCCCGTTTACGCCTGCTTGCGCCACAGGTCACCAGGACCTCTCTGCTTCATATTCAGATAGCCTGGCACGCGACATTCCAGACATAAATGTTGAGTGCCAGGTTGAATGAAAACGATGCTATACTTCGTTTCAGCTTAATGGGATGCTGAACCAAACATTTTATTGTCTATAAAAGGGGGCGCACTATCTTTCCATGAGTCAGCAGCCACCGGTGTGCGCGAGCACACGCAACGAAATTGACGTCATCATATCCCCCATTCAAGCTTATTGGGAAATATGATGACGTCAATTTCGTTGCGTCTGCTCGCGCACACCAGCGGCTGCTGACTCATGGAAAAATAGTGCGCCCCCTTTTATAGACAATAAAATGTTTGGTTCAGCATCTTTTTAAAGGGGAAAAAAAAAAAAAAAAAACTTAGATGGTTTTTATGCGGCCTCCAGGATCACGAATATCGAAATTATTTTTCAATTTTGTGCGTGGACGCTGCAGAAATTCATTTTTAAAGTATCGCCAAATCCCTTTCTTCTCGGCACGTGACGTTACACTTGGAGTTTTCGGAATCCCTGCTCTCGCGCATCTTCAGCGCCTGTCAAAGCTATGCACGCGCACTCTCGCTATTTTTAGAAATGTCAGAAAGAGATGGTCATGACTGGTGTCAGTGTGGGCGAATATACCTGGCGACACGCGCTTGGCGGCCCAAAGATCTTAGTGTGACGTCACGACTCGTCGGAGGTTTTTCGCGTTCTCTCGCGTTTAGTTACATCTTCGGGGGAAAACGAACGTGATATTCAGATGCACGGGATAAAAATACGCCAGAAATCACCTCTCACTGGTTTCTTTTTTTCTTTTTCTTTTTCAAGAAGTGTTTTTTCCGGTGCAGTCCGCTTACCGCGGCTATGATGGCGGATTGTTGGGTGGCCCCCTGGGCAGGCGCTCACACGTAGCAGTAAGTGGGAATGGACAGATCAGACGGGCCAGCATACCAGGACAGTCTCCTTGGCAGGTAGTCAGTGTTTATAGTTTTGAATAACACAGATGGCAGATTTTTTTTTTGTCTTAGGACAATTGTTTACATATTTAATCAATTTCGGTAACTTCTTTCACTTTCTTCTTTTTTTAAAATCTGCTTTTCACTTAGACAGCCCAATGACATGCTTGTGACCTGACATTTCGATGCGAGTTTAAAACGAAATGTGCCACCTGAAGAACGGCCTCGTCCGAATCGCCAGTTTTCGTGACTCAAACCAAGGTATACTAAAATAGAACGTACAGGCGAATAAGTGATCTGGTTGTCTACATTCTACTTTCACCCTCTGGTTTTACAAAATCCGTTATTCAGGGGCAGAAACATAAAGCGCAGTAACTAAGAATGTCGTCCATTTGTAGTTTGCAGCGCAGTTTCCTCTCCCATTAATATTATTATTAATATGATTTTTTATGAATCTTAAAGAATTCTCTTATATGTAAGAATTCCCCTAAAGGCTGAAGAAATTTCTTCTGGCTTGTAATAGGCAGAACAGTTCAAATTCATTGTCATAGAGAGAACATTCTCCACGTCGCTGAAAGGTCCCCGCTTTTCTACAAGATTCAATATGGAAACAGTGAACACTTCGAGAAGTAAAACGATGTGTGCAGCTTTCGGCGTAAAAACAGACTTGGCTAAAAACCCGCTATACCAAAAAAAAAAAAAAAAAAAATAAAAAATAAAACGTCAAAAATGCTCTATAAAAAAATGTAAAAAAGTGGAAGTTTTCCGTTTGGCTTCGATTAGAAAGACATGCTTTCTAATCGAAGGCGGTTCAGCACGCAGCGGTGGCATCAATGTGCCCGCACTGTAAATACATACACACACACACACAAAAGAAAAAAAAGAGAAAATGTCTTCACTGTTGCAATGACGACAGGCTGCAGTGGTGGGCGTGTGAAGCCCGTCGGTGTACTTTTTCTTTCACCTTCCCTGTAGTGCACGGTGGAGCTGCTATCCTTCCGAGTGAAAGAAACAATCACTGAGTCACTTTCGCAAGCGCGATCGTAGCACCTCCCCTTTTAGCCCACCAAACCAACGTTGTGCAAGCATCGTTCACGGCAGCACGCTCGTAGCTTCGGCTTTGCTCACACATAAATATATTCAACCGTATGTTACTAAACATACTGAGAACCAAATTTCGTCTTATTGTCGTAATTATGGACAAATACTTCCAGTTCGGCTGTCGAACTTGGCGCCGACAAGAGAGAGCGAGAGAAGGGGAGAGAGATAGAGAGAAAGGAGACCGGAAATAAACGTTTCCGCGCCAGGCTCCGTGCTGCGCAGGATGGTGGCGCCATCCATTGACCACCATATGAAACTCCTTCTTTGAGAGTGCACGGTGCACGTGCTAAGCCTCACTAGCCTCATCGAGACTCGATCGACTCCGGTCGCCTCGGTTACGAAGAAAACGTGCAAGCGTGCATCTGGACTGGTGTTGGCGTGATGTGGCTGAAAATGAGTTTAACCAGTGTTCTTCGTGTCCTCACAACAACCCTAGAACCAACATGAAACGTGAAGTGACCTTCCATCTGTTTTCAGTGCGCGAATTAGCCTTAATCCGGGGAGTAAAGACGTAGCGCTCTCCTCATCGGCGGATCCCGTTTGACGGCATGGAGGGCTCCGATCTCGTGCTGAACCTGGGCACCCAAGCTCCCCTCAAGAAATCTGCCGCGACCACCGCGAAAAGGACCGACCGTGATGCTGTCGTTGCTGTGTCCAAGGAACCTGGAAGCGTCAGAGCAGGTGGCGCGCAGCGTCCCTTCAAGCCTGCCAAGCGTACCCAAGGTGCCAGCTCCGGGGCCGAAGGCGGTGTCGGCGGGGAGCCTCACACCGGGGCACCGCCGAAAAAGAAGCAGCACGTCGTGACGGCCCTCTTCGACCACCGAACCGTCCTGCCGGAGGTCGATGTCAAGCCGACCGAGTCCAAAAGCGAGCCCGTGTTCTCGTCGTCGCAGTTCGCCGACTTCGACGTGCATCCGCACCTGGTGTCCTGCCTTCGGGACCGCTTCGGCATCACCACCGCCACTGAAGTCCAGAAGCTCGCCATCCCGGTGCTGCTGGACGGCCGGGACGCCCTCATCAAGTCCCACACGGGCTCTGGCAAGACGCTGGCGTACGCCGTCCCAATGCTGCATCGACTCCAGGAGATCCGACCCAAGCTGAGCAGAGCGGGAGGCATCCGCGCCGTTGTCATCGTGCCCACCAGAGAACTGGCCCTGCAGACGTACGAGTGCTTCGAGAAGCTGTCCAAGGCCTGCACGTGGATCGTCCCGGGTGTCCTCATGGGTGGCGAAAAGAAGAAGTCGGAGAAAGCTAGGATCAGGAAAGGGCTCGTCATCGTCGTGGGTACGCCAGGCAGGTTGATCGACCACCTGGAGCGCACGGAGTCGTTCTCCCTCGCCAAAGCCGACTGGCTCGTGATCGACGAGGCGGATCGCCTGCTCGAACTAGGCTTCGAAGAGTCGGTCTCGAAGATAGTGTCTCTCTGGAAGGAGCAGCACCAGGCAGATGGTACCAGCGTTCTGCTGTCTGCCACACTCAGTAAGGGAGTGGAGCGCCTGGCCGGCTTGACCCTGAACAATCCGACGACCGTGGATGTTGCCACGGAAGCGGGCGCAGGCGAGCTCGAAGAGTTTGTCCTTCCGGCTGGCTTGAGCCAGTACTACGTCCAGACGCCCGTCAAGCTTGCTCAGATGGCTCTCTGTTGTCTCCTCTTGGACGCTTGTGTGGTTACAGATGGTGGCAAGGTGATCGTGTTTCTGGCGACGCAGGATTCGGTCGACTTCCAGCAGGCACTCTTTTCATCCATTTTGGGCGTCATGCTCGAAGACACTGACAGGCGAGTAGACTTCGTCAAGCTCCACGGGGACATGACTCAGCACGATCGCGCCGAAGTCTTCCGCAAGTTTAGGGACGCCCCGGCGGGAGTTCTGTTCACGACGGATGTGGCCTCTCGTGGACTGGACGTGCCGCAGGTGGACCTGATAGTCCAGTGCTGTGTTCCGCTACGACCCGAAGACTATGTCCATCGCGCTGGGAGAACTGCCCGCATAGGTGCAAAAGGCCGCGTCGTCATCCTCCTCTTCCCATCCGAGGTAGGCTTCCTGGATGTCCTAGCCGACCGCAAGATAAAGGTAGACAAGATGGAGCTGAAGGAATTGCTCTGCAAGGTGTATGCCCTCAAGCAGCAGATCCTTGAGGCAAGGACTGATCCTGGACAGAAGCTCAAGACCATGGAAGACTTTGTGACAACTCTTCAGCTCATTTTCGAGAATGAGGTGTATGCGGAGCAAGAGCTCCTTGCAATGGCCAAGAAAGGGTTCTTGAGCCATGTTCGATCGTATGCATCTTATCCAAGGGCAATGAGGGAGGTGGTTTCTTTTAGGGCCCTCCATCTGGGACATCTTGCAAAAGCCTACTGCCTTCGAGAGACTCCGAGCACTCTGGGTGCTCAGTGGGCTTCCGAACCACCGAAAGGTGCAACTGGAGGCCATGGCCATCGGGATGCTAGGGCTAAACGGATGAAGAATCCGGGAACTCGTAGGCCGTCAATCGCCAAAGTGAAGATATCCGAGTATGACAGTGGTCTCGTGGCATCCAAGAAAAAAAAGAAATCCAAGAACAGTTGAAGTGTGTCTAAGTGACCTGGCCATTGTGTGTTGAGACTTCTTTTTAAGATGAACATTTGGTTTCGGAAAATTGTCTGATGCTTCGATTTCTTTTACATTGCTTTTCCAAAATGTAACTCGGCCATGTTGAAAAGAGATAAGTGCCAAAGTATTTTTATGAGGGTAAGAGTTTTTGTTCATGTGAAAGGAGAGGTCTCAGCAAGGTAGGCTCTTATCTGTGGCATATGTCTGCATTTCATTGTTGCCGGTGCAAAGTTATTGAGTTCAAAGGATAAAATAAATTGAGGTGGCTTTTGGAGAAAACAAAACTTGTGTGTTTGTCTGTTTTTTTTTTCTTTTTTTAAAGACATGCATGGTTGATTGATTTCCTAGAACAGATTTCACTTAATTAACTTTTTGGTTTTATTCATAGTCAAGCTTTCACATTGACCAAACTCCACAAAATTGAGTAATTGAAAATAAGCACTTGTTATTTCAGCATTTATCACATTGTCTCTCCCATTAGTAACAGCAGTATTTTCTACACTTTTTGAGGCGCTGAATGAGGACGTTTGTAAGACTAGCTCTTTGTTGCAATGCTGTGGAAGTCTTGTTTTGCCATGTATCCCATATCTGCCTCTTATTACTAACTGGCATCTCTGCTCCTTGACTTCTTTGCTTGGATTCAGGACTGCCCGGACTTCACAAAGGACTTCCGGGAAGAACAGTGCGCGCGCTTCAACAGCATTCCCTTTGAGGGGAAGTACTACAGCTGGGTGCCTTACCACAAAGGCAAGTGCAGAGGGACAGTTTCAATGCACTTGCTACATTCACAGAAGACATTAGTGGTAGTAGGAGTGCTCTGGTTTGCTACAAAGGTCTTTAACACTCGCGGCTTTCGGCAACGACGGGACCTTGGCGAAGCCGTCGCCTTTGTTGTTGGTCGACTTGGCCACGCCGGTGCCGGTTTACCGTTCAGTCGTACCAAAATGAAATGTTTGGTTGTAACCGCTTGCTCATTGTCAACACTGTGGGGATTGCTTGCACATCTTGTATCCTTCCTCGTAAAGTTGTGAATGGAAGAAAATGGAGTTTGACAGTGTGTCTACTTTGCATTCTTTTACTGTTGCGACGAGAGGAACCTTTGGGTTAGCATGATTCTTGCGCATGTTGCTGCTTGCGTACATAGCCCTGCTGTGCTGCTAACATGAAGGACAAAGCAAACTTACAACTTTTAATTCCTTTTGTTTGTGACTGTTGGCTGTACCCAGAGGTCCATCATTCTGGAAAAGCTGCGATGATTGCAGATTAGTCATGTTGCTTTGGTGTATTTGATGACGGTGGTGTGACCAATAAACTTTCACTTTGTTTCTGTAGCGGCCAACCCCTGCGAGCTAAACTGCAAGCCCAAGGGGGAACGGTTCTACTACCGGCACTCCTCGAAGACTATAGATGGCACGCGCTGCCACGACGATGGCAGCTTGGACGTCTGCGTGGATGGGCAGTGCATGGTAATCTACGGGTCTTTTTTCAAGCCTTCCACTATACTGCTTGAATTGTCTAGGACATGATACAACAAAGGGTTTAGGTAGCTCAGTTCTACAAGAACATAGTGTGGCTAGTAGGGAACAAAAGAATAAGTGCATTGTCATGTCCTCCTGCCAAACCAGAAGGAAAGCTGAAAGTGTGGTCAAGTAGCTTTCTGAAGTGCTCTCGCTGCATGAGCACTCGTGCGTCGAGGACTTTTGCAAATGGTATGCTCGACAATACTTATGGCTTCCATTCTGACGAGATGGAAAGGAGAATGGCATGCGGATGCCATACACTCGAGGCTTCTTTCGGAACAATGGAGCTTGGTGGTGACACGGTCAGTACTTTGCGAGCTTGCGTTTGTGTGAGTTGTCTAGAGATCCAAGAATGCACTGAACTTTGCTTGAAGTGGTGGCATGGGGGTGAAGAATAACAAACTGATGGAACTTGAGGCAATAGAAGGAAGAGACAAGAAGGTTCTTTGTACAAATTTGGAGGCAAAAATTAAGCCAGAATAAGCAGAAAAGTGACCTTGGTCGAGCTCAGTCTAGGTCACTGTCTCTCAATAGACCCAACAGGATCTAGCTTCGTTGCTTGAGGAAAACACTCATGCTCCCTCATACTACGCTCGTGAAAGTTTCTGCCGAAATAATTTCCATAGCGGGAATTTCGGAAATGGTGGTTTGTTGCGGCTCCAAAAAGCTGCTCAGAAGTGTTAAGAACACGTTTCCTGGGCAACTGACGTGTATTTCTCCATTGACAGCCAGTTGGGTGCGACAAGATGCTGGGCTCCAGCGCCAAAGAGGACAAGTGCCGAGTGTGCCGCGGGGACGGTTCCTTGTGTAGCACCATTGAGGGTGTCTTTGACCTCGACAATTTGGAAGTGGGTGAGTCGCGTAGCCTGTGCGAGGGGCACGGGTCAGTAATTTCTCGTTCATTCAATGAATTACATGATTGCTGCAGATTTCGGCACTTCGGTAGTTTATCTTCATGTTGCGGTTCAAGAAACTTCGTCCAAATTGCGAGCTAAAAACCTACCGTCTTTCTGAGGTTCGTCAAAATATTGGGCACTGGAGAAAATTACCCATCTGCGTTTCCTTAACTCAAACTCTTTTCGTTCTCGTTCCGCCCATTGAAAGGCGCGGCGCAAGAGCTTGAGTACGCACGTGATCTCGTCACTCTGCCATCTCCTTCCGTACAATAAAGTCTGTCTGGTATGGTCCGTGTCACCTTGGCAACAAAGCATCTTCTGTATGGAAGTACACGCGAATGCAGCGTCTGAAGCCAGCAACAGGAGATGCCATCTTTTGAATGTCGTCTGCTAAAGTGAGTGCAGCAATGCTAGCCAAAGTCGGACGCACTGTTGTGAAGGTTGACACTAAGAGCAGAAAGCAGTTGCCTGGCGAACCCTTGGCGGCTCCTATGAGGCTCGGTGCACGCTTGGGCTCGAGACTATATTAAAGTTTCCCAATCTAGGGGTAACTGTGCGCAGTGCTCTCTGCAAAGTTTCTGAAACACTCGGTTGGAAAACTCAGCCTCAAAACCCGGACCGCTCTCGTCCACCAAGACCAAATTGCAGACGATTACAGCATTACACTTTAGCAGCGAAGCAAAACATGGAAGTTGCTTTATATAGCTACTGCGGCATGGCACTGCGAGATGGTGCCACCGGCCCCTGCACGACTCGACCTGTACTGATGCATGCAGTGCATGCAGACAACCGTGCAGACGGGCAGTTTTCGTGGTGGCCACTGCGGGAGAAATGGCGGCACTGCAATGCGTCCAGTTCAGTTCTCGAGTACGGATTGGAAGCCACTTTTTCAAAACGGGCTCCTATGGCAGTTTCTCAACTGAGTTGTCCTAGTAATGTTGGCTGTCTGTTTGAAAGCCTAGCTTGGAACTCAAGCTAGCATTGCTGCATTGGAAGCAGATGGCATCTGGAATATGGCATGGCTGTGGCTGACTTCAAATGCCACGTTTGCATGCACTTCTCTTGACATTCAATGACCATAACAGACGGACTTGATAGTGCAGAAGGATGCGTGGTGTGGTGAGGTCAGATGTATAGTTGGACTCTTTCGACGTGCCTTTAAATAGATGGAACGCAAACGAAAATTTCAGAATGAGGATTTAACTTAGATGGCTGATTTTATCCAGCACCTAATATTTTGACGAGCCTTACACAAAAGCATGTTTTTGTGGCTACTTGACTACTGGTTCATTTTTCTCCTGTAACATGGGGCTAAAAGTTCACACTGCCCAGATTTCTGTCTTTCAATCACATCATCACTCAATCTAGAGGATTTCTTGTCTGTGTGTGAGTTACCACTCCTTCTCTCGCTCTGGCAAATCCTTGTGAACAAGTGTGCAGTCGGTTAATCAAGGTTAACGGGGATGTTTCTGCCCAGAGAACACTGGCGGGTCGGAGGAAAGATGAGCTGTGGGCGTGTTTGTAGGAGTTTGTAGCTTGTCCAGTGTATCTCTCTTCTTTGTCCTCATCCCAGTCGAACCGTTTTTTTCTACGAAAGTTAAGCTGTGGGTGAAAAAAATAGCTTTATTTTATTTGGCTTTTATTGATTTGATAAAATGCTTTCATTCAAGGTACATGTCACGCAGTAAGCATCTAGTCCAAAGTAATTCGTTTGGACTCTTCAGTACGAGTTGCTAAACTATTTTGCATTTAACGTGAGGAATACAGTAATGATAGCGAGGTGGCAGTGCTGTCAATGACGAGATTTTTTTAGTTATATGTTCGCATAAGTGACAAAGAATATATTTGAACGATACTGCCAAACTGTGACCTTGTCAAACAACCATCGTCAAAGTATGTTTTTAAAGAAAAGTGCAGCTACCACAAATAGGGCTGCATACATCCCTCCACGCACCTTAGAACTTTTGAAATGGATGCAAGATAAGTACAGATGGTGCAGTTAAGACACATTCAAAGTGTTTGGGATACAGTGTAATCCACTTACAACGATACCACATATAGGTAACAATGTACCACTTATAACGATCAGTTTCTAGACTAACAACGGTCATTTTCTAGTCCAGATACAATGATCAGTTTTAACGACTAAGTTTTTGGGTTTACATTATAAGTGGATTGCACTGTACTTCTAGTCCCCATTCAAAGCGTAGTTACATTGCTTGCCACGATTGTCACCCCAGGCGAACATCAGTCTACCTCCAGCTGGATTATGGAACTGGAAATGAGGCAGTCCAGCTGGATTCAGCTGGGTCCAGCTGGATCCAGCTGGAACCCAGCTTGACTGCCTCATTTCCAGCTCCATAATCCAGCTGGAAGTGGACTAATTTTCGCCTGGGACACCACTTGGAATTGCTCCCTTAGTGTACAAACTCACTTTTCAGGATACAACGACATTCTGCTGATACCAACGGGAGCCACCAACATCAGGATAGAAGAGAAACACCCCACCAACAACTACCTGGGTGAGAGAACGCGCACACATACGGACATAGTTGAGATGGGTAGTGTCGAGCAACCGCGAGGTTGTGTGAAATGGCTCTGGATCGTCCTAATGCAATAGCTTTTCTAAAGTAAATACCGTGTAGCCAATATATGGATTTACTGAAACAGTGTTCAAGTTTGCTCGTAATACAGGTACAGACATTTGAGGTACTATTATTATAAAAGTACTGATGTAGTAAAGATTTTTTTCTTCTTTTTTTAAAGGACTACAGAGAATTGTTATTGGGATAGTACCATATTTAAAAAAAAAAAAAATGAAATGTGGAATTTTGCGAAATATCGAAGCTCGCAGGTCGTTTCAGTTTTGCAAGCGAATTCCGGCCTGCCCAAAGGCTCGGTAGCAGTGACAGTGGGAATGAAATGCTTGGCTGGACTTTGAATGGGATGAGAAGCTGATGTTCATTATGGTTTGGGAAAAGCTAAAAAGAAGAAAATGTTTAGTCGTGAAAGTAGACACAATAAATAAGGTGCAAAGTTCTTTTTGTACGGGAGTTTCAACGGTGCTTTTAATCCGAAGGACGTACAATCCGACGAACCCCCGGATTCGTTGCCACGCCTCTCTTGTCTCTTTGTCCCCAGCGGTGCGTAATGTGCACGGCATCTACTACCTGAACGGCAACTGGAGGATTGAGTTCCCCCGGAGCATCCGCTTTGCGGGCACCATCTTCCATTACGAGCGCAAGACGCACGGCCTCCACGCACCCGAGAGCCTGGTGGCACTGGGACCGACCAACGAGACCATCCTCGTCGTGGTCAGTACCTCACACTCGGCGACCCCGCCCCTGGGAACCCGACGCTTTTGAAGTCGTTTCAACTTGTTTACCTGAAGCGCGATAATCGCTACGCTTTAGGTAATGAGACCGTCGTGTTTGGCGACCTATTCTGCCCATGCATCGAAAAAAGTCCCCGAGTGGCACCGGATGATGCTACAAAAGCCAGAGTGTCATGCTGTCGGATGTCGCGATCCTCGCCGTTGGTTGTCAAAGTTCCACGAGCAAGCACGAGAGAATGCGAGTGACGCCGTCGTCGAGGTGTCCCAACTACAAAGCTTCCGTGGTCTGTCGCTTTGAAGGGCAACCTGCAAGCGGCGAGGCCGGCGATGGGGTGACACTTCCACGGCGTTGTCGGGCGTGTCGGGCAGCGTACCTAAAGTCAGTGGCACCTGTTGTGAATAACTAGATTGTTGCACTAAGGCTCGGGGAATCAAAACCGATGGTGTGCCGACTGTGTTAACGACAGATGAAGGTTGGGATGTTGCCTGCACACTTGAAGCTGGAAATTGCAAAACGTAGGTTAAAAGACTGGTGGGAAGCCAAGAGAGAAGGGTGGGGTGGTGCCACCACGATCTGCATAGGCTCTTTAGGTGTATTTTTCTCACTTTTCTTTTTTGGCAGGATCTAATTTTTTTGATGCGATCGCCTGTTAGGAAGGGTTAAGCCACCACAATCCAATCCAATCTTCTTTTCTCGAGGCACAGTATGTAGTGAAGGATATTTTAAGTGGTGCAAGAAGGAAAGAGGGTTAGGAGAGGAGGACATGGCTCCCCTCCGCCAATACCTTAATTCTTAAAGTCCGCTTCCTCGGATGGCTAGGGAACTAAGGCTAGGAGCTAGGGAGCTATCAGAATAAGTTTTGTATTTCTAGCTCGCAGCAATAGACTCTCTCAACAAGAAGAGAAACATGTAGGAGGGAGAGTGTGCAGGAGAGGGGGGGGGGGAAAAGTGAGATCAAATTGGAAAGTTAGAAACTAACTGGCCTCGACAGCTGTGAAACCATTCACATTATTGGTGTTGCTGACTGCACAATGCTTCTGATTTTGATTTTCCACTTCGTAGTATGGCGGGATTAAAGGGGCACTGACACCCCAAAGGTCGTAGTCTTTTTTATTGTCTAAAAGATGCAAGTTGTAGTCATAAACACGCAAAAAAAAACCGCATCGCGAAAAAAAAATTTCCCGCGTGCGCGCGCGCCTTTTTACTTTTGGCGTTTATATTTTCCGCGCTCACCTCCTTGCTTCTTTTGATCGGTGACGTCAAAAATCAGGAAATTTAGAAGCTTTGTAGGCGACCTTTCTATAACATTTAATAACGGCAATCGTAAAACATGTTTTTTAACGCAATTGCGAACGCACTACGGCCTTTCTTTTTGAAATACTGAAAATAAGATTTCGTGTGATGTCGCTTCCTGGATTTGTATGCTCCCTCCGAAAACTTGGCGGCGCTCGAGCAGAGGATTATCGGCGAGTCGGGGACGAAACCGGTTTTTTTCCCGCGCCGGCACCCTTCTATCCCGCCTGCTCGCCTCCTCCTCGCTTTGGGCCGCGGTAGCAACGACGCTTTGCTTCACAGCGTGGAGCGGAGGTCCGAAAGAAAGTCGAGTCGCAGGAGACCGCAAAATTTGACTCACTGCACTGGCGCGGATCGCGCGGGAACTTCAAATTCGGCATTTGGAAATTGTTTTTTTAATTCAGAAATACTGAATTCCCAAGTTTCAAATTTTGAGGGTAATGTCCAGGCATCGTTTTCAATCGTTTCGAATAGTAAAATAAAATATGATTTTGATGTGTCAGTGCCCCTTTAAAGACTTTTCACACATTTGCGTCTCCTCAGGATCAAGTTCCTGTGATCTTTACAATGAGAGTTTGGGTATACACTGTTCAGTTTCTGTAAAGTGAGCGATAATGATGTTTGTTATTTGTACAAAACTTGAAAGTATAAAACAGAGAGGACAAGGACAGGAACAGGGGTGAAAGATGTCCTGTTCCTGTCCTCGTCCTCTCTGTTTTATACTTTCAAGTTTTGTACCTATTAACCAACACGCTCGTTTTCAACTGTAAGCTTGTTATTTGTGTGTTCCTTAGATGACTTGTTTTTTCTTTCATGTGGATTATAGTCTGTATTCTTGTTTTTTGCATTCAGTACGCATTTTTATCCTTATATACGTGGCTTTTATTGTTGCATTTGTGTCATGTATGTGTGCCTCAGTTCTGTAAAAGATTGTTATCCTGCTGTATTATTTTGTTAGATGGAATGCATTTTCATGTTATTTTTTTATGTGTGGACTGTAAGGGACCAGTGCCACGTCAGGCTTTTTTAGCCTTTTGCACTGGCCCTTCTTTCGGGCTCTGCCCGAAGGAAAACAAATAAAGAAAGAAAAAAAAAGAAAGAGAACACGCTGGCACCATCTGCGAGCTGACCCTGGAACTGCATTTTGCTAGGGCGATGGTTTTACAGCGTTTACACTATCAAATGTATGTCTATGAGAGATGGTCGCTTATAACACTTTTAAAAAATATTTTTTAACCAAGAAAGAAAGAATCATAGAACACATACGGAAATGTCATAAAAGAATGATACAGTTGAACCTCAATTTAACGAAACCCGATTTTACGAGTTTCCCGATTTAACGAACAAATTCGGATTCCTTGCGCAGCCTATCCCGAAGAATGTCTTTCTCGACTTTACGAAGTTCCCGATTTAACGAAATAATTAGGGGGTCCCGGTGACTTCGCTAAATCGAGGTTCAACTGTAGTACACATACGGAAATGTCATGGTTACTTAATAGATGGTACCAGTGTCGTCGTAAGAGATTTTGAGATGTTTTAAGCCCCACGAGTTGTTGCAACGGTGTCATTTTATTTTGCAGCTCTTGTATCAAGAGAAGAACCTGGGAATCACGTACGAGTACTCAGTTCCGGCCAATGCCAGCCGCCCCCACCCCGACAAGTACAACTGGAACTCTGGGGACTTTGGAGAGTGCTCACAGACCTGCGGAGGAGGTGAGCTTCTTTCTCAAGTGTCTTGCTCGAACTTAATTTTCTGGTTTTTTTAGATAAGCTGGAGCTTGTGTTTGGTTGATGAACTGCCCAGGTTAACTTTCCATCAATCCAAGACTGTATGCAGAGAGATTTTAGCTCTGCACCTTTGAACAAAGGAGAGATTTTAGCTGCACCTTTGAACCTTTGAGACTTTGTGTTTGTCCGTCCCTTTTTGTTTGAGACTTTGTGTTTGTCCGTCCCTTTTTGTTTGAGACTTTGTGTTTGTCCGTCCCTTTTTGTTTGAGACTTTGTGTTTGTCCGTCCCTTTTTGTTTGAGACTTTGTGTTTGTCCGTCCCTTTTTGTCCCAGTCTCGGGGTTTTTGTCGAAATGTTTGAACAAATTTAGCCTTTTGCACGATTTGTGTAGAAGTGCAAGATGTGACTGATAATCGAAACTGCTAGAGTTAAATCATTCTTGGCAGTGTTATGTGGTTAGTTCATACGGCGCAGCACAGTTTTGACTTAACATGATTTTATGTCATTAGGAGACTGTTTTGCACGATTGCTCGCATTTATTGCTCCTGTTCTTATATGTCAAAAGATATGCACAAACAACTTTAGCACGCTTCCTCTGTAGACCAGCCTTCCACACTCCATGTTTATTCTTTCCAAAGAACAACCTTCTGTTTCACTAGAAAAGTGTGCCAAGCCAAAGCTTCAGGCGTTCAAATGTTTTCACAAACGACACTTTCACTGTGTAAGCTCGTGTGCACTCCAAGTTTGTGCAAAGTAGAGTTGTTTAATAATGGACATGTTCTGGTACAAAAATTGGTGTTCAAGTACTTGCCAAACTTCTATATTCTTCTGCACAAGGTTGGCACAGCTAAACTTCCACACTCTAACATAGACCATGTTTTTGTTGAGGGCATTTCGGTAAAAATTGTAAGCTGTAAAAGCGAGACGCAAAAGCGTCACAACCGAGACATCAAAATATAGTGTCATTGCCACGGCAGAGCTCCCTCTCAGGTTCTGCCTCACTGCCAATGGCTGGCGTAAGCGATCACATGACCATAGCGACATCCAATGGCGTTCTTGTCGGAAGTCGCGGTACGAGTCTCTGTACATTAATAATTGCACCGAGATTTACAGACTCAAAAGTATATTCTATATATATAACGGTTTGGTAAGGTACGACCAAAATTCTGCAACAAACTCTGTTTTTTCCTTGGTGGAAACAGTCATACCTTTCATTCGTATTGCTAGCACATGTCCTTCGACACTGAGGACATTAAAGGGATACTACAACGAAATTTCGGCGCTTATTTTTTAGTCTATATGTGTTCAAAAGAGCAGTATGACATGGAACATACCAATGTCTTGTTAAAAAAGTCTCGAAAAGGAATTTTAAAACAAATTAAACGATTAGCAAAGAGCACCTGGTGGATGTCGCTAACGCCTCGCTTGTAATGCTCGTCTAGGAACCTTGACAGCTAGTGACGGAGGTTGTCTCGTCTCCGGCCACGACGAGAGAAGGGGGGAAGGAGGAACTCCCCTCTTCCCGAGAATCCCTTTTGTGTGTCGCAGAAGTCGCTATGTCCCCCTACAAGATTATAGAAGATTAACCCATCACTCAAAATTCATACAAAAGCAGCCGCTTCGGTGGCTGGAACGACTAGGCCATCCTCTCGACGTCAGCCTCGCCGTAGCTTTGCTCGTCTTGAGACGACCTACGTCACGATTGCGTTGGATGTCACGTGCTCTAAGCTGGGCCTTCTCTGAGCGCTTGCCAGAGTGGGCCGTTTATAACGAAAAATACAGCCACCAGGATCAAAATACAAATGTGCGATTGTCATTTACGGATATTGTGGACCATATTCAACCTTTTTTTGAACACGACGGGAATATTTCAAATTTCGTTGAAGTATCCCTTTAAGGGTGTGCAGAGTCAGTCAACCTGCTTGGGTTCCTCTGCCCCATAGGCGTCCAGAACCGGACGGTCTACTGCTCCAGCGCGAGCACCTTTGAGAAGGTCTCCAATGACCTGTGCAACCCCACCATCAAGCCCGAAGCCACCAGGCCCTGCAACGGGGAGCCCTGCCCCGCCACGTGAGTGTGACGCGACAAGTCTGGCCGACCGGATGCTGCGTGACGCAACTGCAAACCTTCCGAGAATTCCACGCTGCGTTGGATGTGGCAAATAAGCGTGCACCTATTGCACATTTGACTGCAAATTATAGCTTTTTTAATTAACAAACCGTATGCTGAAGGTCTCTACCATAAAGAGACCATCTTAGAAACCACTTTGTGCCCCTTTTAAAACCATGCAAGGATAGAAAGCTCACGATAGACAAGAAAATCTGACACCAATAAAAATTTGGTTAGTCAATCGAGAAATAAACTAATCGCATACAGTCCTTATTTTTATTTTTAGAGCGGAGCTGTTAAGGGTTAGGTTCCCCAGGATCGCGTCCGTGTATGTCGACACAAACCTACCTGGACAGCTACCGCCATCTATAAACGACGGCGGCAAGCACAGAACCAGTATGGTTTCCGCCGTCGCTCGTAGATGGCGGCAACCTTTCCAGCCATAATAGAAGAATGGATAGTTGGGTGCATTGGTGAGAATTCATCGTAGGAAACAGCGCGAAAAACAGACGACGACGAAGAAGAAGCACACAGTGTATCAAGTACAGCTCCGCTGGTCTTCCCACTTCACGAGAGTGGAAAGGCTGAATGTTTTTTCTTTGCACTTATCTGTCGAGAAAATGTTTGCCATTATCATGGTGCCTGAAATGTCTAAATGTCATTATCGTGGTGCCTAAAAAAAAACGGCTGTTTGTTTTATCTTTTAAGATTACTCACCCTTTTCCACCGTCGCAATCAAATTATTGTGCCCAGTTGCAAGATTTACGATATTGCCAAAAACTTGCTCAATTTATTGTAACCAGTTGCTCCACAATAATTTTTCTCCTCACAGCATCTTTCCACGCTTGCTTATTAAAGTGAAACCCATCACCCGCCACTCTTCTCTTCATTCATTCATGCCGCAAACAATATCCAAATAACCTACACAAGTAACAAAATTTCATAGACTCACGCGCAGTGATAATAACATCCAGATCTTTTCTCTCATTTAGTCACGCATATTTTACTTAGACTTATCTTATTCCTTGTTTTAGCTTGTTTTGTCAATTTTGTTTGCTGTCAAAGGTAACATTTTCGTCGTTAAATATATTTTATGTGCTCTCCCCTATGTAATACCCTCCTTCGGAGAGCCTTTAAGGGTATTTCGAATAAATAAATAAACTGATAAATGCACCCGTAAATAAAAGAAAACCTTAGAGCGTCGTGGGATGATGGCAACTTTGCCGGCTTGCAGATGGTACGTGGGCGAGTGGGAGCCGTGCCTTGGGAGCTGCGGCAACGGCACGCAGCTGCGGCTGGTGTTCTGCCAGCACCTGGTCGAGGCCGGCTCCCTGCTCGCCGACGACGCGCTCTGCCTCTCGGGCGAGGGGCCCAAGCCCAGCAGGCAGCGGGACTGCAGCGAGGACGCAGAGTGCGCTGCCTGGGAAGTCGGCGAGTGGAGCGACGTAAGTGCTCTGCAGGCACGGCGACGGAACGATCCGCGGACGCACCTCGAGCACGTGCGAAGCGCGGTTGCTTCCTGTTTCTGGCAATACGAAAGATTCACTGGGAGCGCGTGGCGGAGAAGGCGGCCGGGGGGGGGGGGGTGCTGCACTTGCTCCGTGCGTTTCCATTCTACCCCGAGGGGAGGACTCGCTCGGGGCTTGACTAAAGCGCAACACGCGCTTGTCGGTTTCGGTTTCGCGGTGGAGAGAAGTTTGTCGGCGTCGTGCCATGGCTGTGTCTTACGAACGCCGCAATTGATCTCCGAGAGAGACCGGCCTGAGCCGGGGCGATTATTCCGACTCTGTTAAGGCGCGTGATCCGTGCCATCGTCCTAACCAACGAATGCACTCTTCGGCATAATTTATCTTTCGAATATAGAACTTGGGCATAACTTTAATATTTGTTTATTTGGTAGTGTCTGTTCCGACATCTTACGCCGGAAACGACCGATGAAAAACTGATGGCTAGCTTGTTTCAACCCTTCGTGACCATATCTCTGGGCATGACGCCGATGAAGCGCTCTCTTCCATTAAACGGAAACCAAAAACTGTTAAATGTGTTGGGGCCCAGTCGAGCTGCGAGTGAGTGTCCTCTTCTCAAAGCAAAATAGAATCACCCGAAACGCGCGCAGTGCCCCCGCCCCTTATTGTCTCGGCCATGCGCCCCCAGTGGGACTTTCATATTGCACGAGACTGTACAGTCGGCACGGAATGAAACGCGAACATGGAGCACATGGTTTTCGACCCACGCTGAGTCACCTAGAGACGCAACACTGAAGGTTTGGATGCACTGAGCAAGAGTCTAACACATCGAAGGAGGAGCCATCTTCTTGCAGCTCCCATCTGGTTCAGGTGGTGCAGCATCTAGCGAAAACCATGCACCCACTGTTTGCGTTCCATTCCGTGCCGATTGTACATACGCTTCGGATGCGTCTGCAAGCAGAGTGTGTATGACCAATGGGACGGGACTTCCGTAAGAAGAAGAAACACGCCTTGGACAGTGTCTCCAGACTGTCTTTTGGACCCCGTATGAACGACGTGACTTTAGTTGGATTCTCGAAGGGATGCTGAACCTGCAAGAACACCCACGTGACGTCACGTGACTCGACGTCAGGTGTAACATGACATTACGGTGTTTCGTGACGTCGCATGACACAGTGACATCGCGTGGTTCGACATTATGATGTAATGCGACGTCACAGTGCCATATCGCGTAACACTGCCGCGAAACAACACACGTGGAAGCGAGCTTTGGGGGTACTGCCTCTCCGCAGTGTACTGGTGCTTGGTAAGAAGCACGTTCAACAAGGCTGTCTTGCCGCAATCGGCACTAAAAAATATGAATATCGCGGTTCACTTTGAAACAAATATCGCAGTTTACTTCGAAACAAATATCGCTGTTCACCTCGAAGCGAATATCGCGTAGCCTATTATTCGCAACAGCTATTAGAATATTTGTGCAACCCTAAAGCTGGGGTCACACTGCTTATACATTATACAAAAGACAGTCTGCGTACAGATTTGAATGCAAGTCACCGCAAGATCCGTGCTCCGAATGCCGCATGGCAACGAGTTCAAGGAGAAAACTTGGCACGCGGCATTTGGACCACGGATATTGTGGCGACTCGTGTTTGCAGACTGCCTTCTGTACGATGTACGAGCAGTGTGACCCCGACTTAAAAGCTGCGCTACGATTTTACCGCCAGCGCCACGTAGCGGAACTCTCAAACGAAACGGGAGTGCTGAATCTGAACTAAACTGATGGCGTCGGTAGAAGATTGTGAGCGTAAGTGGGACGAGTGCCATCCTTCGGCTTCTCAGTGCGACCGGACGTGCGGCGAAGGAACCCAAGTGCGGGACGTTCAGTGCATCCGCTCGATTGACGCCGTGGCGGCTGAAGTGCGTGGCGACTGGGGCTGCGACGAGGCGAGCAAGCCCGAGAGCAACCGCACGTGCGTCCTCAAGCCTTGCGGGGGCACCGAGTGGATGACCTCACCTTGGTCCGGAGTGAGTCGGCCCTTTTATCCCTTCTCTGTGCTAAACGCTTTGGGTAGTTTTGGGTTGTAATGTATTACAAGTAACAATTTACCGTAACTTGTGTGCTGATCACTAGACATATAAGCTTGCAGTTTTGGGTAGTAATGCATTACAAGTAATGATTTACTGTAATTTTGTGACTTTTTTGGTAACTCTCAACTGTAATGCGCTACATTTTTGAGATGTAACTGTGGTGAGGAGAAACTCTGTCAAGCTACAACAGTCTGCCTTTTTTTCTCGCTCCCCTCTCCCTGGAAAGAAACAATAAAGTTGTTAGTTGAAAGTTGAAACTTAGTCCTATTACTTTTTATGAGGTAATGACTAGAGTAACTATGTTACTTTTTACAGTTTCTTTGGCATTAGGGTATTATTGAATGAGTACAATGTAGCCATTCCTTCCACTTAAAACGAAAGTGTGTTGACATTTCGAGTTTGCGCAAACTTGCACCAACTTTACTTGCACATTCTGTAAGAAACTCAAAAAGGAAGGGGTGTTTTCTAAGTTTTTTAAAATTTGTAGTCTTATGGATAAGTTATTTCAAAGTAACATCATTACTTTTTAAAACTAACTTAATTGTAACAAATTACATTTGCATTGTGGTAACTGTGATGGTAACTTTGCTGCTTTTATCTGAAAGTAACTGTAAGAAATTACTACTGTAAAATACTGCAGAAGCACTCACTTCGTTCAAGTGCCCACTGTTAACATTTCCCAAACTTGGGAATCGTGCAAATTATACGTTAACCGCCCGATCTGACTGAACAAGTGCCCATGTCTATATTAACAGAAATCACTGTAAACAAATGATAAATAAATTGATCGATAATTAGTTTAATAATTGAGTTAAATTACTGTTTGATTACTGTGGGTTGATTGCTCGAACTACTTGAGTGGCTCATGTCAATCAAACAGTCAGGCAATCATCTGGACAACTGTCATGTACATTTATTCGGTACTAACTTGATTGAATAACCGACTGCTTGCTCAGTTAGTGATTGTACAGTTGACCCATCGATTAACCTATTCCTGATTGGTTGATTGATTTTGCACAATACGGGTATCCATGGGATCAGTTGAGTGACCAATCAATTGACTGATTGATTGATAAATTTATTGACTGACTGCTTCATTAACTGATGTCTGAGTTTATTGATTTATTTTATGCAGCATGAGGCCCCGTATGATCAATCAATCAATGAATAGATTGATCAGTTCATTGTCCGACTGCTTAAGAATCTGAACCTCGATTGATCGAGTTTTTGCAGCATAAGCACCCATGTCATCGATCAGTTGATCAGCCGATTGACCAAATCATTGTCTGACTGCCTAGGTGGCTAATGCCTCCATTGATTGATTGATCGTGCACAGTGCGAGGGCCCGTGTTCCGCTCGCCTGGAGACCAGAGAAGTGATGTGTGCCTCTGAGGATGGCACCGCCTTTTCGGACGACCACTGCGATGAGGCCAAGAAGCCCAATGCCACCAAGCCGTGCGACCACGAGGACAGTAACCTGCAGGCGCCCTGCCAGTTCATGTGGTACTCGTCCCAGTGGAGCCCCGTACGTACCAGTTCCCTACCCTGGTTTGGAGCTGTCCTTAACTTCCACAAACCCTTTCATGTGTAGCCTGTTGCTCAAAGGGTCACTTAAAGAAATGTTGCTATTAAAATCAAGTAAGTTTAGATATGCATAGGACAGATATGTACTAAAATGCACTCTTCTTGCCTAAATAAATTAAGTAATAAAGTGCATTAACTGCGTTGATAGGATGCATAGCTGAAAAAGAGCTGAACAGTGCTATATTGCAGACTGTTCAGCTTTTTTTCAGGAACGCAGCTCGTTTCTTAGTTGCATTCTGTGTACTAATGCGTAGTAAGGTACACATTGGTGCACTACCACAAATCATACACTATGACCTTTCTCCCTAGGATTTAATGCTGTTAAGGAAGTTGGCAGGTTTCTCATCCACAACATTGCAAGAACTCAAGGTTGCTGGATTTTCTGAAATCATAATGTTCTAGAACTCCCCCAAAGATCGAGGGTAACAACAGGTTACGTCTGGTGGCCGGAACTTGTCGTATGAGGTGTATTAATCTGATGCACTCTCTGGAAAGTGAAACTGTTCGGTGCGTGGTTTCAGTGCTCGACGGAGTGTGGGCGGGGCCTGAAAACGCGCAAGGTGTTCTGCGGCACCTGGGAGGACGGGACCATCAAGAACGTGACGGAGGACAACTGCGATGCGGCGGAGCTGCCCAAGGCGTCCGAGGAGTGCGAGCTGGAACCCTGTGGCGGGATTTGGGTCTCGGCGCCGTGGGACAGGGTACCCTTCCAGTCCTTGTTGAGCGCCTTTTTTTTTCTTTTTTTTTTTCTTTCTTAGTTTTTTTATGTTTTTAAAGGTGCACTAAAGTGGATTTTGAGATCGTCTTTTTATGGCACAAATTTCATCTACGCATCCTAAGCATGCCATAAAACCCAAAAATACAATTGAGCATGGCCTTAAATCCAACCTAACACCATGAAACGCTCCTTTTCTGAGATATATCTCGAAAAAAGAGTATGGTGCGGTGTTTGGTCGCATTTTTATCGGGAAAGAAAGCCACATATTGTTGTAATTTTGGGTTTTTTATGGTAACTAGGGCAGATAGATGGAGTTTGCACCATAAAAAGAGTATCTCAAAATCCACTTTAGTGCCCCTGGGGAGCTTCGGCAAATTTTTGATAGCCGCTGATTTGCCTCAAAATTGCTTCAGCACAGTAACAGAACATCTGAAGTAAAAACCAAAATTACAAGTCACAAAAACTTTTTTTTTTTCAATGTTATTTAAGTTATTTAGGCTAGCTCTGCTGGGAACACACAAAATGTTACATCATCCGTTGTAATATGGGGTAATATTGTGGCAGTGCAGCTTGTTTTTGACAGGTTACAAAATGTTTGAACGTGTGAAATGGATGCTGGTCACGTGTGAAATGAATGCCAGCAAAACAAAAAGATATGCACAAAATACCACGTTTCTGAGACTGCCTGCTACACTTGCAAGTTCTACTACACTGTTTGTCATTTCACTGGAGAGCAGAGAGAAGATTGAATGTCGATTTTGGCATCACCTTCATTTGCCGTTCTCTCCATAGCTATTTTGAATTCAGATGTGATAAATAGCATACCGAAAAGACGAAACCTGGCTACTCGGAACATATTGTTTAGCTTGAATAGCGTGAAAAACCGTAGGAGCTCCTTTTGAAAGGGTTCGTGCAATGGAGGCTGGCAGCAAGATGACCTTTTCCCCCGCGTGCAATTGTCTTCTCAGCGGTGTTCCAAAGCTACCCTGTGCTTTGCTACTTCCGAGAAATTCCTTGCTTTGCCATAAACAAAGTTACTAAAAAAAATAATATATATATATATATATGTATCTTTTTAAAGTTAATTAAACCAGATTTATTTGATTTAAGTCAAACTTATTTGATTTAGATCAAAGTTGAATTAAAGTATCTAGCTAAAAATCAGTGACTCTTTACTGCTACGTATATTCTTAAACATGGCAGACTGATAAATTTGTCCAATCAGTGATAACAGTGCGGGAGAAAGAATTACTGTAAGTTTGAAGTACAGCTTAAATAACAACTTTTTATTGATCTAACCCCAGCCATACTAGAAAAAAAACAGCTAGATTTTTCTAGTTTGCTAAGAGCATCTTTTGCATTTTTTTCGCATTCTGATTTGCTTCCAATAAGACATTACCTTTCTAGTTTTTGTTTCTTTCACACTCTGATTTGCTTGCAATGGGACGTAACTGTCGAACAAAGTGGTAGAAAGAAAGCTCAATGATTCAATTTGCTCAGAAGAGCAATTGTTATTTGCTTGTGTTCGACTCTACATAAATCTTTCTTGCTCGATGATTCTTCTATTTAAATACGAAACAAATGCACATAGGGAGCATTGATAGACAAATGGTAAATAAGATATAGTATTTTCCAAATTATTTTTACGGAAAGGTTCGATTTAAATTATCATAGTAAAACTGGCACAATTTAAATCACGATTTAGATCAGGATTTAAATCATCTTGATTTTTATTCTCTACCTTGTTAGGGAGACAACTGTAATTTAGCGAAGCCTCGACAACGTTGCTTATAAGAGGAGCGTAAGTAGGCAAGAATGACATTTCTAACATCAGCGGAAGAAATGTGCCGCCTTGAGCCCTTTTTGGCTAAACAGTTGCCCTAAATTAAGCGGGCGTAGTTTGCTTCACGAAACATTTCGAGAGACGTAACTGTTATTTGTATCGATTCTAGGAATGTTATTCTCGCTTTATTGCTTTCAATAGTCATTTTATGGTTTCAGTATCTTTTGGTCAACCTACAAGCTTATTTCAAACCTGCCGCCTATTTGTAATGTTTCAGTGAGTCCAGATCAGAAACGATTGTGCATTTCAAACATGCTCTCTAAGTCTCTTTTTTTTTATTGTACCGGTCGTTGAGCGAGGAATAAAAATAAATGTTCGAAGAGGAGCCTTGTCTGCCTGACTCTTCGATTAACCTGCAGCAGGCTTATCAGAGTCCTTTGAACTGAAGGAAAAATTGGAAGCTGACTCGATCCCTTCTCCGCTCAGTGTTCGACACCCTGCGGTGGCGGACAGCGCACCAGAATCGTCCTCTGCCAGATGGACGGGAAGCCCACAGAGGCCAAAAACTGTGACGCAGCCAAGAAGCCGTTCGACAGCGAGACTTGCAACATGAACGCCTGCGATGAAGGTTAGTATCATCGCAGCCGACTCCCCACTCCCGTTCATCAATCACCTGTGGCTGCATTGCCCAGATTTAAATGATCCAAGAAGTTGTGGAAGCTTATTGTTTTTCTTATTGTCTGGGATCTCGATTCACTGATTTCCATGCAATGCACTGCTAGAACGTATAGGAGAAAGCAGTTAGCTCGAGGCCAAAGAAAGCTCTTGGGTCATTCAAAGTGTTTTTATTTTTGTCTGCACAAAACTCTGCTTCTCTACATTATGCTTTGCAATCTAAAGATCAGAGTGCAACCACTACTAGAGCATTTGTGGTACACTGCTCTAGAAAAGAAGCATACCGAGGAAAGAGAACGCCAGCATTTTGTTTACATTTTAAAGAAGAATTGTTATCTCAGCACATATTTTTTTTTCAATGTAACTAGGAAGCACAATTAACTAATGCATATGACTCATATTGTTATAAATGACTTCAATATAAGCTAGATGTCTTCCTAATCGTCTTTCACCCAAAACAGCTTTGTCTAGCACCACAATACTTTACCTCTTCATTAGCTCGAAAAGCTCAATGAGGAGTGATTTGTTCAATGAAACAACCTGGCTTCCATACGGCAGGAAGCCGATAGGAACAACTGTTACGCAACGCATTTAGAATGTACTCAAATTGAGGAAGTAGTATGAGTGCCGACAGTTTACCAAGGCACTTGGTGTAGACCTGGTACATTTAAAGCAACTGTGATGCCACCTTTTTGCATCTTCTTTTAAACTGGCTTGTTGATGATGCACAAACCAGTGCACAGGGTTGCAGAGGAGACTTTTACTGTTGATTTTTTAGCATGTTGTACCCTTAAATCGGGAAGGTTGATTCTCGAAAACGGCAAGTCACGAGAATGACACAACAAAACGCACACACAGACTAATAACAAGAACTTAATTATTATTATTTTTTTACTCGCAAAAAGCTTTGCGGCTTTTAAGAGGAATCTGGGCTTAACCACGGCAACACTTCTGCTTCTAGTAGACTCCAGCGCAGCTCTTGAGTACGCCACGATTCGAGCTTGACGATTCCTCTGTTTCAGACGATTTGATAATGAGCGGCGGCTGCAAAAACTCGAAGCATGGCTGCTGCCCCGACGGCATGACACCAGCAGGGCCCAACTTCGAGGGCTGCCCTAAGGTCACCCCCGTGGAGGGGGGTTGTGAGGCCACCGAGTTCGGTTGCTGTTTGGACGGAGTGACGCCTGCCTTTGGACCTTTCAAGTGGGTGCCCTGAAAGGTCTAACGTAACGTAACGTAACGTAGCCTAACCTAATATAACTTAACCTAACTTAACATAAGATAACCATACCTAATTTGACCTAACCTAACCTAGCCTAACCTAGTAACCTAACCTGACATAACCTAACCTAACCTAACCTAAATGTATACTTTCTTGTGGCATTATTTTTCATATTGTTTGTGCTTACATTGTTTTAAAGAATAATATGAGTGTTTTTACCTTCTGTAATATCCTCCGTGAGAGGGTCTTGAAAGTTAAGCGAAATAAATAAATAAATAAATGTAATGGAACCTGACCTAGTTTTACATAACCTAACCCAGCCTAACCTAACCTAACCTAAACTGTCCTAGCTTAAGCTTACCTGAACTAGCCTAACCAGGCTAATTTAATCTAACCTGTGATTGCAGCGGAGTTAGTCATGGAAAAGATGGATGCGTGCAAAAATCGTGCCTCCAACCAAATGGGTTTTGGGGACCCTTTCTGAATCGCCAGAAATGAAAGGAGGCCCTGTCCACTAGGGAGGGAGCGGGGTATTGGATGATTACAATGACAAAAGGGTAAAGGAAGGAAGCTCAATATGTGCGAACCAACTTCGAAGCTCTGAAATGGAGAATATTCAACCTAACTCATTCTGTGCGTATGGTTTGTCCCATTTATCTTTGTGGGACAGCCCGCATCAGTAAAAAAAAAGTTTTACTGCTCGACTTTGTCTGATGGTCAAAAGCTTCGGGGACCCTAAGAAGGCCTTCAGAGGTCCAAAAAGGTTCACGCAGCCCCATTCGAGAACCACCACACTAGACAGAATTCAGGAAGAAACAGGTTCGTGCAATATAATTAAACCTAGTCAGCTTTTTAGCGAAAGACCTTCACTGCAACAGTGCCTTAAGTACCTGTGCCAGCATTGCAATCATACCTTAGCTCTAGTTCACTAGTACTCACATCTTTATTGTATAAGTCTTTTATGTAGACAGGTTTCATTGTAATGAGAAATAGCTCGATGGTACGAGGGGAAACATATTGCTCCTTGATAATTAAATGAGATAAAAGCAACTGCCAACTCAAAGTTTGGGGATAATGCTGAAAAACTGGGGGCGGGCACTTGTTAGGTCCGAGAGCAAACATGCAGAAAGGACAGTAGGTAGGGTGGACTCGACCACATTGCACCGACGCGCACGTGGCAAGCTTCATCACTTTGCAGCGGTGTCCTCTGGGAAGCAGTTGATGCAGAGGAGTATCTCGGTCGGTTAGGCATGCTTAGATGTCTTGAGGTGGGTGCTCATTGCGACATAGGAACACACTTGGTATTTTATGGTAAACTAAGATCTCCGGACGTAACACTCGGTTGTCGACTGTTTTGTCGTGACATGCGTGCATCATTTCCTTTAATGTGCACCACTGTGCCTTGTTGGTGATTTAGAGGAAAAAGTCCCATTCATTCCAGCCGCTTTGGAATGGCGGGGCATAGATACGGATGATGGTGGTCCTATAGTCGGTGGCAGGTTAAGGGTGAAGTGGAAGCTCCTCCCACGTCTTTCCACTTAAGCACTGTGAATGCTGGAGGGAAGGTCACTTCCTGTCCAGCGTTTGCTTTGCTTAAGTAGAAAGAGGTGGAAGGAGCTTCCACTTTACTCTTCACCTGTCTTCGACTATAGTGGGCGGTTCCGAAGGGCCCATTCCACCGGTGACAACTTAATGTACACTAAGAAGCGGCAAAGCATCACCTGTAAGTTCTGTGCCTAGTTATTTTCTAGCTTACTTTGCAAGAAAACACCAACATTGAGTATTATGTAAAAATAAATGAAGTTGGCAAGCGCTCGAACAACTTCAGCTGATGGCGGTCAAATAAGCGTGCATAACCTTTTGTCTGCTTTCTTTTTCCGCTTTTTTGTCGCTCTCTTTCTTACTTTTCCTCTCGGGACCACCGACATCAGCGCCTACGATTTGCTGTGTCGTGCTCCCGTGTTTACCCCCGGTCCTCCCCTCTCCCCGCAGGAAGGGCTGCCAGCAGCTTTCCCTGTGCAACGGCACAGAGTTCGGCTGCTGCGCAGATGGCGAGACGGCCGCCGAGGGCCCCGACCAAGAGGGCTGCCTCGAGATCATCTCCTCCGCTCCGGACTGCAACTCCACGGACTTCGGTTGCTGCCCCGACGGAATTACACCCGCCGCCGGCACCAACTTCACGGGCTGCGACGACGAGATGTTCCCCTCCTCCACCTCGTGCGCCGACTCTGCGTTCGGCTGCTGTCCGGACAACGCAACCGCGGCCGATGGACCACAGGGACTCAACTGCATCGAGGGCTCCGGCACAGACGAGCCCTGCCACGACTCGGAGCACGGCTGCTGCCCCGACGGGTTCTCCCCGGCGCTCGGACTGGACAACGAGGGCTGCCCGAATGCCACCGGACTCCAGCCGTCGCCGACCGCCAACTGCAGCGGCTCTCCGCACGGCTGTTGTCCGGACGGTGTGACCATGGCCGAAGGACCCGACTTTGCAGGCTGCGAGGAGATTGAGGGCAGCGGAGAGGAGCCGGCGGACTGCGAGATTACCTTCTACGGCTGCTGCCCCGACAACAAGACTCCGGCCGGAGGGGAGGGCTATGCCAACTGCACGGGCTGCACCAATTCGACGTACGGCTGCTGCAAGGACGGCGTTTCGGAAGCGACCGGACCGGACTACGAGGGCTGCGACTGTGCGGCGTCGACGTTCGGATGTTGTCCCGACAACATCACGGAAGCCGCCGGCCTGGAATTTGAAGGCTGCCCCAGTTGCACCAACTCGACGTACGGCTGCTGTCCGGACCGCACCGTGGCTGCCCAAGGTCCGAACTTTGAGGGATGCGACGGATTCGAGTCCAACTGCACCAACACGACGTTCGGGTGCTGTCCTGACGGAATGAGTGCCGCAACCGGCGAAGGTTTCAAGGGCTGTGGTCAGGACTGCGACGCCACCGAATTCGGATGTTGTCCGGACGGCCTCACACCGGCCATGGGGGTCGAGTTCGAAGGCTGCGACAATTGCACGGAGTCCCTCTATGGATGCTGCGCCGACAACGTGTCGTTTGCAATGGGTGCGGACGGAGAGGGCTGCTGCTTCCACACGGAGTTTGGGTGTTGCCACGACAACAAGACGGCGGCACTGGGACCCGACAACGCCGGTTGCAGTTGCCACACGACGCCCCATGGCTGCTGTCCGGATGGCATCACTGTCGCTTTGGGTCCCAGGTAAGTCTTTTTTCTGCCTGCTCCTGCTTTCATTGGAAGAGGTTAAGATTGAAGATTTTGACTGACTCGAAATGTTATAAAACTTCAATGTTCTTTATAGTAATGTGGATCATATTTTATTTGCATACTTTCGACTAACACGTCTCTTTTATAGTGACGAGATGACTTCGGAATTGGTCGAACACCTTTGCGAAGTGGACAACGTGCTGTTTCATATTATGTGATCGTGAGATGAAAAAAAAAAAACGCCTCGCTTAAAGTTTCACTAGTCATACTCGTGGGAGCTCGGAATAAAAGCGCGTCAGAATTGTGCGAAAACTTACATTGTTCAGGTTTGGATTAATAGGCTTAGCTTCGGCCAAACATGGCAACAAAAGTAAACCCATTCAAAAAGATACCCACAGTGTAAGAGCAAACCGGAGGAAAAAAACAGAATAAAATGCCAAACTGAAATTATGAAGCGCAAGGGACAGATTTGGACGTGAAATAGACAGGATAGCGCTGTCCTGTCTACTTTTTATTTGTGCCTGTCCCTTGTGCTTCATAATTTAAGTATGTTGAACCACCTTAATATTTTAGCAAAAATGCCAAATGTGGCCAGTGTAGCAACCTACACTAATTTTTCTCTCCTTTCCAACATAGGCCGCCGATAGACCTTTCGCAAAAATTCCGAAATGCCACGCACAAATTTTGCATATGAAAAATGGGAACGTCCTTTATCCTCCGTTTCCTCCGAAGTTACCTCCGTTCAAGCCAGCTCTTGACAAGGAAAGGGTTTTGTGAAAAACACCCCGAACGACAATTTAAGGCCACTGGCCTGCTGCAATGGGTGTGCCATCCGCATCTGTTGCATTCTGCATTTGTTTCATGCATATTTGCACTAGCAACTTAAGCACTCAGAAATCTGAAACTAAGCATGCCTCGGTGCATGGGTTCTCAAACCAGGCTTTTAGGAGCACAGGGGTTTTCCAGAGTACCCTGGTGGGTTTTCGAGCTCCCAAATTTTCTTGGCCGTCCCTGTCCTTGGCAAGTATTTTGCAGTTTAAGCAATTTGTAGCCGATCTATGCCACCCACTGTCACTTAACTGCGAATGAAACTCAATTGTTGTCTCCAAGTTCTGTAGACTCGTGAACCGCTTGACCGTGCCGAGACCAAGAAACGTTCCTCGGACGTGGAGGCAGGTCCTCGAGATGGGAACTTTGAGAAGGGCTGCCTTCTCCTCTTCCCGACCTGGACCGCAGGTACTATGGCTGCACGTGCGAGCACTACCCGTACGGCTGCTGCCAGGACAAGCACACGCCCGCGGGGGGACCCAACCTGCAGGGCTGCATCTGCTCCCGGATGCTGTACGGCTGCTGCCCGGACAACCAGACGCCCGCAGAGGGCGAGCACCTCCGGGGCTGCAGCTGCAGGACTGGCCCCTACGGCTGCTGTCCGGACGGCCGCACTCCGGCACATGGGCCGAGCTTCAAGGGCTGCACTTGCGACACCATGCCGTACGGCTGCTGCCCGGACCAGGTCAGAGGGTGCCACTAGAAATGGAAAGTGGCGCCGATTAAGGTCACCCCATTGTCGCCATTTTGGTTCATGGAATCGGCAGTCTCTTCTCAACCTCTCCGTGTCTTTACGAGTCCATTCAAATTCACTGTTTACAAAGAAGGCATTTCTTGCAAACCGAGATTTTGCTATCCACGCACCAACAACACAATTGCGCATATTCGCACCGCCACCGCATTTGGCGTCGGTGGTTGGCGGCATTGACAATTAATTTTTCTGTCTCGAAGCACGCGCAAAGAACGGTATAATTGTAAGGGATCTGTGGAGATAAGCCGGATGGATGAGTTGATTGCATATACAGTGCAATAAATGCACAAATGCATATACAGTGCCATAAAGCTTCAAAGATTTGAGAGGACCGAAATGGTGATTGCCGTGGCAACAGATAATGTTCAGCCAAAAGCCTCGCGAGGTTTCTTTTGTCATCTGTATGTTAGTATCTGTTTGTGTCCTACGTGCAGGCAGGGATGCAACGTTGCTACTTTGCCAGGATCCACTGACTGTAGTCGACATTGGGCCCAAGGGCCAAAAATGTGCACGTACGTGGAGCGGGGGAATCGATAGCCGAGCTTGTTAGTGCACCGTAGCTCGGAGCTTGCGGAGCGAAAACTCGCGCATGCTCTTACATCTTGTTTTGAGTGTACTGTTTTGAAATATCGTATTGTATTGTGCAGTATGATGCAGTACAATACGATACCCTGCCTGTGCCTGCTACTGCGTGATGCACTCTAAGGTTGCCAGATTAGCGGATTGTACCGCACTAGTCGAATTGTTCCTTTACGGTGTAAAGTCAGTGTCTCCGTATTTAGAGGGCAGACCTTGAAACATTTTCCAAGTAGTTGCAACAGATTTAAGCTCCAGGCCTTCTTGTTACCATTAGGAGTCCATAAGGAAGCCTGGGTCAATGTTGCTCGCTGAGAATTGAGGATACGGAATGTATCTCTCGGGCGGTACTCACCCTCGCTGCAATGTTTTTAGCGCACTCCCGCTCGAGGACCACAATTCGGTGGCTGTCCCTGCTCGGCCATGCCGTACGGATGCTGTGCCGATCAGCAGACTGCCGCAAAGGGGCCCGAAGGCAGGGGCTGCGAGTGCCAGCAGCTTGTCCACGGGTACGTCCCTGTCTGCCGGTCGTGTTCGGACAGCCGGTTGCCGTTATTTGTTTGCTTGATGGAAGCTCATTGAGGGTGAGGCTTAGATTTCGGTTGCACGTCGCAGCATGCGCAGGTGGTCCGAGTTAATCCTTGATTTTTTTCTGGGAGGTGTGAGATACCCTTCGTTAGTTTAGCACATGCGTCCTCGAAATTCTCTTTTTTTTTCTGTCGCTCGAATTGTAACACATAAGAAAGGTGCACATTTTGTTTGGTTTTAGCCATGCCACTTTGCTTCTAGACTTAATTCAGCTATGTCATCGTGCACGCAGCTCTATATAATCACGCATCGCTGCAGTAGTGTGTGTATATTAGGAAGTTGTCATTGCTATGATATGGGTGAAAAATGAAACCTGCCTCTTCTTGTGGGTCGCTCATGTCGAAGTATGTATGCGAACTGAGCTCAAAGTAAAACATGAAATGGATGCCTCTTGAGTTCTGTTGAATTTAACTCCGCTTATTTGTGTCTGTATGTTCTTTTTCACTAGTACTTTTTTCCTTCCCGCAGCTGCTGTCCCGACGAGCGCACGCCTGCCCAGGGGCCCCGCTTGCAGGGCTGCACGTGCGAGACCTACCCGTACGGCTGCTGCCAGGATGGCCGCACCCCGGCAAGGGGCCCCAACTTTGACGGCTGCGACTGCTCGTCCACGCGCTTCGGCTGCTGCGCCGACGGAAAGACGCCTTCCAGGGGACCCAGCTTCGAGGGCTGCCCCGTCGACACCAAGCCCATGCCACCGGCAATCAGCGGAAGTGAGTTGCACGCTCCTCTTGACGCTGTGGGCACTCGAGTCGTGAAGGTTGTCTTTAGGGCACCCAACTCTCCCCTCCCCCAAAAAGAAAGTTGCCTCTTTGCCGTACTAGCGTGGCAAAGGCAGTGGTAACGCAGAGTGTGATGTGTTAGCGTGGAGAAAATGCGTATGCATGCGGAGACTGGATGGCAGAAATGGTAGCACGCATAATTTATTAGTTTAAAATAAAGAGACGGCGGTAAAGTGGTGCGCACAAGCAGTAAACGGAGCGTGCAGAAAACAGAACAATTGGAATGTGGCAACACCAAGCAGATCCATAGTGCCAGCTCGCGGCAAAGTAGAACCAGATGCTCAAACTATTTTAACTTGTGGCAAGGCTAAAGTGACCATATTCCTGGGGCCCCAAAGCGGGATGCGCATCGGTGGGAGGGGGGGGGGAGGGGGGGTATTGTGTTGCGAGACTTGAAAAGTTTAAATTTCGGTAACAAATCACACCTTTTCATTATTTTGTATACACCGTGTGCATTTCTTTTTCTTGCAATTTCCATACTGCAGGTCTTGCAGCTATCTAATACATTTGGTTGTAGTATTAATAGTATTAATGTATTTATTTTTGTGTACTATGTCCATAGTACCGTTTACATGTTTACATGTCATACGCCAATTAACCTTCAGCATCTTCTCTGTCGAGCATATCTTGTTCATTGATCAGAGGAAGCACCCTCTCACCGGTGCGATCCCTTCGTTTAACTGAATCTTTCATCTATCCGCGGTTCGAGAAACAAAAGCGGGACAAAACGGCGTCCCACAAGCACGCTGGTGGGACAGCGGGACCACGGCCGGAAAAGCGGGGCCTGTCTTGCCTAAATCGGGACGTCTGGTCACTTTAGCCGCGAGGCAGCCTTTTGGAAGGCTTCACCATACTCTGGAAGATGCGTGAGGTTTGTGGACAAGCAAGACATCGCCTTCCTTTCCTTTGCGCGTGCCAGGCGTCTGTGGCCTGCCGGAGGACCTGGGGCCCTGCCGGAACTACACCATCTACTGGTTCTTCAACATGAAGGACGGCCGCTGCAACCGGTTTTGGTACGGAGGCTGCGAGGGCAACGGGAACCGGTTCTCTTCCGAGGCAGAGTGTGAGGAGGTCTGCGTCAAGCCCCAGGGCCCCGGTGAGGACGCTGTCTGGGAGGGAACTGCAGTGACACCCTCCCACGTCTTTCTGTGTGTCACATATCGAAAGATACGTCGAATGACGACCTGACGCATGTCCTGTGCTGCACATTGTGTGGTGTCATGGTTTTGTTTAGGGCCGCTGACTTAGAACCAGCGGTGCATGACGTTTCGCGAGAGGAAAGAGGCTCGAAGGGGTCGTAAAGGAATTTGTTTTGGTTAACTAGCGCTCAGAATAAATGTCCTAAGTTCGGTAATAATGTAGAATAGGAATTTTGTTTGTTTAGTCACTCTGGTTTTAGTGGAAGGGACATTTTCGAGACTCGCGATTTTTTTCACGTTCAGCCATTGATTTCTTCACTCGAATGGACGGTCAATATCCTTATTGGAATGCACAAAACAAACATAGTCTTTTGGTGAGGAATAATAAGCTAACATATTTTGAGCGTCTTTTTTTTTTTAATAATGCTTGTTATTTTTTTAGAATATACCAAATTTTGTGTTGTTTTTGTTAATGACCGACGACGGTGGGGACATTTACTGTAAGTGACTTTATTTTTGCAGGCTCAATATTTTGAGAATTTGGCAAAGTGTGGACTTCGAAAATATTTCGTAGGCACGAAATTTCGCGAATCGGGGTGATGTGCTGTGTATAATTGTTATCATAGGAAAATATATTTGTGGGATTTATTTTTCGTGATAATATTGGAGTCTAAATTTTAGCGAGATTCAGGTCCCTGCGAAAATGAAGTCATTTGCAGTATTTGTGCGGAATGAAAGTGTTGGAGTCTCAGTCTTAACGTAGTGCTTGTTTTTGTAGTGGCGTCCTTGTAAGTTGCGTTTTCGTGAATACCTGGGCATGTATAAATACCTCGTCGCTGCACCCCTCTGAACACTCCCTTGCTTTCCACCCCAGATGCATGCCTGTTGCCCAAGGTTGTGGGTTCGTGCAACGGCCAGTACGAGCACTGGTACTTCGACGCGTCCTCGAGAGTGTGCGAGCCGTTCATGTACGGCGGCTGCATGGGCAACAACAACCGCTTCGGAACCAAGGAGCTCTGCGAGCAGACCTGCCTCCACCAGGAGACTCTGGGCGAGTTCCTCTTTTGCTCGTCTGCAAGAGACAGCCTCTTTTGTTTGTTACTCGCTCGTCATGCGAAAGGTCGCTCTTACCTTATGTCGAGAAGCATACTTAGTGAAATGGATACTAAAGTGGGTGGTAACAATGAACCAGGGCTGCCATTAGGTAAAGCCAAAACTTTGTACAGTAAAGTGGTACAATTGTAGGCATTTGACATTCTGAAGAGAGAACTTAAAGGAGCTGTGCAACGATTTTAACGTTGAAGGAATTGGCATTTTCTGCTTTTGATATTGTTCACTGTGTCACAAATGGCAGAAAACACACCTCTTTTCATCGCAATGTTGCGATTCCGCCGCGTAATAGCGAGGCAAAACTTGGAATATTTCCCGACCTGCAGCCACGAGCGGCGGCCATGAGAAACAAGCGGCGTGACGTCACTTGGGTCGTTGTAAGAAAGATAGCAAGTTGTGCGAATACCTGCTCGATAAAAGGTAACTCTTTTTACAAATCTTGTCGTTCCAACATATATATAAATGCGTCAACACCCTGGTATCATCGACAAAACTTTTATTATACGGAGTTTTAGTGGCGCCATCTATTCTAGGTCCACAAAACCGCGAACAGCCGCCAGAAGCCGGAGGGGGAGGGGGACAGCGCCACACTGGCAAGGACGGGTGGTCACGCGGTCGGCAGCGGATGAGTTCTCGCTGCTCGCTGATGGCTCTAAAGAGAGAACTTTTCCGGAACTCCGCGCCTACTCTAGTGACGTCACTGTGCACGTGACCCGGAAGACGATGCACGAGTTGAGAGGCGGCAAAAACCTGGATCTTTTTCATTTTTTTAAGTAAAAACTAGGGTATCCAGGCAAAATCTGTTTTCTGTAGTTCACTGCAGAAGTGTCAGGCATCAACTTTCACAATTATTTAAGCAAAGCCCTGAAATTGTTGCACAGCTCCTTTAAACACACATGATAACAAAGGGCACAGATGCTCTAAAATGCAATTGCGTTTGCTAACGACCAAGTCCTTGCAATCTCTTACGACGAGGGAATACGCCGATGCCACTTATGGGTTTTCTCTGGAACTGAATTTCACTAGAGTGAAGGTTTCGTTGTATTTAATTACGAGGTCAAATGTACATACTATTTATGAGAAATGGTCGTTTATAATTATCAAAAGTTTTTGGCTCCAGAAAGAAAAAATTTGATGCGTGAAAGAAATGGGAATACAGTGGAATCTCGATTATGCGTCCCTGGTTTATGCAACATCCCCCATTTTGCGACGATTTTGCCTGCCGATCACTGTATTCGTAATTATCCTTTTCTTGGGTGATACGACTGACGGATTATACAACGGTTTCGCGCGGTCCCGCGAAATTCGTATAATCGGGGTTCCGCTGTATACAAAACGCCAAGTGTCCCACAGCTACCCGCAGTATATGACGCCAGTCTTTTGTCTTAAGAGATTTCAAAGGCAGGCTCATACTTCTGCGACCGACCATGATTGACTCCAACACGACTGGTTCTTAATCCGCTTACGACCACCATCACTGCTGTGCAGCCCATCGTAAGAAATAACAGACGGCTTAGAAACCGGATATGTTGGCGTTGGTCGTGGTCGGTCCCAAAAGTGTCAACCAGCCTTAAAAGGTTTAAAGTCGCACGGTCGAAAGCAGTCACGCGTGGACGAACCGGCCTTTACAGTAAATAGGTATTTGAAGGCGGACCAACTTCACGCGTGCTGCGAAGATTCCTACACTAAACGTGTAGATATTAAAGAGTAACTTTCACATACCATGACACATATATTTTTCGTGCCATTAAAGGGTTAGTCACGGTGAACTCGCATGCCTTCTGTCGCAGACCCCTGCGACCTGTCGGTGTCTCATGGCCCCTGTAGGGGAGAGAACACGAGATTCCACTATGACCGGCAGGACAACCGCTGCAAGCCGTTCACTTACGGTGGCTGCCAGGGCAATGCCAACAACTTCGCCAGCGAGGAAGAGTGCTCTGAGAGATGCGTCACTCTCACGGCTCGCGGTGAGCCGATCGTTGATCTTTGGACAGGCACTTCCACTCACGGTCCGTCGACCGTTCCGCGTTGGCTCCTGCAGGAGTGGAGCTTGAAGCTACAAAGCACTTAAATTACTGTAACTATACTCCATTGAGGCTGAAAGAAAGCGAGGCAGGTCCTCCCACAAAGCCCTCTCTTTCTGCTTTAGCAGAGCGAACGCTGCAAAGAAAATAAGAGAGGAGGCCACTGTGTTCGCTTTCTCTCCAGCATTCTATCTGCTAAAGTGGAGAGAGTGAATGGCTTTTTTGGGGGAGACTGTCCCACACTCTTAACCTGCAACAGAGCACGGTTACAATAATTACTTACTGTAATTAGTTACAACAAAATTTCAGTAGGGGAAACTGGAACCATGAAAGGAAAGCTGTTTGTCTGGAACGTTTATTATCAATAACCAAATAAATAAAATGGATAGAGAGATGCGAGACGCTCTTAGAAGGGGCGCATTCGTTGTCTTACGCAAACGACAAACTCGAGGCAGGTGGTTGTTCCGTGAGATTAAAAAATTGACACATACTTTGAGACTCAATTTGATAGTGCATGAAATGGAGTTGTTCTATCGATTTTTTGCATTTGTTTTATTAGAGTGACTCGTCACAGTAATTGGTTTGTCCGAAACTTTAATCTGGTACCGTCAGGGAAAGAAAGAAACTCGTATGAGAGAAAGCAGCAAGCACGACCAGCATGATCACTCCATCTCCCCTCCTCTCTAGAGGTCTGCATCCTGCCCAAGGAGGAAGGTCGGTGCCTTTCCCAGGACCACAAGTGGTACTACGACTACGTGGACGGGCGGTGCAAAGACTTTGTCTACACGGGTTGCCAGGGAAACCGCAACCGTTTTGACACCAGGGAGCTCTGCGAGGACATGTGCAATGCCACCAGGGTCGCCGGTACGCACTGGCCTCGCACTTCCCGTTTAATTTTCGTCGGACACGTTCGCCGTGGACGTGTTCCAAAATTTTCTCGGTTTCGCTCCAGAGTAGGTGGGCGTATCCCTTGGCCTTCAAAAACCTACTGGCGTCCAGCATTGCTTTATCTGCATTATCACGTGATGTGACCTGCGGCGCTAAAGGCCAGATCACACGTATATCGCGGGTCAGTTCGACACTAGGAACAGCGTTGATGATGTGCTGACTTAAATGGAACTGAGAACTGTCGCTGTCCTATGTCCGTGTGGTATTGCTAATATAGTGCAAGGTCAGCGCCGTTTCCGGGGCTGATTAACAGCACTGAGGCTGCGCTGTGGTGTATGTGTGATTATGCTTTACATCGAACCTACTCAAATACAATTTGGTGGTATGGTACCCATTTTTATCAATCGGTGGGATCTAAGGGTCACTTTAATTGGAGACATCGAGCGTTTCCAGGGCCACGCAAGTTTCTTGCTTTGGTTAGGAACTGCACCACAGCTCTGAAACCAATGGTTTCAAAATGGTCGCACCTTGTGAATAGGTTTTCATTTTGTGCCAAGACAGTCGGTCATTATTCATCGGCTGCTTGGAGCTCCCAGGTTAAAGGATTTACATAAAATTTTCGATTTTAGGGGCGAAGCTCCTTAGGGGCTAGCCATGTCCGTATGTCCGTCCGATGTCTGGTGTCAGGTGCTCGTGCTCACGAACACGTGAGCACGTGCTCCCGTGCTCGTGTAGGGCAAAGAAAAACAACCGCATCTTTACGTGGTGAATGATGTTGATTGGGGCGAAGCTCTGGTGGTGCTTGTGCGCATAGACGGTGAGCCGCAGCATGCCGAGCCTTTCGTTCGTTTTCATTCATGTCAGAAAGAGAATGTATGGTATGGAACGTGGTTATATGTGCATTCGAGCATTTGACCGCAGCGTGACATGGATGAAAATGAACGAAAGGCTTGGCATGCTGCGGCTCAGCGTCTACGCAGACAAGCACCACCAAAGCTTCGCCCGAATCAACGTCATTCACCACGTGGAGATGCATTTTTTTTCTTCAGACTTTGAGATGGCCGACTTGGGTCAATCGGAAGACTCGATTAGATCTATCCTTCCAGAAAAGTGAATGTCGTGGAATGTGGTGTACGTCAGAAACATTCGGAGATTCTAGTGGCCGCTTTTCTCGGTGGATGGGATGCATGTTCTATAGGTTGCTGGTTTGTTAAACGCCGACTTGGGAGGGTGTACTGCATCCCAGCTTCATGATTTGTTGCGCTTTGCTGGCTGCAGTGTTCCACCGGACCCGTGTCAAAAGCTAATGCGATAATAAAATTCGGTGGTCCTACGCTCTTAGCTTGGTGCAAAGTGCAGAGCATAAAATACAGGTTCCTACGCAACCAGCATAAGCAGCTTGATGTCACCTCCGTAAGCATAATTTCCACTTAGAACACCGTTACACAATTGGAAAGCGGCATTATATTTGTTTTTTTCATTGACCTTAACTGTCAGAATGATTACACAAACTGGCAGGTTCTTCCAAGTTCTTGGAAACCTCTCTGCGTCAGAAACCCTCCAAACCCCTCCTCCTTCCCGTAAACTTGGGGACTCCCCAATTGGGCAGTCGCATCACGTTTCCCGGAAGGTGGCTCTGACTGGTGTGTTTAGCATACGTCTGCTTGCACGACGGTCATCCGCAACCGATCGGGTCGTCTGCCCGCAGTGTCCAGGGACGTGTGTGCCCAGCCCAAGCAGGAGGGTCCCTGCCGGGCGGCCATCCCGCACTGGTACTTCAATGCGGAGGCTGGCCGGTGCGAGCAGTTCTACTACGGCGGCTGCGAGGGCAACGCCAACCGCTTCGAGACCAGGCGGGACTGCGAGCGGGCCTGCCTCGTCAGGGGAGGTGCGTGGCGATTTTCTCCGTTGACTTTTGCGTCGTTTGGATTGTTATTGCGGTCACTTTCGTCGTAATCCCCATTGTTATCGCGACCGTCAGTTTATTCGTCAAAGGTAACAGTTTTATTTCCGCCCATAAAGATGTGCGGAAGTCTAAGATGTGCGAGCGAAACCTTAGACGGTTCGTGGTCGTGTCCCTTATTATCTTTAGCAATATTTGGTGAATCGTCAGTTGGCATCGTCATTATCGGCGCGACGACTCATTTATGTACCCGCAAAAGTTAACGGTGGTTATTTGGGTCGTATAAATGCGTGGGAGTCTTAGTGGGCAAAATCTTGAAAAATGGGAAAGGGTCACGCAGCGGAGAATATGGAGTGCCATTTTTTCCTTTTCTCCATTTCGTCCTTTCCCCCTTCATTACCATTTCAGTTTGGGAGAGGAAACCTGGAGGACGTCGTGGAAAGTCAAAATATCATGCCGGTTATAAACTAAAATGATTACTGGAGGCTCACATGGGCGTCGCATGTCAAGATAACTTAATCGGTTTATCGACGTCTCTAGGCATTAACGTAGCAGTATTTCGTGCGAGTGTCGAAAGGCATCTTTGTGGTCGCGCCACTACGAATTACGGACTTTAGACAACCCAAAAACCAACCGCTGCTCGTCGTTTTCGTTTGTCGTTCCGCAGAGAAAAACATCTGCGTGCTGCCCCAAGAGGTTGGCAACTGCGTGGAGTTCCGCGAGCGCTGGTACTACCACGCAGAGGAAGGCCAGTGCAGGCGCTTCTACTACGGAGGCTGCGACGGCAACGAGAACAACTTTGCCTCGCACCTCGAGTGCGAACGGGCGTGCGGGCAGCCGGTGATCGAGATCCCCGACGAGGACTTCAAGCCGGGCAAGGCTCGCCTCCCTCACTCTCGCATTCCCTCTGGCAGCCAACTATGATATGCGGGTCTCAACTTGTCGCCCTAATCTGCTACAGGTTAAGGAAAGTGCAAGATGCCCCTTTCACAAAACTTTCCATGATTGGTGGTTTTCTCCTCTCCAGCATCTGCTCTGCGAACGAGCAGAGGGCTTTGTAACAGGAGCTTGCCCCACTTTACTTGACCTCCAGTGACTGTACACTTCTTGTTTCTCTGCCAAGTTTCTGATGTTAGTTTAGGAGTCAAGAGTAAGCCAGATTAAAAGACTGAGCATCTTAGCGATTCTCAAACTTGTTGACACCTATCTGCCCCGAATGATATCTAAGGAATCCCCATTCCGTTGTCGGCTTCGCTGATGTGGACATTGCAAGTTGGCTTTGAATTATCGCCGTACTTCCGCGCATTGGCCAGTCGGTAGGCGTCGGGCGCTACACCTGAGCTTTGCTCTGCCCTTTCACTGCTGAAGAAGCTTACTGGCTCCTTGCTTTGAGGGGAACGTGCTCTGAGTGTGGGCATTTCTGCTGCTTGCAGAATTCTGCTCCATGCCACAGGAGGCAGGACCATGCACCAACACGGAGATCCGCTGGTTCTACGACAAGACGGATGGCGTCTGCAGGGAGTTCTACTATGGAGGCTGCTTGGGCAACGGAAACCGCTTCAGGACACGCAAGGACTGTGAGGACAGGTGCTCCAGTGCACAAGGTGACCCCCCGTCTTCTTTGTGCGGCGCATGCTTTTCTGTGCTACACCCAAGACGGTTTGAGGGATGTTTCTTTGCGCTACTCCGGAGATGCGCAGTGAAGCCGGAGCTAAAGGGACCCGAAGGAAGGATGGGACTCGTGCAAAGGGCACCGCTGAGGTCGATTTAAACTTCGTACTCTTAGCACAAATGCCTCGGGTATTGAATGCCATATTTTTTGCTAGATTCTTTGTTCTAACCATGGTAAACTGCAACATTTGAGATCTAATTTGGAATAGAGAGATCATCCTCCAGTATTGAGTTCAGTTGCGCATCGAAAGACCTAGATCTTGTTCCTGAAGCTGCTTCCAGCTGAGCATAATGATAGTCTCTAACTTCTTGGCCCAATGTGCTGCGAGTCATGCACTACAGTTCAACACACGATGGAGAAATATTTGCAAGTTCCCTAATGCTGAGCCAGATCACAGACAAGGAATAACTGTGGAGTAAGTTTGTCGCTATTTTTTTTTGGACAAAAACTGGGTGGGAGATAATGCTCTTCTTAGGTGTTTTTACTGCATAAACCCATCTTCAGTGCTGTCAATCAGGTATTTAGAATGTCTTTTAAAGCCGCTCACACTTGGGTCTTCCTTTCAGTGAGATGAGTGAATACATTAACATTGCCGCATATACTAATTAAGAACGCAAAGCTTTTGATTTTAGCTACGTAATCGAGAGCCAATCGTGCAGACCAACCAAACATTGCATCGGGTGTGGTAAAAAAGACAGTGAACCTAAGCGCAGACAACATCCAAATGGTATGTCAAAATCAATCATTGCTGGGAAGCTCCGCAGCTATTGTGTGCTCATAGCTCCCTCATTTATTGTTTTCGACAACGATCGTACCGCCATCGGTGTCGTGCTTGCCATGGTGCTTGTACTATAAAACATGAGGGTAGTCGAAGCTGGCCGAAAAACTTGGAGACGAACTTCCTGGCACTTTCACGGTGCAGGCAACCTTTTTAATAGGAGACCGAGCTTCTTAGGGCTGGTTTGAAGACTGCTTACAATTGAGTGCCCTCTTGGGATCTCTTACGATGCGAGACTGGCGCCATCCATTAGGTTGAACACTCGGCATTTCTGAGGAGCAGTGCCACGTCTAGGTGACGAGGTAACATACAAGGTGAGGATGACAGAAGTTTGGAGACTGTACGAGCGAGTCAGCCAGCGAGTTGAGGTGACCTTGTGAGCTGTTCGTTGAAAGTTTTCGATGGTGATGCTCTGGCAGGTCAGTCTGGCGGAGCGGTCGCTCACTTTGGTGAAGGCAGCGGGCTGCAGGAGGTGGCCCAGTCGAAGTAGACGGCTGCTACCCCTGAGGCATTAATGTCCAGGGCTTGAAACGTACCGTCGCGGTCACCCGGTATAGCTTCCTGTCATCGTCGTCCACGACGCTGGTATCGGCATCATAAACGGCGCATGTTGTGCGCTTCCTCTGCTTGGCAAATGAGCATTTGGAAGAGCCGGAGGAGAGATTTTGCGCACCAAGAATCTCCAAGGCTATGTCTGGTAAAATGCACTTCAGGTCTACCTCTTAAAGGGGCCCTGCAATGACTTTTTGACTGGTTTTTAATTTGCACTGAACCTGAGCGTACTGAATGTAGTAACTTAATGAAACTTTTCTTTTCTCAAATTTCGCTTTATTTTAAAAGTTATAGGCAAATTAGACTTACAAAAACAAGCAAAAAATAACCTCCTTCATGACGTCGTAGGTCCTGGCTTGAGTGGCCTTGAACTAGAGGAGGAGTAGTGAGCTCATCGAGCGCACACGGCTCCCGCACTCCGTGTCGATGGCTCGAGAGGGCGCCACTAAAGCACGTGTTGGATAGGCTGTATGAAGCGGGCGGCCAGGGCAGCTCGCATTGCATTTGCTGCGCGACTAAACACTAATTCAGCATAACATTTCATTGGCCACAAACGACAGCAAACACGGGGCAAAGATCAGTTCAGAACGGGAGCCACTTCGCGCTGACGCACCGCCAAATGGCCAAATCGCCAGCAGGGCCCGCGCCGAAGGCCTTCAGAACGCTCGGAACCGGTCGGATTCTCGAGCCGGTATACGACCACAGCGCCGCCGCGTACATCCGGGACCTTTCTACGCTCCTCGTTTGTCGTAGCCTCATCCCACTAGCCTTTTCTAGTATGCACCGTTTTTTTCCGCCGCTTGGTGGCGGGTATGTCGACGGGTCATTTCTCGTTTCCGTACTTTCTAAACTGCATTTGTTTCTTTTCTGATCTAAAATAGTGAACAAAAATTACTTTCATACATAATTGAAACGGTTCGCTACACTTATATTTTGTATCTCGACTAAAAAAAAGCTCTTAGCGGCTTTGACCAGTGGCAGGCCCAGGACCAAAGACGTCACATTTTGCGCGCTTTCGGTACCGCGGGTCGCCCTCGTCGGTGGAGGAGGTTTCCGCATCGTCCGGTTAAAATATGACGCACTGATATTTAGTTACTCTCTCCGTGCCCGCTGGCTTGCCCCACCCCCAAGAGACGTGGAAACCGCAAAAAAGGTAGACGCTTAAATATGATTGCAGGGCCCCTTTAAGGGGTGTCCAAACAGGACACTACAAAACGCACGACTCCGACAAATCGTGAAAATTGAAGCGGGCGCGGTTGATTCAATTTTCACGATTTGTCGGAATCGTGCGTTTTGTAGTGTCCTGTTTGGACACCCCCTTAGATGGTGCCAGCGTGCCAGTGTGTTTTCTGAACTCGGTTGTAAGTGACCACGAGTGTCTGAAGGGGCCTTTACAGCTTGGCACAAAATATATAGAATAACTCGGCTTTTTTTCTCCCCCTTCACTCGCTAGATCTGTGTACCCTGCCCAAGGTTCCGGGCCCATGCAGCGGCCGCTTCGTCCAGTGGTTCTACGACGCCGAGACGGATGTGTGCCACGAGTTCGTGTTCAGCGGCTGCCAGGGCAACGCCAACCGCTTCAACGACCGGGAAACCTGCGAGGCACGCTGCCGCAAGGGGGCACCACTGCCCACCGAACGTCCACCAGACCCGCATCCTCCAGTCGGTGAGGAGCAAGCGACCATCCCCGACCTCGTCCCGATCAACTTCCAATCTCGCAAGTTCTGTTGCTTTGTGCTTTGAGGGCTAGCAGTTCTCTCTCTATAAGGGGTCCCGTTGGCATTTTGAAGATTACTTTCTAGGTGGGGAACATCTTCACTCGTGTGTTCAGACAATGCTCATACCTTCTAGAGCTGCGAGAAACACCTCCTCTGTGCACATATTGAGCCCATACGATAACACAAACCAGGAAAGCTGCCCGTCTGTCACATGTCTTCTTCCTTTTCCTCTTTCTGTGACTTCAACGAGTAAAAGTACGCAGTGCTCAAGGTGTGAAGCAGCTAGTATCAAAGTATGTGGAGTGAAAGACCTCGCTGCAAAATTCAGTGATCCTGGCATCAATCCCCACCCCTGCCCGTTTCGATCTAAACGAGCATTATAGCGGCGTGCGGTCGTGTATCACTGCTGCATGATACACAGTCATACTGCACTGGCTAAACTTCTCATCTACAGTGGGTAACAATGTGACCATACTCGTGCTGTCTATACAACTAATGACTAACTTTTTTTTTTGACACTGTACAGACTCGGAATTTCTAGCTATCTTAATTTTCTTACGACAGCTAGAAGGCCGTCACGAAAATTCTACCCTCGGCATCAACTTTTACGTGCGACGTAGTCTAGGGTAGTGTAGTTTTCACAGAGCTGCGAGGGCACGTGGCATTACGTTGTGTCTCATCGCGTCTCATTTGCACATTTTCTGGTGCATAGCGGACACCAAATAGAGTCGGAACCGCCACGAGTAGCTTTAACAGCTTTGGTGTGCTGCGGTAACTATACTAGCCTCGACAACGTCGCAGAGAACAGCTGATGCTGAGCGTACTGTGGTGGAATGTCCACACATGTCGTAACTACCTATTTAAGTCAGTAAAGCCGCAGTCACCGGCACTGCGGACATGAGCATCTGCGGACATGAGCATGTTCAAAGCATGTTTGTTTCATGTACGCTTCAAACACGTCTGCAGATCATTTTTTGTATCATCAATGTGACCGTAATACAACGAAGGAATATGCCTCAGCCGGTGTCTTCAGTCTGTCTTTTGCACGACGTAGTGGCAGTGTGACCGCGGCTTAAGACTCGACGCCGGGCACCGGACCATGTCGGTAAAGTGCAGAGGTGTGGATGTGGCGCGCCGTACGCTTAACGGAGCTCTAAAGCGCCCGTTCCCGCGCAGATGCCTGTGCCCAGCCAAAGCAGCCTGGCCCGTGCTACGGTCTTTTCGAGATGTGGTTCTACGACACGAGCATCAACGAGTGCAGGGCTTTCAACTACGGCGGCTGCGAGGGCAACGACAACCGCTTCGAGTCCAAGGTGCTTTGCGAGCGGCGCTGCATGAGGAAAGTCGGCCCGGGTGAGTGAGCAGGCCCATCACGGGTCTACGGCTCTCCGACAGAGTGCAGACTCCTCCTTAACAAGACGCTGTGTGCCCTAAAAACATTTCTTCCGCCTGGCCTCGTACCTATGTCGCAAATGCATTTTCAGCAAAAATAGAAGATGAAGGAATTGAATATTTGCGCATGAGACGCATCTTTGATTGGTGTGTTTAGTGTCCTACTCCATCCTTGCATCCAAAGTGGTCCCTGAGTGATAACAAACGATGTCACGAAAGCCAGAGTGTCACGCTGTCAAATGTCGCGATCCTGGCTGTTATGCGTACGAGTTTAGCAAAAATGCGAGCTTCGCCGTCGTCGTGGCATTCCAACCTCTGACTGCTGAGGTTTCCATGAACTGGCAAGCTTAAGAGCGCCTTGTAGCAGAACCGGCATCTGCTGGTTCTACTACAGGGTGCTCCCTTTCCGCCCAATGACGTCGTGCGACGTCATTGGGCTGAAAGGGGGGACTAGGACACGGTAAACGCACAAGTCGGAGATGCCTTCCAGGCACCATAACTGAATTTAGATGGGCTTTGGAAGGAGCTCAAAACGAACGTCTATTGGGCCAAACCCCGCTGTACCAGTGTTGCCTGCATGCTCTGTATTTTCACTCTTTCTACCGAAATCAATTTTTCCGCTCACAGGTGGTAGCGACTGCGTGGCCTTGTGTCCACTCTGGGTGAACTGACCTTTGTCGCCATGCTAACCCTCTGCCCTTTTCTCCCGTTGCTAGTTGATGTGCCCGTCCGACCTCCCCGGCCCGGTAAACCTCAGAAAGGTAACACTAACCCCCCGACGTTAAAGGGACACCGAAGCGATTTGGGACGTTTAACTTTACGGAGAACGCTGATTCGAGTTCCCGTCGATGTGAGCGTGCTCCACGAGTCAATTAATTTACTGCACAAGCGGCAGGAAAAGACGTTGGCTTCAAAGCCGCTAAAAGCTTGAGATATAGAGAAAGGAGCAGTGACATCTCAATCGCCAAGTTGGTAGACGTTCCAGGGGTTGCAGTTGTTTCTGCATGCACTATCTCGTTCTGCAGCCTCGTTTTATAATTCTGGAAGCAGTTTAGTAAAGTATATTGAGCCCTCTAAGGAAGCAAATAATCCTGCCTTTGGAAAAAATCTCCTAGTGGTCTTCAGTGTCCCTTTAATGCTTTCTGAACCTTGCCGGAATTATGTGGAGTGAGCTAGACCTTCTTTGTAATGTAGTTATATTGCCTACAAAAGAAACAAACATGAAGGGACAGCATTAGAAAGCTTTTTTGTAGTCCCGCTACGCTGTCCAAACTAACCTTCTACGCAAGCGGCTTTAGTTTAAGGCCGAATTACTATTAAACATTCTATAACAAATTTGGCTTTTTACAATAAATTTTGGTGCATAAACGCTCATCCTGGCGAGATAGTTTTGGGCGGGGAACAGTCGCATCTGCAGCGTTCCTAGTACGGTTTGCACCTGGAAAGAGGCGACATAAAAATGCGACTGAGTTGACAAGGTGACTGCTGCAGTTCTTTCTCATTAGTAACAAACTATTTTTTGGCATCTTCTCATAGTCAATGAAAAAGAGAATAAGCTTCTGCAGGAAGCAATGAATTTCGGTTGCTTCAACTTTGTTGAGAAGCCTGGATGGAGCGCCGTCGGAAGAACGTACCTGCAGACAGGTCTTCTGCGGTGTCTCTTCTCGACAGTGTACTGGTGCGAGCAGAGGAAGAGCACACTCCTTTCAAATTATGTGCACATTTTTGCGCAGAGCTGGTTTTGCACGATAGATCTAGAAACTAATTGAACATTGCCCGTTCTGTTGGTGTAAACACAGTGGTACTATTTTTTGATGCAATAGAAATTTCACTCCTATGTATCACATGTTTAAAGTGTGCACGAAGCAGAAGAGTACGGCAAGGTTCGGACAGATCCATCAATCACCTCTTTTCATCGTAACGAGCCTTGTGTGAAACCCTCGCTGGTTCATCTTGACTTGTTCTAATTTAATTCCTCCCGCATCACCGTGCAAAGCGCACCACTCCTGTAAATTAAGGGCTAAGCTTCCATATCAGATCTTAAAGTAGACAAAATTGTTTGCTTGCAACGGTCAACATGTCAGATTTTTGTCGAGGGGAATCGGGAATCGGTGGCCGAATGGGTTGGGCGCACCGCAGCACGTGTAGCAATAGCTTGCACTGCCGACCCCAGAACGTTTAATTTCCACGTTTGCGTTGTTTGGATGAGCATCGCACCGGCGTGTGGTCGCATATCACCCTGTTCTGCATGGTGCACGCTAAACACCCTAGGCTAGCGGTTGTACTGCACTGGCTAAATTTCTCATCTACAACTGAGTCACCAGACGCCCATTCCGACTGTATAAACATGCATAAAACACAATTGTTATTTTTTATTTTTGTCCAATCAGGCTGTAGTCAACTGCAAACTATTTTCATGAAAATAATACATATTCATGTGGTTTGGATTCTTCAAACTCCCTTATTACAATAAAAATGTTCTCAGCACTCTTGAGGTAGTATCTTTTGAGAGTGAAAATGGTATATACAAATTTGGTTTTTTAAGATATCACTCATAGGTGGGAAATAGTTTATGAATGCCAGACATAGTCCAGAGCATTAGGTTGACCATACTTTCAGGGCTACAAGGGATAGTTTAATTAAAGGAGGAAGTTCTAAAGTATCTTTTTTGGAAAGCACAGACTGACAAAATTAGATAGAAAAGACAACTTCTATCAGTAGCAGACCTTTTCATATTTCACGGATGTCAAACCCTTTGCAAAACTAATTTTTTTCTATGTTCCTGCACTTCTTACAGTGGTGGTGGTTTCCGACTAAGCTGTGATTTACTGTTATTCCAAATGCATGAAGTATAGCACAGGAGCATTTTTGAGCCACAACTAACATGGCCTGACTTCCTGGCGTTAAGTTCTCGTTGATTCTCAACCATTTGTGACAGGGGATTTATCATGAAGCAGAATGCTATGTTTCCTACATTTCTCATTAAGTAGTCTTGTGTCTATCAGCAGGTATAAAAGGACACTTCTAATGAGGGTATAAAAGCAACTCGCCTCAAGGCTGATTTCTTATTGTCAATTCTTTCTGAGGGTGTGCATCTAGAGAGTGTCCCTGGAAGCTAGTCTACAAGTTATACGTACTGAACATCTAGACAAGCTTTTTCGAAGGCGATGAGCATGAGCTCATAGTCTATTAGCTTGAGAATACACCTTTCATAGAGAGCCCACTTGTCATGGCGGTGAATGGGTTAAGGCTTTAAGCAATAAAAGAGAACTTTTTACATAACCATTGTTATTGTTTGCTTAACAAGAAATGGCAAGTAGCTAGTATATACTAGCTACTTGCCATTTTAGTAGCTATATATATATAGCTACTAAAATTTCAGGCTATGATGCTCAATGCAAAAATGAGAAGGGCCAATGTAGAAGCCCAGTTTGAGAGCCATTTACTCAATCATACATATGCAAACTAGAGAACGAACAAAGTCAGTGTCCTATTTCTTCTGGATCACAACAGATTGACAGATTCATTTTTTTTTGTTAATTGCTATGTCAGTTTTTATATCTATACAGTAGTCTCCAGATAATTCCAACTCAAATATTTGGTATTTCTAGTTAATTCAAACAAACCTTAAAGTTTTGGTTGTGCCGCTATGTTTTTCATGTATTTATAAACCACTTAAACCGAACGGCATTTTCGTGTCACTTCTCGTTCTTGCAGCCCCGTTGAGCGTGGTTCTTTTCAAGCACCGCTGCACTGCGGAGAAGATATACCCGCAAAGCTCGCTTCATTGGGTTTTGCTTTTCCGCAGTGCACCGGTGCTCGGCAAGAAGCACGCTCAACGGGGCCAAAGCAGGGCGCACATGAGCGATGAGAACGGGCAATGCGCGGCAGTTTCCATTGCAATTTGGACGGACGCTATGACGTGGCAGCCTGGCTTAGGTCCACGTCCACAAAAAGTTGTCCACAATAGACAACTTTTTTTGCTGGATGAACAAACTTAATTTTGTTTTGAGGTGTCATGTACTGTCTAAACAGTCCACAATAAACAATATTTTTGTTCGTGAATAAATTAATGTCATACATTTCACCAGTGCTTCATGTGTGGAATATACCTGCGTGTGGTTAGTAGGCCTGTGTAGAGGAAATCATCAGATATCTGCTTTTTATCTGTAGCCATCCATGTAGCAAATTATAATTTTATCTTGCATCATATTTAGATGCATTTCTGATATTTTAAACTTTGGTAACTCTAACAAAATTTGTGGCTTCCTGGAGTTTGAATTAATGAAGCTCTAGCATATTAGTGTCTGAAACTATGCGTTATTTCGTAGACCGAAATATGCTATGACCTGAACAAAGTGCAATAAACACGTCAGTTCTTATTACTTTGGCCCAGAATATTATTAATGTTTTTGGTGAGGTGTATGGACGTATAGAAATGCTGTAAATAGAGTATACAAATCTGTTCATTTCTCTGAAAAGTACCTCATGTCTGCATTGCTTTAGAACCAGGTGCAGACCTACCGATAGGCAGAGTAGGCAGCTGCCTAGGGCAGCAGTACTTGAAGACGGCCCCCAAATTAATTGTCTCTTCATCAAGATTAAATCTAACTCAGAATTTACCTACTTTGGAAATTCTAGCTCTAAATCTAGCTATTTTCGAAGCTATTAACTCCAAACTTAGCTACTTCTCCCCCCAACTCCCGCTCGTCATGGTCACTGACTGGGGGGTGTGGGCGGCACTGTTAAAGGCTGTCTAGGGCAGCAAAATGCTAAGTCTGCCTCTGAACCGTATACAAACATAGCCTCTACTTTAGCCTGATGGCTGAGGTGGAGGCTGGTTCATGCGACTGCTTACGATGAGTGTCTTGGGATTTCTTGCAACCCACTCGTGCCATCTTTCGGGTAGCCATGGAACACTCGGCATTTTCATGTAATTTCCTATTCACGCATGTAATTTCCTATTCACGCATTATGCTTTCTTTCTTGGCTCAAAAAACTTTTGACAATGTTATAAACATCCTGACAAATAGTATGTACATTTGATCTCGCAAATAGTGTAAAACCTTTGCTCTAGGGAAATAAAGTTCCAAGGTCACCTTACGATGGTGCCAGCACGTCAGGGTGTTCTCTCTCGTTGTAAGAGAACTCAAGAACTCAATCATAAGCAAATGGAAGTCTGTGAACAGGCCTTAGAGGGCAATTTTAGTTAATATTTTTTTTAATTTGGGATTACAACTGTTTTCAGCTAAGGTAGTGTCCCTGAATTACAAAGAATAATATTTTTTCTTTCAATATTGCATGTAGTGATAAATATTGTGGCTCAGGTTTTGGTTTCGGGCATCTACTGCAAAACCGAAGGTATCTGCCAGAGGGGATGGCAACTCTGATCATCAATTGTACGGCCGGCGACGTGATGTCACCGTGGTGCTGCGGTACGTGGTGCAACCAATCAACCGCAGCTCCACCGCGACGCAATGTCACAGGGGTACTGCGCCACTGTTCCTTGACTGAAAGCTAACCCGCTCACCGCCCGCTAAAGAGCAGCTGGTCGCATCTTTAAAATCGGTTTTAGTGGAGTATGCGGCTTCACTTTGACGTAAGAATGAGACTGTGATCATAATTCGTGCCACTAAAGCGATACCAGTCAATGATTTTGGTTTTGTTTTCGTTGGGAGCTGCCCTCTCAGATTTCAGATTTACAAAAAGAGAAGTGCCTTTGGGGTTTTGGTTCTTTATTTGTTTTTCCTTTGGCAGTGTGCCAGAAGATGGCGGACCCTGGCACCTGTGACCAGATGCACCCACGGTGGTTCTATGACGCCAAGAGCGGCATTTGCTTGCCCTTCGTGTACACTGGTTGCGGCGGCAACCGGAACCGCTTCAAGACGCAAGAGGTCTGCCTCAGCTTCTGCCGCGGAGTGACCAGTGAGTGTTACTTGGTTATTTATTCACCCTATGACGCGTGAAATGGATTAGAGATTTCTCTGTTGCGACCGCTCTACCTTGCAGAAGAGACCAAGAATGAGATCCTTGTTTTTCTTTTCAAAACATGTTGCTAGATTGGTTGTGAGCGAAACAGCTGATGTAAAAATTGTATTTTTCGACCATGATGTGCGGAGAAACGAAAGGAGATAGCTGTAGCACGGTCGCGCAGTGCGGGTGGAATGGTGCCGTGATGTACCTGAGGACGGAGGTGCAACGTGGTTGATTCTCACAGGCCTCTTGGTTGGCGTCGTGAGTGCCACTGACAATCGCCACCAGTGCTCGGTGATTCGTGAAGTGGGTAAACGCGGTGGAAGTTTCTAAAACTATCCAGCATTACGCATAGCAACTGGATACTGCCAAAGTGGGATTTCGCGTGACGCAAGTAACGTTTGAAAACAAGTCTTTCAAGCAGACGACACAAAGAATCTCCTTTTGTACTGCCATCCTTGGCGGGACGCCGGGGCTGCCCTCTTCGCTTTCCTCATGCGGCACGGCCAATCGGAAGTTCCCAACTTCTCTCTCCTCGCGCTAAAAAGGAAAAGAAAAAGTTTTTCCATTCTTTGCGTGCGCCGATGACAACCTTGGGGAGGACAAAATATTTGCAAAGTGTCGCCCATAAAGCTATTGATTTAGAGCACCGTTTTTAAGATAAAAGAATTACTAAAAAGGCGTACCATATTTAGACAATTGTAAGTTGACTCGATTGTAAGTCGTCCCCCCACAGTGCATGTCAGCGAAACAAAAAAAAAAATTATTCTTTAGGTGCATGTTCTTATGGCAAACATGGGAGAATGGCAGGGTGCCTCTTTCGAACACCTGGCCTCCAGCGTGTGCTCGACGCCATCTGCTGTGCTTTAGTTGCGCATGCACGCGCGAGGCCTGGAGTCCAACGCATTATCCAAGTTAGAAAGCTCATGCTGGAGATGAGACTACTGACTCTTGTTGTCTTTCGTCCATACTGGTGCTGTCGTTCCCATCGCTATCACTGCTACGTTCCCGAAACATGTCGTCGGCGTTGCCCAACAGAATCTTGCACTTCGCAAACGACCACATAAGCCGCATCTTCCGCACTAGCTCGGTGATTGTGCTGCACGTCGTGGGTAGGAACTGATCGTGCACTTCTGTGATGCACGTTGCAAGCTTGACCTCTAACTCCGGAAAGCATCCAGACGTATTCAAATTTTGGCCCGTGGAAGCCTCTTTGTTTGCCGTCACGGTTAAAAGATCCTGTGCCATTGCAGATGTCACTGGCTGACCGCTTTTTCTGACGGGTCGAACTTGCGTCCAGCAGTGCAGTTGTTAATTGCTTTCGGATGAAGAATGACTGTTAACAAGTATTGACATTCTAAACTGCCCGAACACCTCATGTCAGTACTGAGAAACATAGTTGTCACTCCAGTACGGTTGCACGATCTCGACACTCAAACAACGTGCGATTGTGTATTGTGTGAAAAAGATAGGGGTACACCTAAGCACTTCTTATGAGTTGGCAATGCGAAAGCATGTAAATCAACCTTGCTGTAGATGGTTGAGCATGTTGGTTTCTAATTTACGATAAGGAAAGAGGGACATTGAAGACAAACAGACGAGACAGGCTTTCAACTTTCGCTGTTTGCACGCTGACTGGCAATGACGGACACGCAGCGCCATGAGGTGGCCGGCGAATGGTTGCCTGGTTGTCGTGGGCAACCATTCGGGCAACCATTCGGGCAACCTCTGCATCAATCAATCAATCAATCAATCAATCAGTTTATTAAGTCACAAACAATTACATTTGGGACTAGGGGGCTGGAAAAAAGCTGCGTACTCGCAGCTTGACAAAGTCCAGCGCCCCCCAAAACCAAGCAGCAGTGATGGGGGCACAGCTAGGTTACAGAAATTCTAAATATACAACTCTTATACAATAACCACAGAAGAAGAAACACAAGAAAAACAGTTCGATATTATAATATTCTTTGAATTGTCTGATAGTTTATGGAGCGTATGTCAATATCTCGGGATGCCAGCTTATTTAACATAACCGCCAATCTGTAGTTAAATCTCTGCAACCCAAAATTGGTCCTGGAAGGGGGAACACGCCAATGAGGAGGGTCACGTAATGAATATGTTACTTCGTTTCTCACCAGGTTTCCAAGATTTAAAATAACTGCCAGAGAAGCAGAAGAAAACAAACAAATGCGGTTGGGTGTGGCTACGTGACTTCCGGCCATGCCACACATGCCAGAGAAGCGGAAAAAACAAACAAATGCAGTTGGGTGTGGCTACGTGACTTCCGGTGCTGGTGTTTTGGTTTTGGTCTCGAACATTTGAGTTTTTTTTATTTAATAGCAGAATATCGATTAGGTAGTCTCCTGACTCCATATTAAATCGCCTGGCCAAAAATAAGGAAGGTCTTTGGGGGGTGACAGTGTCCTTTAAGTGCCGCCACCCCCGGGGAATCTGCCGCGCAGCACGCAAAGTTGTGAGTGCAATGTATTGCGCACTGCTCACAGCCGTCCATTCGGGCTGATTTGCGAATTGTAATCGCCACAATAACAATACTCGTTTGCGCAGATAAAAAAAAATAAATAAATAGAACTTGTAAAACGAGCGCACAAAATGGCAATATGCTACTATAGGTACAGCCAGCTGAACTCGTAGCAAGCTGAGGTGTTCTTAATATTGCGATTGTTTCGTCTTTGTCGGGCGGTGAGATGCTTTGGTTCCGATTATAAGTCAACCCCTCCAGCTCAGATTTTCAAAAATTTTAAAATGGGTCGACCTACAATCGTGTAAATACGGTGCATATCAATTTCTACAACGGATCATATGCTACATTCTTTTTTTCCCTTTCTACCTTGCAGTGTTTCTGGATTATGTGGAATGAATCGAACAATGAAGTAATTAATACACACTATACCCAAAGAGTACATGCTACGAACAATAATGTTAATAAGTCTATTAATTTAGGTATATTTATAAACATTCATTTGCGTTTATTAATGGCCCCTTATTTATTGACACATAATTTTATAAATAGATAGGAACTTAGTTCATTAACACTTTAATTTATTTATTGAAGGGCCACCAAGCTGGATATCAAGATCGACATTTCATGGCACAAGCTCAAATTGTGTCCTAAGCATCCTATAAACCTAAAATTATATAATCATGCACACCATTCTTTTAAGAATTACAAATGCAACTCTTTACATTCCCTTTCTGAGATATATCTCAGAAAGAAGGGCTATGTTTTTTTGTGTTTTTAATTGGAAAGATGGGCACACATGATTCTAATTTAGAGTTTTCTTGAATGCTCAAGGTTCCGAGTTTGCGTCAATCTCAAAATTAACTTTAGCTTCAAATGATTGTGGCCTAATTGAATTTACCGATTGCTCTTCGACTGCCTAAAGGCCTCGATGAATCGAATAACTAATTAACGGACACGCGCGTGCTTCCACCCGAAGGTACGGAAACCCCCGACGAAGGACAGCCGGATTCGGGCGAGTCATCAGTGGAAGAGTTGGACCCACGTTCAAAGTTCCCTCCGGTGCCAGACCCCACCCCGCTGGCGCCCCCGACGGTGCCGCCCGTTGCACCGACCACCGTCCCGTGCCCAACGTCCAACTGCGCCACGCTCCAGTGTTCGCTGGGCAAGACGGAGATCGTCGACCGACAGGGCTGTGTCATGTGCCGGTGCAGCAACCCGTGTGAGGTGAGGCACGCCGAGATTCCTTTCAACTCCTCGGAATGGAGACACTGAGCCCATTCCCACTCCTGGAATGGCTGAGCTCCACCATTCCATTCCTCTGATTCCGAAACGTGAAAAAAGGCGCCATTGACAGCCACATTGTGTTATTCGAAAAAAAGCAGCATACAGCTGCTAACATGAAACGCGGAGACCGACTGAAAAAGTATGCAAAATCTTTCTCAAAAACCCTCATTCTATACTAAACCGAAGGCTGGTCGCACAAAGCGCTTCTTAGCACTTGGTGTCACTGCAGACATCGATCGCGCGATCGAGCGTAAAAACCTCGCGACTCGCAACCAACGCTGAAAGTTAAAACCACCGATTTTCTTCGCAAACAGATTGTATATCCTCCGCAGATACATGGTTAGCATGTTGTCTGTTTGATAAGACCTTAAAAATGCCTAGTTTGTGAGTGGCGCAATAAGTTGCTCTTTGCTTCGAGTATTTGCACAACAGCAGTGCTAGTGCGCTGTTAGAAGCAACGCCGCGTGTACCTGCCCTTAGCATTATCATTGTCATCACCAGAGCCCCAAAGTCTGTAATAACATTCGTCGGAAAGCGAGACTCTTTGAGGCACCCTGTGGCAGTGTTCCGAACCTTATTCAATTCAATCCGAGTTACTCCGACGGGTTATGTCGTGCGACAACAAAGATAGTGCAACACTGGACGCATGTAGGTTTTAAAACATCAAAGTGCAGAAGCTTTACTCTAGAGCGAGATCTAGTAAATTTTGGAACATGGCCTATATTTGTTTCTTTCATTTGTTAGTTTATTGGAGCAATATGTTTACAAATACAAAACTTGAAAGTATAAAACACAGAGGACGAGGACGGGAACAGGACGTCTTTCCTGTCCCGTCCTCGTCCTCTCTGTTTTATACTTTCAAGTTTTGTATCTATTAACCAACATGCTCGTTTTCAATTGTATGTTTACAAAATTATTTTTCCATGTATGATGTTTTTGCGACTTGCAAAATATCGTCACTGGCCAAAGAATGTCTTTATGGATGTGGGGCTGTAAATATTTCTGTCAGATCACTCATCTGCTCTTTAGGCGATTCTAGAATGAAGTCATTATCTGGATGACCACATAATTGAAATCTCCTAGAAGTCACCTTCATTGCTAAGCAATGCAAGAAATAAACTGGTTTTGATGCCAATTTATTTTCCTTCGCCACCCACAGACACACGTCTGCGGAAACGACGAGCAATGCAGGATCGAGGCCTACCGGGGACCAGACGGCGAACCACGATATCGTCCAATCTGCCGGCTCAGTAAGTTTCTTCTGTCGTTACGATGTTGCTCCGAATAAAGATATTTCCTGCTTGAGAGAAACTTGCGTAACATGCAGAAGCTAACCTGGAAAAAGAATCTCTTGGAGAGTTCTTGAATGACCATCAATGTGCAGCAAACTGATAGGGCTTCTTTTGATTGAGAATTGAGGAAATGATGCAGCCGCTTTTCCACGAAAAGACTCGGCTTTTTTAAGTGGCATAGAAGATATTTTGCTATGGACTTTCCTTCTTCAAATGACAAGAAAATGATACAGCTCATGGTTTGCTAAGAGACTCAGCTTCTTGAGAGGTTAAAGCAATGATGTGGCTGATGTTTTGCAAAAAAATAACTTCTTTGAAGAAACTTCCCAATGAATCTAGATCACTGAGAGGGGACCATGTCAGGATTGTTTCTCCAGACATTCACTTCAGTCGATCGAGTTTTTTCTCATAGTGTATTGAAGAGTTTCATTGTTTATGCCGAATCTTACTTGTTAGTGCTCCAAAAAAAGTCTCGGCTTCAGCAGGCGGCGTTTATTTTTCTCCTTCTAATTTTCCGAAAACGACGCCCTCCGCAGCCAACAAGGCCGGCCATTGCCCGATAGCCGAAGCCAAAGCCCAGCCGGCGGCGGTCGTGCGGGCGGACTGCCGAGACGTGTGTCGCATTGACGCCGACTGCCCCGACGAACGCAAGTGCTGCTACAATGGATGCGCTCACGTCTGCGTGCAGGCGGTCGTCACCGGTAATGGCGCCTCGCCCCTCCACACTTCGCACGTGTCGTCGACGTTAGCGACGGTTCCTCTTTTACTTTGTTTTTTGTGTTGCAGAGGGCACCACTCTACTGACTACAACGTCCACACTGGCACCAGCGTTGCCCCCCGAGCCCACCCATAAGGATGTGACCCGTAAGGACGTCATTTTTGGTCAGTTGTCTGCATTGAAAGAAACCGCAAACTGTTGCTGAAGTCATACTTCAAAGTGTTCTTCCAAAGTTAAGTGCTCGAAGAAATGGCCGACGTGGTCAATCAACTTTGTTTGTTTGATTGCTTGCCAAGTTACATTATATTTTACCCCATTCGTCTTAGCAGGGAGCCTTTGTTTCTATTATCAAACGCAACATAAATTTTTTGTTTTTGCGCGCTAAAAGCGTTTATTTTATGTTTGCCGTGAACGAATTTTAGCTGCGACTTATTAAAGCATCTGCACTCAGTTTGCATTTAAACGCGAAATATTAGAAAATGCTCGACTTGATTTGCGGTCAAATTTTAATATGCGTATTCAGTTTGTATTTATATTCAACTCTATTAGCAGTCAAATTTTAATATTTGCATTTATTTCATAATTTAAAATATTTGACTCGATTTGTAGTAAAATTGTACCATTCATATTCACTAAGATTCATATTCAGTTCATATTTGAAAATATTCAGCTCGATTCGCAGTCAAACTTCAATATTTGTATATTCCATATTCTGGAACAGGGGTCTCCCAACCTTTTGGCTAAGAAGCCGGACAAGCGATCGGCCACTGTCTCTAGGGCCGGAAAATAAATAAGAAAATGTAGGGTAGGAAAAGACTAAATATATAGTTCTTGTTCTTTCTGGTATCTTTGCGAGCGCATTTGTTTCGCGTCGCTGCACCGTTCCTTTACGCATGCTTATTTTTGCGCCGGTAGCAGCGAGCGTGCTAGAAGCAGGCTGCGGGTAGGTGCTTCGAGTTAAACACTCGGTGGGAAGGTCCGTGAGACCACTGACTGCTGCGATTGGTCAGCACCGCGCTTGACCTTGGCGCCGGCCAATGTTAACACACCCATGAAGCAATGAATAAAAAGCACCCATTTCCCTTTTGGCATACGTTCTCCACGCAGACCCACCGTCAGAGACCCTGGCCACCGAACCCGAGGTGACCGCCAACGCGGGCTCGGACGTGACGCTGCGCTGCGTCAGGAACCTCCCGTCGGCTCGCGTCACGTGGACCTTCAAGGACCACTTCGTGGAGAGCCGGGACGGCCGCTTCAAGATCCTCGTGGACGGCTCGCTCCACATCTCGGAGCTAAGGGGAGAGGACGCCGGACCTTACAAGTGCACCGCCGTCAGCGGCCAGGAGGAAGTCAGCCACGTCACCGAGCTCGTGGTCTATGGTGAGCGCTCTTCGGGCGTGACCGCGCTGCCTGCGTCGTAAAAGTGTCTCTGTGTCGCTGCGCGAAAGTGATCCCATAGTCCCAAAGTGGCAGTAAGTTAGATTGCGGGAACTGTGCGTTTTGGCTTGGCAACTGGCCGTAGAAATTCCGCTAAAAAAGACGAGCAAGCACGAGCGTCTTCCCAGCGTCCCAACTCTTCTGGCTACTCAAGTTTTTGTAGACCGGTCGGCCGTAGAGAGTTCTACCCCGAAACGGGAATCTGCTGTATTCACCTATGCTGCTTTGCTACAGCCAGAAATGCGCCGTTCTTAGGCCTAACCACTTTCGCAATATCACTGTCCAAAGGCGGATCGCAGATGACAGCATGTTTGTTGACATCAATGCTTCCGATGGGTGAAGCACGTCTGGGGCTGGGCAACTCCTCGACCCCAGCTTTGCTAGGCGTGCGCGCCGCTCGGTTTCACGGTTGATTACTCCCGCAACCACGCAATTGCAGCCATTACGAGAGCGGCTTGGCTGGGTTTGACTTGGCCTTGTCACTTGGTGGCAAAAAAAAGTAGCTTGAAGACTTTTGAAGCCGAAAATTAAAAGTGTATTCATCACGTGAGAAAAAGAAAGAAGTTCAAATATTGGATGCCCGGTGTGGGGGGTGCGTTCATTATGCGAGTAAATACAGTATAACTCGCTTGAAGCAGTAAGCATAAAATGAGTGCGGCAATTGAGCGACATCTCGGTGATTACCGTTTATGAGTGCGAGTGTTCCGTGTGCTTCTCTTAAGAATGTTACTGGGTAAGGGTGTCCTTGTGGGAGTCTGGCATATTTCGAGCACCCTTGTATCCACTCAATCGGAACGACTTTTGCCGCAAAAGACGCTTAAAAGAGTTGTCTCGCAGTCGTGCTTAACCCAGTGACAGTAAAGGTCCATTCATACACTTGCATTTGCTTACGACCGAGTTTTTGCGATCTCTTACGACGAAAAAACACACAGGCACGCTGGCACCATCTATGAGGCGACCCTGGAACTGCATTTCACTAGAGCTAAGGTTTTTGCGTTATTAGCGCAATGAAATGTACATGCTAGATGTGAGAAATGTTGTTTAAGCAATTGCTGAAAGTTTTTTGAGCCAAAGGAAACAAAATTATGCGCAAAAAATAAAGGGAAATATATGGAAACTGCAAGTGTGCCATGGCTACCTGACAGATGACAGCACTGTGTTTTCTCGTCACGAGAGATTTAAGAGGTTCTAGGGTACACGGTCTTTAAACAGTCACAAGAGTGTGAACCAGAGCCCGTATAATAACACGCATGTTCCGCCTTTTGTTTTTCCTAACCCTAACCTCGCTTCTAACCGCAACTCTAACCCGCACCCTCGCGTTAAACCTAAACCACTTCCTTTCTGCCCCTGACCCTCGCCCTGGACCTCTTTTGCCTGCCACCTAACCCTAACCCCTAACCAGTTTCGGCGACCATCCTGCCCTCCAACACAATGGTGGTGGTGACGGTGTCGGAAACCGCGTACCTCGCCTGCAAGGCGGTCGGATACCCGAAGCCCATCGTCAACTGGTACCGCAACGGGACACAGCTGCCCCAGCGCAGCGCGCGCTACCACGTGTTCCCCGACTTCACGCTGGCCATTCGCAACGTGACGTTCAGCGACGAGGACATCTACATGTGCCGGGCGTACAACCGGATCGGGCGTCCGTCTGTCTGGAAGGTTTCCCTGACGGTCATGCCCCTTGTGGTGTCCGGTCGGCGCCGCAGGGGCCACGGGCCCCCGCGGGACACCAGGAAGGTCATGCTGGACGGGCCCGGTGCGTGACCCGTGCGGGGCGGGCTCCTTCCTCGTCTCTGCTTTCGGCTTGGCTCGGACTGGGCACCTTTCTCGTGCAAAGGCACCCAGAAATAATCATTGGGATATAAGCAAAAAAAATAAATTAGGGACTCGAGCATTGTCATCAGATGTGGACACACATCATAGAAAGTTTAGATAACTACAGACAAGTCAGAAAGATTGGCGTGGAAATACTACCCTGCAGAAAGGTGTTATCGTCTTGAAAGCTGTAAGAGGTAATCCATTCCAGTCATTAATTGTAAATGTATGAATATTTTTGTAAATGTAGTCATGCTTCAGATGGCTCAGATCTGATAAACTAATGCTTAAACTGGGGAAACACTGCTCAGGGATGGGAATGGTTGGGGACATTCGGGAGCTTGGGGAGCTGCTACATGCATCGTCATTTCAAGAGAAAAGCAAGCTTTGTGCATTGTTTTTACGCCATGCAAAGTTGTTCTTACAAGTTTTGGTTGTTGGAGGAAGAAGGGATGCTTTTGGCATTTGAAACATGTGCATCTTGTTAAGGTAACATATCTAAATAATATCATACTCTAAAATGCACTTACACATGTCTTAATTCTCCATATAAAGGGCGACATCAGTAATAGTCTGCAAGGAGCCGGACTTGTTTTTACTACGCCTCCTGAGGTGAAAACGAGTATAGCTTCCTACAAAGAAAAGTTTGTGAAGCCACGTGCTACAGTCAGACATGATACACTGTCAATGTAGCAAGTTTAATTCCAGTATGCCAAACAAGTAGCAATTCGCAGAGGTGCTCTCCAGACTCATGCATACTCTTGCACACGAGGGGGTAAAAACGAGCAGAACGTCACAAAGCATAGGGACTGACATCGGTGCTCCCGAGAAAGAATGAGAAAGAGAGCAACAGAAAAGCACATGTTCCTTTTTATTCCATCGACTATATTGCAATTTCACTGGTACCCTCTTACAAATACCTAGGTATCACTTTCACAGACGACCTGTCCTGGAATGCGCACATAGATACCATAATTAACAAATCATCTAGAACTCTTGGCTTTCTTTGAACATACTTTTACTGAGCACGACAGGATGTGAAGATCCCAGCATACAAAAGTCTCGTCCGATCGAAACTAGAATATCCAAGTGCAATATGGGCTCCTCATAAGAGTTACCTAATCAATAGACTGGAGGCAGTTCAAAACAATGTTTCATTCATTGAAACTTCCAAAAGTGTCACCTTAAAGCACTTCCCAAACTAACTTCTCTCTATGTCCCTCTCCAACTCTCTTGTCTTTTTCCAAAGTTCTATTATAACATGCCATTGTTCATGCACACCTACTGCATGCCTCCCTTATACATTTTCTTACGTCATGATCACTCCCTAAAGATTGAACCGATATTTGGTTACACTAATAGATTAAAGTTCTCACCTCTTGGCTCTCTGCATTACAAACTGGAATTCTAACTGAAGAAGTTGCTACCGAATGGGATCCTTCTGTATTTCACAAGAAATGCTTGAGCCTGCTTTTGTGATTTTTTATTCTCTATCGTTTTTGCTCTATTAGTTTTCATTAAGTGCCACCAACCTTAATGTCAAGTTTTCTGTTTCACTCTTTAAAATAGGTCATATGTGCGTGCAAACATTTTTCTATATGTTAAAATTGTCTTCAAGGAATACTAATCTGTGTTTTGCGCAAAATGCTCAACTCCACTTCTGTGATTTCCTTCTATTCCCTGTTTGGCTCGTTATGTTGTTCTTACTAGAACCACCAATGACTATGTCTAACTTTGTTCTGCCTGCTTAAATTTTGCTTCTTTAATATGTGAATTTTCTTAGTATATTGCGAAAACTGTTTCAGACTTTGCTGTTTTGCACTCCCACTGATGTTATACATCCCTAGGAGTGTCCTTGAGGGCAACGAACTTGAACGGCAGATTGAGCGTGTTCGTTTCGCTGAAACAAGTTAAAGACATTCGAACGGTCGTCAACTTCATTTATTTTTATGCATCGCGCAATGCCGGTGTTTCCGTGCAAAGTAAAGCTAGAAAAACACTAGGCGTGATCAAGTGATGTGATCTCGATTTTTTGTGCATGTCAAAACGTTGCCGACACTGGTACTACCGAAGTTCCGAAGTGGCCGAAACGCGCGGGACCTTTGCCTCTAGATTGTTGCGGTAACTTTATGCTTGCGCAGAAACGGTTACGGTGGACGTGGTGGTCCTGACCGAGGAGTACCGTGTGGGAGCACCGCTCCAGCTGGACTGCTACGTGACGGGATGGCCCGAGCCGGACGTGAGCTGGCTGCACGACGGCCGGGTGGTGAAGCAGGACGGGCACCACGTGGTCATGGAGAACCACACCCTGTTCATCCCGTCGGCGGCCATGTCAGACAACGGGGAGTACACCTGCCGGGCGGACAACGGGCGCAGCAACGAGTCCGTGTCCGTCCACATCACCATGGACGGTGCGTAAAGTGCCTAGTCGCTCTACGGCAAAGCGGTGGGGAACGTGCGAGGGTGTGGCACAGTTGACGCCGGAACTGCTCTTGAAAAGTCATCAAGTTGCATGTACCCGAGCTGTGGAAGTTATCTGCCTGTTCAGACACCCTGGCACGTGGGTGCCATCTATGAAATGGTCCTGGAACTTCGTCTTACCAGAGAAAATGTTTTGGGGGCATCTGCAAGATGCATACTGTCTACGAAATATCATAGTTTATAACATTGTCAAAAGTTCTTTGATCCAAGGTAGAAAGTGTTCCCCAAGAGATGGCGCGAGTGTGTTCTCATCAGGGTTGGGGTTTTAACACTGATCTCTATGACTATTGCTAGATCGCGTTTGCCCGCTCCGCAAATGTGGCCACTGGCAGCCATCTTTTTGGTAGAGTTATATTACCTCTAGCCAAGGTACAGCTGCTGCAGCCACTATTATCCATCCATGGCAGACAGCATTGTGGTAGTTGTGGTGGCAAGCTGCCATCAAAATAGCGTGGGTGATATTTCGTGTTTGATTGAAATTGTGTTGGCGGCAGGCTGCCATAAAATAGCCGTGGATCTAGTACACTGTACCGTGGGTGATATTTCGTGCTTGATTAAAGTTGTTCGACGAAGCAGATTCTTGAAACCCGGCGGAAGCGGTAGCCCGACCTTTGAGTACCCGGTGAAAGTGCCACGAAAGCGCAGCACCGGGGGAAAGCAGCGCAGTTCGCATTGAAAGCAGACTCCGTACCGGCGTCTGCTTTCGATGCTTCTTTCGATGCGACTTTCGATGCGAGCTGTGCTGCTTTCCCCCGGTGCTGCGATTTCGTGAAACTTTCACCGGGTCCTCAAAGGTCGGGCTACCGCTCCCGCCGGGTTTCAAAAATGTGTTTCGTCAAACAGTTTCAATCAAGCACGAAATATCATCCACGCCATTTTGATGGCAGCCTGTCCCAGCTTAGCCAGCTTAGAATGAAGTTGTTCAATTCAGCTTTCAAAGTTAGTCTTAAAAAGTAATATAGTGTAAGCTTCCCCAACTAATAGAGTAATCAGGTTAAATACGTCAGATTAAACTTTCTCTTGCAAATTAATTAACTTAATTACTTGAGTTATAAAAGTTATTCTTTAGAAGTAATCACATTACAGCTACTTGAACTGAAATAAGTAAGTAAATAAGTTATATTTAATTTGAGCTATGATTAATTCAGAGTTACTTGAACTAGTGGCTTGAGCCGAGACGCTTTTGAGTTGCAAATACGGTTACATTTCTTCAGATGTGCCCAGAGTTAGTCACAGTCCTACAAACCAACAGTTACCTGCCGATTTCCTTTTAAGTGCTTTGCAATATTGGGCTGTGCTACATTTGCTGAGCAAGGGCCCACTGCTGAATGGAGCATAGTGCTACAATTCACAGTAATGTTTTATTGTGAATTTATATTTTTCAATATTGTTTCAAGAAGTAACCAGTTCTGTACATAGTGTTTCAAAAGCATAACTTACTTACACAGTTGGAGTTAGTAATCATTTCTTGGTACATGGAGACTAAAAAATTGGATGTATTATTTTGGGCACCCACCATTGGGGCACCGTGCTATGTGGAGCAAGATGCTAAGTGCACAACTTTTAGTCTTGCATAGCACTACCCTTCACTGTGATACGGGCCACCAAATTTTCTTATGTCGTGACAAGTTTCCCAAGCTTTCTCTCGAAGAGAAATTCTGCACAGATACGAGAAATGAACAGAAGTCGTCGATGAAATGCGCAAGCAAGGATTGGTTTCCTACTTTTTTAAGAAATGTGAAATACATCAGTTTAGAACTCGAGGAATAGGGCGGGGCTTTCCTTTCATTTTTCTCCCAAATCTGCCTGCTCGTGCACGCGAGACATCCCTCAATTACAAAACTGCGGTGAACAGAATACGAGTACAGTGAAACTCGTTTAGAACGAACCCACGTACAGCGAATTATTGTCAATATCGAACTCACGGAAAATTGAAATAAAAATGCATGTAAAAAGTACTTTTTATAACGAACAATATATTGGCTATATCAAACTTTTTCTCCCGGAAAGGCTTCCAAAAACGCGCTAACGATCGTCGTCTTGCCTGTCCCTTCCCACAAAAAAGAAGTAGGAAGGAAAGAAAATTCCAAAAGCTCAAGTTGCGAACAAAGTTGAGCGAAGAAAAGAGATTCAGAAGGAAAGGGGGCTAAAAAATACACTGCACGCACACACACACAAAAAAAAATTTTTTCATCCCAAAGCGTTTGCTTACAAAGCGAAGCGATTCAGAAGGGAAGATAAGCTAAAAAAATTAAAACCAAAACTCTATGCATGCAAAAAAAAACAAAAAAACTTTACAGCCTGTTGTTACAAGGCGGAAGTGAAGAGATGAGAAAGAAAGACAAGCTCTCGCCTTACAACGAACGCAGCCTGGATGTTCGTTGTAAACGGTTTTTGCTATATCGAACTGCTCGTAGTGTTTCCTGCTGTTCGTTATAAACGGGTTTGACTGTATACCCTGCAATGCTCGACGGAACTCGTTCCAATTATAACCCGATTTCTTTCTGAAAACCCCCGCAGATGTGTTCGTGCCCGAGACGTGCACAGACAACCCGCGATTCGCCAACTGCAACCTGATCGTGAAGGCACGGTACTGCACCAACAAGCACTACTCGCGCTTCTGCTGCCGGTCCTGCATGCTGGCCGGACAGATCCACGCCAACGGTGCCGACCACGAAGCCGGATACACGAATGGCAACGGATTCACGAACGGCTACCTGAATGGCAACGGTTACACCAATGGCTACGCCAATGGCTTCAACAACGGCAACGACGAAAACGAGCTTGCGTAGGAGGGAACACGCACGTCAAGCACTCGGCGTCATCCCTATAGGCTACCCACAATGCATTTCTTTTGTTGTCCGCAATATTCCGACACATTTGTCATTGTTCTGTTGATAGTGTAGTGAGCAAAAGGTAAGGCCCGTGGCATTCAAGAAATTTTAATGCTACGTGGCAGGTTTTTTGTTTTTTTTTATGTGGCCAGTTTTTTGTGAGCTTTCCGTATATTTATGCTGCCGCATGTGCAAGCTTTGGATATGTACAATTCTGTTCCATCATCTGCACCATTTCAAAGAACAATCTTGCTCATGTAGAAGTGTATCTTGCATTTTTCGTTACATTGTAATTGCGACTCGTCTAAATTCTTGAGCATCCCACCGATGTGTCTTTGCATCACGTAAACTGTTAGTAGTACGTGGTAACTAGAAGGTATACGATCAGAAAATAATGTGTCTTTTGACGTTGGTCGTGCCAAAACAAATTTCATCTTTATTGCATTGTTTTAATTCTAGTGGCATTATGGTGTGTTTTACTGGGACTGAGACATATTTCTTTGTTTTTATGTTCATGTTTGCTCTGTCCTGCATGTGGATCAAAATGCTAGACACTGCCAAGAAAAAAAGGACCAAGGCCCCTTGTTTTCTTTCTTTATCTGCGAAGTTGCCACTCACCACCAGGTGCTTTCCAACTGTCAAGCCTAGCGCCAAGAACAAGCTTTGCAATAGCATAACTACCAAAGTTAAATCTTGCAGCTTCAATACCGAACAGATAGGCTTTCAAAGCTATCAAGTGCACTGACTAACAATACTCCCCCCCCCCCTGCCCGCTGAGTTCCTCACCAGATTCAGTGCTTCCCAACATTTATAGAGTATACGACGTTGCCACTATCATCCACGACAGTGCAGATATGTGTGCGAGTGGCTATGTATTACAGTTTTCCCTGCATGCTTTTTTACTAACTCATTAAAACATGCTAAGCTGTATGCTTTTTTTAATTTCAACTAACACTGTCCATTTTTTTCCTAGCTAAAACTGCATAGGAAGAAAGGCATATTTGTAAAGACGACTTTTTATGGCCATACACCTTCATATTACCAGTTCCTATGCTTTCAAGTGCCTGTTTTGGTGTGCAGTTTTTTTCGTTGCCAAATCCAAATCCGGTAGAAAGTGTCCCAAGCTCCTCGATTGGATTTGTGAAGCAAATCGCTTCGCCCCACCACTTGAACGCTCTCTAGTCCACAATTGCTGTGCGGAGTCCTTACCAATCGGAAAGCATTCCAACGTTTCGAAAGTGGTGTCAACGTCCTTCCCAAAAGCGACAACTCTCCCAACCTCGCAGCCATTTCTCGGGGCCAAACGATGTACTCGTCATTTACTTAATTCACAAAAGTCCCGTCCTTGTCTCTCTTTTACGCCAAAAGGAAAAGCGCGAGCGGCATTTTCTATGTACAGCTTCTGTTGACAAAAATGTTACTGCCAGGGATGGGGGACGTGAAACGTTGTCCGACGGTGCTTTTATACACTCAACGTTGCCTGGCGGCCGTGCCTTATTTGAGCGGGTTCGAATCTCCCGTGCTCGCACGGTGCTTTGTTGCATGCGAGAATCTGTGGAGAAACAAAGGCATGTGTCCTTTTGTACATGTTTTATCTTTTTTATTGTTTGTACATAAAACCGATTGGCACAACGTTCTGGCTTCGTGTCTTGTTGTGGGGTCCACCAACATTGCTGGAGGCGCTGTTGCAGCCCTGGTGCAAGTTTATGTTGAAGACCTAGATTCGTACAACCTTGGTTACAAGAGAAGGTGCGTGAATGTCAAGTTTTTGATTGTGTATTCAATATTAAAATCAAACTGCCAATCGAATTTATATTATTTACATTTAATGTGATTTGATTTGGGGACGAGAAGTTATGGCTGAAAGTCTTTCTGATAGCACACCCAAAGAAAAGTACATGCCTTATGAAAAACATTTCTTAGATTTCTTGCAACATGGCAAGCAAAGCCCGGGGGTTTTAGTTAAAGGGATACTACAACGAAATTTTGGCGCTCATTTTTTGGTCTATAGGTGTTCAAAAAAGCAGCATCACATTGAACATACCAATATCTTGTTAAAAAAGTCACGAAAAGAAATTTTAAAACAAATTAAACGATTAGCAAAGAGCACCTGGTGGATGTCGCTAACCCCTCGCTTGTAATGCCCGTCTAGGAACCTTGACAGCTAGTGACGGAGGTTGTCTCGTCTCCGGCCACGACGAGAGAAGAGGGGCAGGAGGAACTCCCCTCTTCCCGAGAATGCCTTTTGTGTGTTGCAGAAGTCGCCATTGTCCCCCTACAAGATTACAGAAGATTAACCCGTCACTCAAAATTCGTACAAAAGCAGCCGCTTCGGTGGCTGGAACGACTAGGCCATCCTCTCGACGTCAGCCTCGCCGTAGCTTTGCTCGTCTTGAGACGACCTACGTCACGATTGCGTTGGATGTCACGTGGTCTCCGCTGGGCCTTCTCCGAGCGCTTGCCAGAGTGGGCCGTTTATAACGATAAATACAGCCACCAGGCTCAAAATACAAATGTGCGATTGTCATTTACAGATATTGTGGATCATATTCAACCTATTTTTGAACACGACCGGAATATTTCAAATTTCGTTGAAGTATCCCTTTAAAATTCAACTACCCTTTTTCTTTGGACATTGCTCGAGGTTTTCTTTTCTTCAAAGTCAAAGGTCGAACTACTATGGTAACTAAAAAGGGTCGACACACAATAGTGAACAAAATTTCCTAAACCATCGAGCCAACTGACATGTCGGCAGTTTCCCCTACCACGCTGGTGCGAAGCGGTGAAACACCAGCACAGAAAGGATGCTACACTCCAAACCAGGACACTGCTTTACAGCCATGTTCTGCTGCAGCATCGAAAGAAACTAGTTATTGAAAAATGCACAATCTTTTAGAATTCTAATGGGCCACTACGTTTGCTCAAAGATGGTTAACTTTAACTGCGGCAGAAAGTTAATCGCATTTCTCCACGAGGGGGAATTTTAAGTCGCATGACTAGCAGAGTGGGGTTGGCGGGGAAATATGGCAGTGCCCCGCTTGCTTTGGAAGCAAACAACTTTCAGCCTTTCCACTCTGGTGAAGGAAGACCAGCGAAGCTGTACTATGGTGGGACGACCTCAAAGACGACGTCTAGGATGACCTCGAGGAAAATGCCTAGAGGAAGTCGTCCTCTAGGCGATGTCCTCAAGAACGATTTTTAGGACGACGCCTAGAGAAATTCAGCCTTTCCACTCTGGTGGAAACCAGAGTTGAAAGGCTGGAAAGGTTGCCACCATCTATGAGCGATGGCAGCAACCAACCAAACAACTGGCAAGCTGGTTGTCAGGTTGCCACCGTTGCTCATAGATGGCGGTAGCTGTCCAGTTTTGTGTCAACGTTTGTTTTCCCGCAGACACGGTACTGGGGAAACTAGCCCTTAACAGCTTTGCTGCGGTATGTCGTACTCGCTGCAATATCGGGCACGTTTGTGAGCAATGAATGGTGCAGAAGACTTTCACTTTCCCCTACCTCACTTAATTCGTAAAGTATAACCAAATACCTCGCGCTCTTTTCTAGATTGTATTTCGATTCTGGCCATTCGTAAGCCTAAAGGGACGTGGTAATTGCTGACACGGCAGTCTTTGGAATCCTAGTGGATTGTCTCGACTCAATCGGCCGGGGCATTGATGACACGCAGAAGCGAACCTCATACCAATTTCCACTGGAGCTGAAATACGCGATTTTCATTTTATGAATTGTTCTTACATGCTGGCCAACCATGCTGTTAGTGTGCCACCTGCCTTTCACTAGTTACTTTTCCCTCATTTCTAGCACTGAACTTTGTCGTCCTCTTTTGCACTGGAAAGGAAATTTCCATGAGGCTTGCCTCGACTTCAGACAACCAGCCAATAGACCCCTTTCGAAAGTCAAGTGCCAATTGATAAAACATCCGATCCACTGCACAATGGTGGAACAGACACCGCTGAACGTGCAAGCAGAGCACGTGAGTAGCTTTGACTCGAGCTCCCACTGCACAAGGGCTCGTGAGCCGAGACGGATTCGAACCCAAAAAGCTCGCATTTGTGTCCGCCATTGTGCAGGGATTCTACAGCTAGCCAGGCGGCTCCCAACATCACGCATGCAGCCCGAAGGGCGGATCTAGTGCCACTAAATAAGCTACGCTTCAGAGTAACGACACTTGGCCATATTGTGGCTTAAAATCATGGTTGCCACTTATCTGAAGCTTTATCTGAAATCACAGGAAATGCTCTTCCACCCTCCACAAAGGTTTAAACCGTTCGCGACAGAGCAAAGCAGTATTACATGACCTTCCTAACATCGAATCTAATGCTGAGGAAGTCGCACTTTTGAATCATGACGATCGGCCGTTCCGTCTGTTCTGCATACGAGCCAAAATGGCGGCACCCACAACAATGTCGAGGAACGGAGTGCCGATACTCTAAGCGCAGCTTATTCAGTGGCTCTAGGCGGATCAGGGAAAGAGAGCCAACGGTTCCCACACAGTCTACAGGGTGAAACAAGAAGACGCCAGGCTCTTTAAATCGACCGGAAAATTCGGTTTCTTAATCTATCGCACTACGACTTTGTGCAGCGTTGCCCACAGATGGTGCATTTTTTTTTGTAACATTTGCGAAGAGCGAACTTACCTGAGAAAAAAGTAAAGAAAGAAAAGGCTTAGCTCTTATGGAAACGCAGCGACACCACTGGTCTGCAAACAACACGGCGCCGTTTCGCATGGAAGACAAGAGATGGCGCAACAAACGCCGCCAACGAACGAGCACACGGCGCGCGTTCCACAGGTGGCGACAGTCGCAGAAACAAAAAAGATGGGCGTGGTAACAGCAAGGAGCTGCAGTTCCTTGTCTGCTAAAGGGCCGGCTCTCGGCGCCGTATGCTCGTTCGTTGACGGCAGTTGGCGTCGCGACCGCTTGCGCCATCTCTTGCCTCCCTTGCGAAACGGCGCCGTGCTCTTTGAAGACCGGTGGCGTCGCTGCGTTTCCATAGGAGCTAAGCCTTTTTCTTTCTTTACTTTTTCCCTCAGGTAAGTTTGCTCTTCGCAAATTTTACAAAAAAAATGCACCATCTGTGGGCTACACTGCACAAAGTCATAGCGCAATAGGTTAAGAAACCGAATTTTGCGGTCGATTTAAAGAGCCTGCCATCTCCTTGTTTCACCCTGTACATTATGGAGTGACCCCAATGCGTTCAAAAACCTTAGATCCACTTCACGCAAGCCAAGTTTTCTCAGCTTCTCGACTTTGCAACACTGGCCCCCACGTTCACGTCTTGTTATCGCCATTAAAATTTTAAACGTGTTACACTATTTAAACATGAAGTTACATTTCAATTGCCCGAAACCATTCAGTCACGAAAACAATCAATTTCAAACCGAAACCAAGTCAAACCCCTTGTCCAGTTATCACCACCACTACACGCAGTAGCATCTCCAATCAGCTGCTGCTTCTTCAAGTCTCCGAGCTGTGGGAGTTTCTTGCCCGTTTCCAGCAGGACCCAATCCTGGCAACTCGTGTCGTAGCAGGAAAGCCGAAAAATAAGTTGCCGGCCACTTTGAAATTGCAGAGAAAATTGCCCCGTCCAAAGCGGGCCTTAAAAATACGTTGTAGTCCCAACCAGAATAAGAACGGCCGGGAGGTCTTCCAGTTGTCCGGCGCGAGCTTCCTGCCTTCAACAATCCTTCGGCGTCTGCGCACACGCACAACCCAAGCACCAAGGAAGGCAAAGAGCCAGAGGCATTTCGAACACCAGACCCTGGCCTTTTCACCCCATCGGCCACTCTAGCGCCACCAAGCCGAGAAAAGATGGATGCCACGCTGCTACGAAAAAACATGCCAGCCTTTAATTACAAAACTTAAAAAAGAAAAAAAAAGGCATCGAATACAACAGACAAAGCAGTCATTTACAAGGCTCCATCTAGGACTTGGAAAGTTAGAAAGAGAAGCCTCTCGACGGACGCGCTGCGGCACGTCACACCGAAGAGGCCTTGCCCGAACGAAAAAAACAAGACGGCTCCTAAAATTAACGATTGAAGACAAGGAGTGTCCCAAAAAAACATTTACGGTTTTTTTTCCGTTGCAAATCTGGCACTAATGCTCCGGTTCGGACCATTAGTGCTATAATTGGGCAGAGGCCGAGTGCTCTGCGACGCGTAGTGAATTTTTGCTGCGAAAGAGATGCCCGCAAATATTTTTTGGAGACACGCCGTAGAGGGCGGCGAGACGGCGGAGGAGGTCAGCCCTCATAGAGGATGTCGTAGTGGCCCGGCCTGTAGAGCAGGTGGATGCGGGGCTCCCTGTCTTCGGGGAAGTCGTGGGCGTTGACCTTTCCCCCGACACCTCGGTCCATGTACTGGATGCGCACCCCGACCCCGAGGTTCCGCGTGAGCGAGATCACGTGGATGTGGTCGCTCTCCTTGTACATTGGCTCCACCTCCTGCAAGGGGCTCTCCTTAGCTCCGGCGGCTCCTCGGTTACTCCGACATGTGTTCGGAATACCTAGGCATTGCTCTCTCTGGCATGCTATTTATTACCTCTAAATTCAAAACGGCTGTGCGGATCGCAAGTTTGTCTGCTGCTTTTGCAGGGGCTGTGGTCATGTCAGAACACTGAGCTCTGATTGAAGGATTGTGGGTCGACCTCAAGGCAGCTTGCTTTGAGGTCTATCCACTATCCTTCAATCAGAGCCAACAGAACTCGGTGTTCCGATGCCACGAAACCCCCGCAAAACAAGCAGACAAACTTGCGCTCCGCATAGAGAAAACAACAAATGAAGAAACTTGGGTGACGTCACTTTTTAAAAGAAATATGAAAGAAATTTTGAAAGGGAATGAAATAATTTTTGAAAAAACCACACAATGTTTTTCTTTACTCTTGCTTAGTATTTGGGACACTTTACATTTATAAAGCATGAAATGTGCAAATGTTTTTGTTGTTAACCCACGTTGCTTGCACAGGACAGGCCTCCTCTTAATCGAAGAAATGGTGGAGGAATCATCCGCTGGTGACATATGACCCACTTAGCCGCGCTCGTCACGTGGCAATTCGGTTTCCCGAGGCAAGTTTGCGTTTTCAAGTCCCCTCTAAAGGGTCGCTAGAGCGTATTTCCACAGTTTTGCTCCTATGAGTAACGCAGCAGCAGATAAGAGGCTGATGGCAGGTACCCACCTGTTTGCAAAACTCCTGGACTGTCCTGTCCCCTTCGATAAAGCTAGAAAAAAAGGCAGCCTCCTTCTGTAGCTGTCCGGAAGTTAGCAACCTGCGACGAGAAACAAAGAGGCAGGGGTGACCTCAGCACAGGCCCGTAGTAAGATGGGAGTGGGAGAGCTCCAGGGCGGCTTCGCGGGTATCAAGCAAAAGGCTCTATTTTCTCTTCTAGCCTTTTACAAACACGTCGGTTCCAGCTATGTACGTACACACAATGGCCCACGGTTTAAGTCCATAGCCTCCAGATTTAACACAGATGTAGTTTTCACGTGAAAATCGAGGCTGGCAGACCCGTGCAAGTTGGTAAACAGGGAGGGGCTTCCGTTGCCTCGCTGCACCAAGAAACGTGCCAACAGGCTCACCACGTGCAAGACTGAGCAATCTTTCCATACCCATGCCCTGCGGCACTGAATTCACCGATGTTTGTTTGCATACAAGCTCACTACCACCCCCTATCAGTGGACCCCTGCGCGCTTCCGGTTTTCCTCTTCTTTTCCATTTTCCTCTCCTCCTTTTGTTATTTGCACTACTTTGTACAATGCACTAATGTTCTCACAAACATACTACTGAAACTTCTCTGAAGGAAGTTCTTCTTACCCAGCCGTAGTGCGTTGCTGAAGAATAAATAAATACACTACCGGAAGTGTACTGGGGCACCAAATACTGTGGCGCCCTCGTGGTATCAAGTCCCACCGAATGTGGTAAATACATAAGCCAAACGGGTCGCTGCGTAAACGACCAGCTCCGGAAGCATCACAAAGAAGTAGAGGACGCCGCACCCAACAGTCGGCCCCCGATAGACACGCAAAGACGGGAATGTCGTGGCTGCTCTCCCGAGTTTGCCGCCACGACGACGCTCGTAGATCTTTGTCAACACGTTGGGAGGGAGATTATAAAGCCATTCGAATGGCAACAAGCCCAAAAATCATAGACTCATCATCCTCGTTTTGAGTGACCAGGAATCGCCCCACCCCAGCAATCACTTTGTCGTCGCCCTTAAAAGGCTTTCGGGTTCGTATGGCCACGCTGGAAGCGTCTGCACCATTTAACCGCAGTGCCATGAACTGGGGCATTGTCCCCGAACACCGCCACCAGCTTGGAATGTATCTCCCTGGCATTTCTACAAAACGGATTGCTACACAGGCTTCGACTTTCCCGACGGGTGGTGGCATTTTTGCTTTGATGCACTAGCGGAGCGCACTTCTTTTCATGCCCTTTTTTGTTCCCTTTCATTCATTTCTGGAGCCGATAACACAAACTTTATGAACGCCCCTCGCACGCTAAACACCAGGGAAGCTAGTAGCTAGAGTCGGCAAGACTAAAAAGAGACTCTGGTCATTACGCTCAGGAAGCCTTGGACAGTTTTTAAAGTATTTATAATCAAGATTTGAAAATTATATTAAAAAAAAAGAAAGCTTCACAAAAAGTATTTCAAGCAAGAAAAGCAAACCGTACATCTTTCTCATTATCTAAACCAGTGGTCTTCAGAGTTTTGGTCGTCAGGGACCCCTTGACCCACTCGGGGGGACTTGGGGAAACCCCAATGCATTCTCCATCAGAGGTCTTGTGCGATCGGCATAAGAGGATTTTTTCACTTGGTGCCGACCCCCCCGAACGCTCACAAGGACCCTTGGGGGTTTGCGGACCACAGTTTGAGAAGCGCCGATTTAAGCACTGGCAGAAAAATTTCCACTACGACGTGGGAGTTGTGCAGTTCTTCAACAAAATTCAACCCTGGCAAGACATCCGACGAGAAAGTGTCAGCCATGTTTGCGAGGAGAAAAACAAGGAGGGGGACTCGCCTCATATACACAACTATGTAGTCAGAGTAGCCCTGGTCGTTGAACACCTTGAGCAGGTCGTCCAAGGTGATGTTGTCCTCTATTCTCTTCAGCACCTCCATGAACTGAAAAATATGAGCAATCGGTCAGGCTGCCGATCGATGGACTGATCGGGATCGTGCCGGACTCACAGTGTCGTGGAAGTCTTCGATAGTGAACCGCTGGAAGCCCAACGACACCAGGGCCTCTTTGCTGTGCTCTGCCAACTTCTTGAACCTGGAAACAATGCAAGGAAACTCGCTAACCAATAGGCCCTCTTAGAAATTCAGCGCCATCTTGTGGCTCAAAAAGCAGTTTGCTTTCGACCAACTAATGGCGGTCATGAAACTATTTCATAGGGCACCATCACTTTCCCACGTCAATGGCAGATGAGAACTGGTTCTTCAATCACCTCATAATTCTTTTTCAATTTGTTTCAGTCTGAACAGTGTGAACACAAGAAGTGACTAGTACAAAGCAGCGACCCATAGGTGCCTCGATTAAATTTCCGCCAACAAAAGGCTTTAGAGCTAAACCCGTGCTAAGAGATTGATTGGACCACATTCCGAAATAAACACTCACGCGACCGCTGTATCTAATTCGCGCGTCGTGTTGTAATGAGGTCTCGAACGTAAGGGCCTTTTACATCTTCCTCTAGGCAGTATCTTCAACTCCTTCCTTCATCAGCCTCAAAACCATTAGTTTGGCACAGATGCCATACACTAAAATGACGATAGTGATCAAGGCTGCCAGACCAAAGTTCGAAAAGGGCTTATCGAAAGTCAGGTGAGCTCGTCGGGGCCCTTACCTCACATACTCCTGCTTGTCGCTCAAGAGGCTCTCGAGGTAGGCGAAGCTAAATGCTCGGAAGAAACAGTTTCCGTCGGGGCGGGTCTTCCGAATGTGGCTGTACTTGCTCCGCAGGTCCTGAAATGCAGGCAAAGGCCTCCATCGTCTTAAAGGGAAACTCCGCTTCATTCTCGGTTGTTACCAAACACTGCGACTCTCTTTAGTGTCATCTATAGAGACCGAATGTCAAATATTATAACGTAATACCGCCTAAAAGATCACTAAACCGGCCGACAAAAACTGAGGCGCGCGAAGTCACCAAAATCCGCTAATTTAGCGGGCGACGTGCGGCGCAGCCAACGTTGTATTTCCGTTGTGGCTGACGTCTGTTGCATACGCAGTTTTTTTCTTGGTATTTTCTTTTCCAGGGAGAGCTTACCGGGCGGCGCTACGGACGCGCTCCACGTTTGAGCAAGCAAAGAGGCGAGCCTACTACAATAGAGATCAGTGGGCAAGACAGACAAAAAAAAAAAAAAAAAAGAACGAGAACAAGAGAAACAAAAAGAGGAAGAGAGAGTTGTACGGGGATGCGTTTCGCTGACACACCTGCCAACCGGTGCCAACCGACTAGCCGCCTGGGTTGCCGCCTACATAGCCTGCTTCGTTGCTGCTTGCGTTGCCTCTTCGCCGCCGCGGCTAGGCCCGCCCTCCCTCCTCCCTCCTCGCCCTTCCCCTCGCATCCGCGTCTTTCTTGGGTTATCGCTAGTAGATCACGTGACCCCTTGTATTCCACGTGGGTGCGTATGCAACTGACGTTGAGAGTACAATGTTACCCGGCTGTGCCGAAGTTTCAGTTTCGGGTTCCGATTGTGGTAAATAACAAGATCGCACGAAAAATATTTTGCTTTTAATGGAACAAACGGTCTAGGGTTGTTTTGAAGTACTTTTCACGTTTATATCACCCACTATCTCAAAATTTCCGAAATCAAGCGGAGTTGCCCTTTAAAGGCAATCAGACACTCCCACTTCCCCCCCCCCCCCCCCCCCCCCCCCAAAACTATCCTTTTAGTGCAAAGTTCTAGAACGTCAGATGAAGACACCACCCACTTAACTTTTTGCTACTAAGTCCTATGCTTGCTAAGAAAAAAAAAAGAAAAAAAGTGCAACTGATGCCAAAAAAATTTACAAAAGATTCAGCAACCTTAGTTTTTTATAGTACTATAATGCTTGAAATGCAATATTTAAGAAACAATCTATTAAATTTGTTTCGAGGACATTATTAAACAGTCAATTCGGGAGGCGAAGGACCTATATTTTATCGATATCCCCGCTAAATATACCGTAAAATACCGGGAAAGTTCCCACCCCACTTCCACGGAAAAATTGGTTAATCTAGACGTGAATGCTTGACCGCTCGAAGCAGTAAAAGCCAAGATGGCAACAGCGTGAACGAGAAGTGAGGGAACTGCAACAACGTGCACACTCTATCAAGATGTGTCTCACAGAAGCCCAGGGACCACTGGTTCTGTTTCCAAGAACTGTTCATTGTCACCCCCATTGGTCCTGACATGGCTACAACTGGGCTCCTGACCAGTTGTAGCCATGTAGGCATTGTAGGGACCTCTCACTGTACCCAAGTGACCTAGATAATACAGTTAATGGTTTCCCCTTCCCAAGAAGTCTTTCCCTTTCCATCGCAAGGAAGCGGATATCCCTGTCATTCCCCGCTGGCGTTCTCGTAGCTGCCCCAGCGTTGTGAATATGTGCGGCGGTGGGTGCATAACATATGATCAGAATTCCGAAGTTTTGGAAATGTTAATAGTGGGAATTTGTTCGGAACTGGGCGCTTCCCCGCTATTTTACAGTAGTGGGAAAAATACTTGGTGCATAGGTCACACAACGTCAATTTCCTCGCAAAATTTATTGGGAACAGGTTATGCAACATCAATTTCACTGCCAAATATACTGGGAAACCTGAATTATTGTATAGACCATTCCATTTAGCGCTCTCTGGGCGGCACCATTTTGTTTGACAGCAGTGCCCTCTCCATACATCCGGGAAACTCAGCGGGTTCGGCAAAGTAAAACGAAAGAGAGGGCACGCGCCCGACTCCGCTAGCAGACGACAAAACGGGAGGTTGCCATTCTCCATCTTTGGGCTGTATCGGCGGGCAGTATGGAACATCGAACTCTCACTCGTGGCTGTCGTTGTGAAGTTGTTCGCGTTCTTATGGCTACCCCAAACTCAGCCTAGAGCTCTCTGTTGTTCTACTTCGGTAAATGATCAACTGACATATCTTTTTTCCGTTACTTAAATAGCAGTTGAGTCAGCCGGCGGTATTACCCTCAACTACTGCGTGTATTGCGGCAGGAGAGCACGTTTTTATTTATTATTTCAGACATCCACTCATGGTCGCTAAAGGCCTACACCAGTACGAACTTTGTATAGTAAAAAAGGTATAGCCACAGGATTCCGTTTTCGCCGGAGAGACCGGCCAGTCTGACACAGTTTTCCCTATTTTCTTTTATTTGCACGCAGATAACAGCACAATTGGACTGTCTTTTTATCTAGCATAGTAATACACGATAACTGGCAAACCAAAATCTGCGCACCTGCGCTTGAAATTTCCAAAATGACGCGATTTGAAACAGAGTTTGCACGCCAGCCGGTGCTAGGTACTGCCCACTCGGCGGAGCAGACGACATGCGGGTGAGAGGGGGAGGGCATTTTTTTCTCTTTTTACCCTCTCTGCTATGACCCTAATGGAACGGTCTATAGGACATGCCACATCAATTTTTCTGCTATATTGAGTTGGAAATGTATGGATGCCAACGGAGAAAATCTTGGGAGTCGGGGGGTTTCGTTGACCGCTTGACCATTTTTTTTTTTATTTTTTTATTTGCAATTTATGATTGTAAAAGAGGAGGGGCACTGCCAGGCAAAAATGCTATAATATTTTATCTGAAACGATTGAAAACGATGCCTGGACATTACCCTCAAAATTCAAAACTTGGGAAGTAAAAAAACAATTTTTCAAAGCCGAATCTGAAGTTCCCACGCGATCCGCGTCAGTGCAGTGACGTCAAAGATTGAGTTGTCCTGCAACTCCAGTTTCTCTCACGTCTCCCAATTGTCCTGACCCGAAGTGTCGTGTTCGCCCGCTTCCTGCTTCCATTGTGCCGCCTATTGCTGTGAGCAGACGACGCTTCGCTTTCGAGTTTGATGGTTTTTTAGGGCCCTTTCAGTGATCTCAAAATCTCAAACGGTGCAGGGTCAAAGAGAATGTGGGGTGGACCTTTGTGAGCGACATGAGGGGCCACGCCGCACCAGTTCTGCGCGAGAGGCTGCCCTGGCGTGGGCACAACTGAAACTAGGGTACACAGACACAAAACCCAGTCGTTTTGATTGTTTGACGTTTTTGCCAGTAGACACTTTCTGTTTGAAAAACATGTCAAGGACCAATATCATAAATTTGATGACTTCGCAAAATAAATATATATTTTTACCTCATATTTGGGATAATGTTGAAGCACCCCTTAAAGGGGCAGTACATTGACTGTTTACTATGGCACAAGTGAGAAAAAACATGCCATCTTATTCCGAAAGACTGATTTCGCTGCAAATTGCAAAGAAAGACTTCAAACTGCAGTTCTGTGTGGCAGTTATTGGAACTATGGTGCAACGTCATTCAGAGTACCCGATTTTTGGTGGTGCCATCTATCAGAAGTGAACAAAACCATTTCCTCTTTGTCACTACTCCCCACCTTTCCTGTGGCAGTGATGTGATTGGCCTAGGCCATTTTGGAGCACCTTTGCTGCCAAATCAGTGTTTTGGAGCAGCCAATGCAGTCTTGGGTAAGTTACTTTTAAAAAGTAATTCGTTAGTTACTTTCAGAAAAAAAGTAACTCTTTTTTTATAACACAAAAATTTAGGAAAAACTAGTCTAAAAGAAAAAATATAAGCACGAATCAGTCGGGCTGCCACCATAGCGGTCAATTCAAACCTTATAATTTAGTTGGAAAATTAGTCAATATTATGAAAAGAATAAAGATTAAAATTCAACTAAATGTGTTTCCTCCGATTTGAACACAAAGGCTTTTTGTCGTAGTGCTCCTTGTTTCAAAGTTTGCATACTGCGCTCAAATTGTTAGCAACCTCCTTCACCACAGCAAAATACTCTCTGTACGCAGGCCATGCTAGTTCTTTGTTCTCATCAACTTCCCTATCCTTGGTAGCACTAGCACATTGGTGGCTTGTTGACGGTTGCGCTGGGTTCATGGAGTCCTTGGACATACTTCAGTTCGTACCTGGCAAGCCAGAAACAAACCCCACGACAGCAGTAAATTTTGCCTCCACTGTTGACACCAGTTGAAACCAGTTGTCTGGTTGCCGAAGCTGGAAAGGTTGCCGCGATCTATAAGCGAAGGCGGCAAGCAGACAACCGGCAAACACAACACCCTGGACAGCTACTGCCATCTATCAGCGACAGCGGCAACCAGTGTTGTGTGGACCACAGGCGTCAATATTTGTTTCACGGTCGTAAAAAGAAAAAAAAAAAAAAAAAAAAAGAAAACAGAAACGAGGATTACGAGAGGACAAGAGTGCGAAACAAGAAATGGCGGGAAAACCATGCAGGACGGGATGGACGATTGATGCCGGTTATTTTGTGTCGGGCGACCACTTGTAACACCTAGCTCACGCCTGCACAATTACGGTGCTCAGTTTAGTTTTAATTTTGAAAAACAACCAAAATTGTTTTTTTGGAGCAGGCTTGGCGCAGATTACCCATATTTTGGCAAAATGTAGCAGGATTAGCCCATTGGCGCAGTTTAGCGCAACGATTACATCTTTCCTGTGGCGAACTGTCTTGTTTCGATCGCTCACCACGACATTCAATGATGCTAAGCTGAAGCGATGCTCTGTTCTAGCCAAATCGGAAATTGAAAAGGCGACAATGGCAGAGGGAGCGCTAGGGTCCTCAAAGATAGAACCGAATGTGCTACTTCCAGTTACGCCTTTGGGCACTTCACTTGAAAGACTATGCGAGTTGAGGGGTACCCACCCTTTGATTAGTTTCATTTATTTCATAAAAACTTGCACGTGCAATAAACAAAGGTTTTCTGTTCTTCATTCTAC